TTTTGAAGTTAGGGTCATGATGAGGACACCCTGATTTGTATTCATAATTTCTACATACCGTATTCGACGTAATAAGCGCCCTGCTCTAATGAGCGCCCACGGCGATATTTGAAAATATATTGGCTAGTGAACATTCCCAATTAGCACCCTTCCGACTGATCAATGTACACAATTCGTGTACATTTCTTCGTGTATGATACCCACTCGTGTGTCATATGCAACCTTAATTACGGGCAATTAAATTCTGTAAAATATATCTGTCGTTTACAATACGCACATACTTTTCTTTTGTATCATTTCAGGCTGTCAGCAGAAACCATAAAATTTATGATCTTTCGACTCTTTCACCAAAATTATATTCTAATAAGAGCCTCTAATTTCTAATTTTGAGAGCGCCCCGGGCGCTTATTACGTCGAATACGGTATTTGTTCTGCTACTATCAGAGTCCACTCAACAAGTGCGAGTCAGCAAGTGTGAATGGTGTTCCACAATTAAGCCGTAAGTCATGTAGACCAGTGAAACCAGAGTGGTTGATGCTAAACACAAGCAGCTGGATGGTGGATGCTGATCTTACCTTGTCATCACCCAAGAAGAATCCATCCTAAGCAGCCATTTTGACCACCCAAGTCACAGTCACCTGTCTGTTAACATGGTGTTAAGATGGCGACATTCCAGTGAGTGAGTGAATATTGCAGAACGCCGCATCAGCAATTTTGCAGCTTTTCGCAGCAATGAGAAATACCACACTTCAATTTCGTGTCAGTTCTTACTTTCATCATAATCTAAGGAATAAGGATTATAGAAACATATCATTGACAGACTATCAACCATTACACACAAATCACAGAAAGCCATATATACACAAGCCAAACCTTCTTGAAGGCTTTCATTATCATAGGCATATAATACAGATCCTGTCAGTTGGTCAAATAGAAATAGTAACTGCTTAAAACCAATCCAGGATAACAGTGAGTGAGTGAATTGGGTTTAACGCTGCTTTAAACAGTATTCCAGTTATATCACAGCGTGTCAGCTTAATGTGGGAGGAAAGCCCAAGTGACGCAAGTCTTAGACGTTTACCACTTCGGTGAAACCCACATGCATGGATATGATGCTGACAAACCTGGAAACAATCGGCGCGAAACCAGGATTTGAACCCCGCTATCATAGGATTCTGGCGTGCCAAAGGGACGCAACCCTGCACATCAAACTGTGGCAGTTTAAACGACTGTGCCACCTGTTTCCCCTCACAATATACAAAGTAACATTGTATACAAATAAGAAACTGAGTAAGTCTGATTATTAATGTAATGCTGGTGATAAACTGGCAGACAGATAGGATTAGTAGTTGTGTGGAAATCAGTATCCATGTTTTGTGAAAGGGCAGCCAAGGCCATCTTATTCAGGTGCTGATTGTCCAACAAATGGTCTGATTATCAGTTGTGTGGAAATCAGTACCGAAACGCATATTGTCCACTACAGTGCACCCCAGACCACAAATACTGTTAACTGACTGTCCAACCAATGGGTCTGATTATTAGTTGTGTGGAAATCAGTACAAGACTGCCTCCCGTCCATGTTTGTGAATACACCGATCAACTATGCGAAGTGCAGATGAGGCTGCGTCGTTCATATACATCATAAACTGATTGTCGGTGTCTTTAGCCGTGTGCATCTCCTGGCGCTTAAAGCCTGACCCTTTTGTTCTCTTTATTACCTGATAGGGAAAAAAACAATACAAAAAATAAATAAACACACAGAGATCTATAACGCTAAATATCATTGAGCTCAGGTAGTGGAGAATATACAGAAAAATGCCATGGAAGTTACAGAGAAACCATGGTATAATATGAACCACTGTTGACACTGGTTTAATAAGTGTCAGAATACAAAGAGGGAAGATCGATATATCGAACTAGGCCACAATTTATTGTTTGACTTACAAAGCCTACAATAACTGTTCCCAAAAAGATTTGGAACCTTTTCCAACAGTTGTTTTTTGAAAATAAACACAGAAAAACCTTTTGTTTATTTCATTTGTCTCCCCTCTTGGCATACTGACTAAACATGTGCAAGTCAAGAAATCAATTTTTTCCAAATGCTTACTAAACTTGAAAAAATACCCATATCTCAAGTTTTTGTAAGATATTTCATTAAAATGATGAAATATCAAAATACAACGTCAGATAGTGAATACAATCCACAGTAAACAAGAAAACAAGACTGTCAACCTTGATCCATGTACTCACATATGTATATAAAACATTTTCAAAACATAAATCATAAAGAATAAATTCAATAGAACAATATGAACACAAATCATTTGAAAGGACAGCATCTATATGAATATATGAAGCATGTTTCAAATAACATACCAAAACCAATGCCCTGCGACAACTCAGTGAAACACAACAATGATATGCTTAAACTGATATGTATTGTTTCACTAAACAGTTTTGCAAAACATTTTTGGTCATGACTTAATATCTGGGTTTACCAATTACATGTATTATCCAAATGGTAGGTTTGCTGGCCAAAAAGATTTGTTTTTTCAAAATTGAAAAACATGTCTATCAGCCAAGAAGGAAACAAAAGGTTGGGTTTTTTAAATGAAAGTAAAACGTACCATGGTTACTTTCCTTCCAAAACTGACGTACATTATTCAACGTAATAAGCGCCCAGGGTGCTCTCAAAATTAGAAATAGGGGGCTCTTATTTGAATAAAATTTTGGTGAGATAAAAAAGTTGAAAAATTGTAAATTTTGTGGTTTACGCTGACAGCCTGAAATGGTACAAAAGAAGAATCTGTGCGTATTATACACGATAGATATATTTTCGAGAATTTAATTGCCCATAATTAAGGGTGCATATAACACACAAGTGTGTATTATACACGAGTGAGTGAGTATGGTTTTATGCCGCTTTTAGCAATATTCCAGCAATATCACGGCAGGGCACACCAGAAATGGGCTTCACACATTGTACCCATGTCGGGAATCGAACCCGGGTCTTCGGTGTGACGAGCGAACGCTTTAACCACTAGGCTACCCGACCGCCCCTGTATTATACACGAATAAATAAGTCTTGTGTACATTGATCAATCGGAAAAGGGGCTAATCGGGATTGTTCACTAGCCAATATATTAGCAAATATTGCCGTGGGCACTTATTAGAACGGTGCGCTTATTACATCGAATACGGTATTAATTTGTACTTTGATTTTTCGTAATTATTAATATTAAATGCAACGTGATAACACAACTTTCATTTAATATGTGAAAATTTAAGTCGGCAGATCCATCAACTGCCCCAGTACTAATACTGCAGATATTGACATGCAGCACTCTCCATGGAGTCTCACAAGCAACACAACACTATATGCTGTGCTCATTTAGCGGCAGAAAGGCACTATATGCTATATGTCACACAACTAGTTCAAGCAATTGAGTATCACAAACAATTTGTAAAGTAAATTTGAGCTAAAAAATATATCAAGCATAAAATACATTTATGTAAACAATATCAAATCAATGGAATATAGTCACACTTGACATTAAGACATTATAACACATTGTGTCATAAACAACATGTGACCTTGTCTTTGAACGTCCACTGTTAAGGTACCTCTAAAACAAGCAGGACAGCAGGACATTACTCTTCCACAAAAGAAACAAGCTACACAAAAAATTGTACTGTATGATTGCCCCAAAAAGCCAGTTGATAATGCTGTATATATATTATATATATACTTATATATATTATAAGTACTTAATACAGTGTTATAATTTTCGAAACCCTGCGGCATAAGAGCCCTTTCTGTTAACAAGAACCCAAAATAGAGGATGATGTCTCATAACAGGCTGATCGCAATCTTTCTTTCTAACAATCTTTTTTCCAATTAAAACAAACTCAAATGTTACTGAAAAGTATAAAAGAACACCACATAATGAGTATTTATTTAATTTCTCATTCCATGCTGCTGTTTTTATAAGATATAGAAAGCACATCTCTACTTGGATCATAGTCAGCTTTCCTCCAATATCTTGAACAATTTTCCTTTAATGCATTTTCACCACAACTCTTAAAAGTTTTAACCTTGTTTTCATTTCTCTTTAAATAAAAAACGTTAAACATTTTGTAAAGAAAAGATGCTAGATGCCAGTCATTTAAACACTAAATATTATAACAATGTTTAAAATACTTCAGGGATTTTTTGTTAGTGGGTCGAGAAGGGCCCTTACCTTATCCTGGGTAATAATAGACTATGTATCGAGGTAGCGATTGCCCCATCCTACCTTCCATCAATACAAGGGGTATAACAGTTAACCAGATGCTGTAGCTAAACAAGTGTTTACTAAAACTCCAAAACAAAGACACTGCCGCAAGTTTCCTTATCGATGAAGCTGAGCAAGTTGGTTGTAGTTCAAGGGAGGTAACCCACAGAGGTCAACGTGAGCATATTTATTAAGAGCCAAGTCTTAGGCTTACGGAACTATCAAGTGACCATTACTGCTTGGTGCTGGTCAGTAGTGGTCATTGATGAACACATGGACAGAATAACAGTTGGACGGGCAGTATGGATGTCCATTTCCATTCCATTTTGTAAACACACACAAGCTAGAACTGACTTCTTATTCTACCATCAAACAGTTGAGACAATTCTTAGCTCTGGAATTCAGCCGTGTCTTACGGACAACACAAATACTGATATCAAACAATATTCACAATTGTAAAGAATTATATAAACACAATTTGGAGAAAAAGACGAACCATGAATAATAATCATTCCTTACAGTAATGGAGTGAGTGAGTGAGTGAGTTGGGTTTAACGCCGCTTTTAACAGTATTCCAGTTATATCACGGCGTGTCAGCTTAATGTGGGAGGAAAGCCCGAAGTGATGCAGGTCTCAGACGTTTACCACTTCGGTGAAACCCACGAGCACGGGTATGGTGCTGACAAACCTAGAAACATAATCGGGGCGAACCGGGATTCGAACCCACAATCATAGGTTTCTGGCGTGCCCAAGGGACGCAACTCTGCACAGCGAATCGCGGCGCCTTAGACGACTGGGCCACCCGTGCCCCCTACAGTAATGGAGAATGTCATTTTGAATAAACATCTGATATAGATTCAAATACCAGAAGCCTTCAATGTTTGCCCGGAGAGACGAGGCATTTCTTAAATCCAATGGCAACCTCAAAACTTCAGACCCTACTCTGTGTAGTTTAAATATAGTTTGGTTCTTGAGTCTTATTAAACAAAATCGTGAAACTGAAAGAGAGTATTTCCTAATATAAGTCAATACTGACTGAAAACTAAGGAACATGATTTTCAAAACTACAAACATCAGGAGTCTTAAGGCAAGTCTATAAACTAGCCATCTAACAACTCCTGTCCATGAACTGCAATGTGTCCATTTTCACACTTTGATACACTGAAGGATCAAAGGTCGGAATTAAGACAAAAAAATGCAGAAAACAAACTGTTCTCTATAGTTATTCAGTGTTCCCATTTACTGGTAATTACCAGTTTGTTACCGGTAAAATTAGGCTTTGACCGGTAATTCATGTGACTGCCAGTCCCTGTGGACCAGCAAATAAAGTACCGTGTAAGTTTTTGTTGCTGAACAAAACATTGGCGATGTTCAAATATGTATATTTTTCGAAAGACGTCAGCTTGTCTGTTACCATCAGGGTTTCCCTTTGTCTATTTTCAGTGCAAGGAAATATCATTTCGCTTTGACTTGAGGTTAAACATATATTTGTAGCGACTTCATCTAGAAATATTAAAAATGAGAGAGAAAACTGGTAATTTTTAAAGTTGCCAGTCCACTAGGACTGGCAGTTTCAAAAGCCAGCGGGAACACTGATAATAATGTTCCACTATACCAGTACACTCCTAGATGAGCTGTCCTGAGATGCCAACTCGATATTGGGCCAATTACAAATATCTGGGATGGTATTGGCGTCATTGAGCGTATGTAAATTTATCACCAAACATCTCAAAATCTGTGAACCTTCTCAAGCTGAACAAGTGGCTGTTGCTTATTGCTTGTTTACGTGACAACGCCTGCAGCAAGGGCAGTAACTGGTCTAAATTACTCGTGATTTTGTGGACAAAAATTGAAATATGTTACACTTAATTTATTTGTGGAATTCGATTCAAAATATCGAGATGATTCTGCCATATGGTCGGCACCTCTGGGTGTAGCGTTCCAGGAATATGACAGGACTGACAGGTGACAAAGGTCATGTGACATGAGGAGCTGATCTACTTACAAAATAAAACAAGAATGTTTTTTAAGAATAGTCTCGACAGTGACCATATACCGATATATGGTCTCTGGTCTAGAATACTTTAATAGCTCCCAGAATACGTAGCTAGTCCTGCTTGAACAAGACATGAAATGCTTATATTTTGTGTCAGTGTTTTTCATTTCCATTTCCATGTAGCAATGAGAACTGGTTTGGAATGACAGCCCTCAAAGGCTATGAGGACGACCATCACTGGATTTTTACTTGTCCTCAGCACAATTTAGTATTCAGAGGCAAGTGGACTAGCGTGAATTTCGAATACTGTGTGTAGTGAATGAGTGAGTATGGTTTAATGCCGCTTTTTAGCAGTATTCCAGCAATATCACGGCAGGGGACACCAGAAATTGGCTTCACACATTGTACCCATGTCTGGAATCGAACCCGGGTCTTCAGCGTGACGAGCGAACGCTGTAACCACTAGGCTACCCGACTGCCCTGACTGCTTACTAACTGTTATGTTAAAAAGTAATACAATCAATGTGAAAAATGACATGCATCAATACTGCTTGGACTTCCAATGCACCCATGTATAGTCCTACTTTAGTTAAGTGACAAAGTAATATCAGATTCTAGGCAGAATCAGTGTCAGCTATAAAGAATAATATTTGGAGTCCTCTTGTGTTGAACTACCAAGAACTTTAACTTGATATATACTTTTTAAAGGATCCTTAAGACTTTAGTTAACAAAACATCAATGAACTTCAAATCAAACAACCGTTTTCAACACCTTCAAATTGTTATGTAAATGACCTTCTCCTCATGTCAACATGAACTTCATAACAAAACACATTCACACAACGACCCAAACCGCCGACACGACAGCCACTCAGTACAGCACATCCTCCTTGCCAAACGTTCGCACACACTGATCCACAATCGACAGCGCCACAGTCGCAGCGTCGTTCAGTAATATGGCAAACTCGTTCTCATTGTAGCTGCGGACTTGGAGCTCGGGAACCGAAAAGCCGGACGTCTTCACCCTGCTAATGACCTAGATCAGAAAGGGAGGAACATGGATGATTAACAGTCAACAATACATAGTCAGGGCAATACCTCTCCCACCAGAATGAAGCCTGTTATCCCTAGAGTGATGTCATCCACCATGGCCGGCCCAGCAGGGGAGTTTTCGTTACTGTTAAATAGCATCTGGGACAATATTCGGGAGTTGCACGAAGCAATCAGCCCAATGTCATTATAGATATCCTTTGGGGGAGGAGGAATTCCTTGGTTTTACATTTTGCCCAACATGCTATCAGTATTAGGGCAAATTCGGAGAAATAGCAATTTTCCCTGCAGAGTCATTTATTCAACTTATTATGAGTCAGTGCGTTTGGCTTAACACCACTTTGAAAAGTATTTCAGTTATAATCATGCCATGTAAGCTTGATGTGTGAGGGAAGCGCGAAGTGATGATTTTTACGACTTTGGTGAAATCCAAAGCACAGGTATGTTCCTGACAAACCTCGAAACAACCAGTGTGAACTGGGGTTTAAACCATGATCATAGATTTCTGTCATACCTAGGGGACACAACTCTGCACGGAGAACTGCAGAGCCTAAGTGAGTGAGTTGGGTTTAACACCGTTTTAACAGTATTCCAGTTACATCACGGCATGTCAGCTTAATGTTGGAGGAAAGCCTGAAGTGATGCAGGTCTCAGACGTTTACCACTTCGGTGAAACCCACGAGCACAGGTATGGTACTGACAAACCTAGAAACATAATCAGGGTGAACCGGGATTGGAACCCACAATGATAGGTTTCTGGCGTGCCCAAGGGACGCAACTCTGCACAGCGAATTGCCGCACCTTAGACGACTGGGCCACTCATGCCCCTCACAGAGCCTAAGACTACGGGTCACAAGTGTTATGAAACTAGAATGATCAATAACAGCAATATTATAATATTTTAGCAATATTCCAGCAATGTCATGGTAGGGGACACCAGAAATGGGCTTCACACATTGTACCCATGTCGGGAATCAAACCCAGGTCTTTGGCGTAACGAGCGAATGCTTTAACCACTAGGCCACCCCACCACCCCTGTCCTTGAGTGAAGTTAGATAAGCATGTAATGTTTAGGTCAACTGGGTACCAGCTTCACTGACTGGAAACAGGGCGTGTCCGTGTAATGGGCTTCACTGATGAAGGTTGTGCCAGTTTTCAACCAAGGTTGGTTGGTTTGTTGTTTTAGGCCGCACTCAGCAATATTCCAGTTATATGACGGCTGTCTGTAAATAATCAAGTCGGGACCAGACAATCCAGTGACTGACATTATGAACATCGATCCACGCAATTGGGATCGATGACCTGCATCAACCAAGTCAGCGAGTCTGACCACCCGATCTTGTTATTCGCTTTTTACGACAAGTATGGTCGCCTTTAACGTCAAGCAAGGGTTGCTGAAGTCCTATTCTACGTTTTCAACCAAGGAAGTCATCATGAAGTTGATTTGAATAGAAAGTTACAAACACTGATGAAGGGTAAGGCTTCAATGACTGTTGTTATTTCTATTTCACCAAGCAGACATGTTGGGATGCAGACTACAGAAATAATTAGCAAGTTTATTATTTTATTGTTACAAATGAAGTCTACTGAGAATCATTGCTTTGAAAATGACGCATGTTCCCTTGATGGTTGAGTAATTGTAAAGAGGATGGGCATGTCTGCTGCATTCTGATTGGTTGAAAAATGCTGTTGAATGGGATTGGAAATATTTTCACAACGTATGATTGCTTTTCTTCATAAAACTCTTTTTTATCTCCATCGAAATTTGAAAAAACCCCACTGAATCCAAACGGGTTAAGTTGTCATGGAAACATGATGTCACTCATTGTATCACATTGTCGCAGCATTTCCAAGTGTCGATCTCACCACGGCTGTGAGAGTTCAAGTGGAGAAAGAGTACTAAGTACTGATAATTTTACAATTTAAGTGTCCTCATATTTGCAGGTTTTTTTTGAGAATTTGAAACCTGAAAACTTTACATGTGAAACATCATGAGTCCCAGATGAAATATCCAGTCATTAAATAGTCAGTATCACAACACTTGAATTTTAAAAAAATCAGATATTTCTGTTGATTTTTCAACCAATTTTCAACACTGCGGAACAACAAGTTTTCAGACCAAGAACAAGGAATCTTTGTAATTGCAGGCAGTGGACATTCCTCTGGTGGGCCGGCCATGACAGACGCCTTGCAGCAATGCCATGCACCAGATGCCTTATTCTGTCAGAAAATAAACAAACTGAAGAGTTAGAAGTTAGTTGTGGAAAGCAAATAACAGCATGCAAAAAGATGCTTGGAATTACAGAAATGTGCATTTGTGACCCTAGGGTTTGGGCAACTTACTACCGTAAACAACTTAATTAACACCCTCTTTGTATGCCAACCCAGTGAAACAGCAAACCCCATCCCAAGCGCGTATCAATTATTTTCAGCCTGCCAATTAAATTTCACAGATATCAGGTACAATAAAAGGGAAGAGTTTAAAAAGATATCTGAATATAAGGAAATAGGAACTTAAAAAAGAAAAAGGAATAGGCCTGACAAGGGCACTTTGTTGGTAAGCCTTGCTAAATCCCAGGTTAACTTGGTCACGCCTGAATAAATGTTTTGAAGAGTTGACCAGAGCCCCACAAACGATCATAGTCTTGTTGTAAGTTTAAAAAGAAAGTACAGTAGAACACGGATATAACGAACACGGATATAGCGAACAAACGGATACAACGAACTGTTAAAAAATCCCCGATTTATCTCCTATATAATATCATATAAAATTTACGTATATAACGAACTCTCTACAGCGAACTAACTGATACAGCGAACTGATATCTGATCAATTGAATGATCACTGCTCATACAAATCAATGCTGCAGTTACGTGTGTATTGTTTTTTGTCTTATCCAAGATGGCGGACGTTTCCGAGCGAAAACGTGTATAACGAACGGATATAACAAACTTATTTCTCTGGTCCCTACTAGTTGGTTATATCCGTGTTCTACTGTATGTGAGTTACGATTGTCTTGGTGCTTCGATTGCTTTGTGAACAGGGCCTAGAAAGATAAACCATGATTTTGAAAATGATGGTGAAAGTCTTTGTTCAATGATTGAGGCCACCATCCAACAAAGCTATGTCAGGGCTACAACTGTCACAGGTCTGTGGAAGTAAGGCTTGGGCGTGGATTGAGGTGTAAATGTGTAAATGTTGGCATAATCCATTCTCACACTACAAATAGCTCAACTCCTAGAAATATATTTATGCAGTCTTGTTTCAGTCATTTCAATCTCACCCACTCACTCACTGTTTTGGTTCAATTCTTTCTGTGTATAGTCAGTATGGTTTTACGCCAATTTTAGCAATATTCCAGCAATATCACGGCGGGGGACACCAGAAATGGGCTTGACGCATTGTACCCATGTCGGGAATCAAACCCGGGTCTTTGGCGTGACGAGTAAACGCTTTAACCACTAGGCTCCCCGACCGCCCCAAACCAAAACAGAGACCAAAACAACATCACATTCAAATTTCAGTTCAATAAATAAATTGCAAGTGATTCCATGGTATTTGATTGGTTAACCGAGCAAATGTGTTTGCATTAATGTTTCCATAAGCCAAAAAGAAATTAGACCACGCCCACTAATTGACTACTGTTTCCTGATTAGCTGATAACAGAATGGGTAGTGATTCCAGGTATTTGATTGGTTAACCGAGCAAATGTGTTTGCATTAATGTTTCCATAAGCCAAAAAGAAATTAGACCACGCCCACTAATTGACTACTGTTTCCTGATTGGCTGATAACAGAATGGGTAGTGATTCCAGGTATTTGATTGGTTAACCTAGCAAATGTGTTTGCATTTATGTTTCAATAAGCCAAAACGAAATCAGACCATGCCCACTAATTGACTACTGTTTCCTGATTGGCTGATAACAGAATTGGTAGTGATTCCATGGTATTTGATTGGTTAACCGAGCAAATGTGTTTGCATTAATGTTTCAATAAGCCAAAACGAAATTAGACCACGCCCACTAATTGACTACTGTTTCCTGATTGGCTGATAACAGAATGGGTAGTGATTCCATGGTATTTGATTGGTTAACCGAGCAAATGTGTTTGCATTTATGTTTCAATAAGCCAAAACGAAATCAGACCATGCCCACTAATTGACTACTGTTTCCTGATTGGCTGATAACAGAATGGGTAGTGATTCCATGGTATTTGATTGGTTAACCGAGCAAATGTGTTTGCATTTATGTTTCCATAAGCCAAAAAGAAATAAGACCACGCCCACTATTGGACTACTGTTTCCTGATTGGCTGATAACAGAATGGGTAGTGATTCCATGGTATTTGATTGGTTAACCGAGCAAATGTGTTTGCATTTATGTTTCAATAAGCCAAAACGAAATCAGACCACGCCCACTAATTGACTACTGTTTCCTGATTGGCTGATAACAGAATGGGTGGGGCTGGTGTTGCATCATTGCTGAATGATGTCACTGATAGGCTGTCTGTGAAGTTATTACTGATGACATATATATCACCGAGAATTGACTTCCTATATGTTGTTACCTTTAAGGAGTTATTAACGTAAAAACTGATGTGCAACCTTTGCAATGCAAATTTGAACTGAATGCACACTGTGTTTTACATAAAAAATATTGAGGTTGATTCTTAAATAAACAAAGTAAAAGAAACAAGTAAAAAACAATAATTCAGTTCTAGGGTCACAAAAACAGGCTACAAATCATAATAAGATAAAACACAATACAGTTAATTAGCATGCAATAGTTAAAAGGAAGTACTGTACACATCGACATCATCTGGACAAGGAAACTGGAGGTACGTCTTATGACTCTTAAGGTTAATGTGGATGAGGTTACTCTTTTTATGATATTTTCAATACTCACAACACGAAATATGAAGAAGACTTTTCATGTACTTCCCTTTAAATATTGATGAAGATTCATTCTGACAATTTCCAAAATCCCTTTCAGCAAGTGTGACCTTTTTCCAAAATGTGTAAAAGTATACACGACAAGTTCTCAACAGGTTTCACTCACTCACTCGCTTGCTCTCATTGTAAAATACAATGGCCAAAAAAGGAATTGGAAAAAAATCAATGAAAATATTTCAGTAAAACAAAACAGAAAATATATTAATAAAAGGTGAAACAAAAGAAAAAATGATTAGCACTGAAATGAAGTTATCACATTAAAAGTGTATAATAATAACATAAATGTTAAAACTGATTAACAATGCTGTTCCCACGGTTACCGATATATGATCACAGGGATATTTACACAGAAGAAGTGTCGTGCAATACAAGCAGTGTGCTAACAACATGTAGTTAGTGGTATCATGAACCAAAATACGAGGAACCATCTTGTGCTCGGGATGAGAAAACAATCTCAGTGCTACGACTGTTGTTTCTTTGTGTTAAAGTACAGGAGTTCCAACAGTCATGGAGCTGACATTGTCTTACACAACAGGGCCTAGACTTGCACAAGTCTCTAAGGCAATAATCATTATTTTCTAGATTATGTAAATAATAACAAGTTGTCCCTATAAGAGACTGGAGTCCTTAGAATGTCCACATATCTCGACTTGCCACTTGGGAGGATAGAATTACTACACATCCATGGACCTTTGTTTCAGTACAGCCTTGGAGAAAGGCTAAACCTGATAATCAAGAGTGGAGGCCTGTCATCCAATATTAAAATATGGTATTTGTTAAAGGGGTCACCAATATTGGACTGGCTCTCAAGCCCTGACTGAGGCAAGTGTCCTGTAAAACAGTAGAACATTCAGCTTGAGCTGGAGGTTAATGCAGCTTTGCATGTCATTTCAGTGACGTCAGTTATTGCACTACACGTCAGTGAATTTGCTGGACGGGACAGTATCAACTGAGGGCATATTGAATACCCTCTCAAGGATGACTAACTGTAGAATCCATACCCTTAAGTGCTAGCTGTAGCATATGCTAGCTTTAAGTGCTAGCTCTTAGCATATGTACCCTTAAGTGCTAACTGTAGCATATGATAGCCTTAAGTGCTAGCTGTAGAATTTGTAGCCTTAATTGTTAGCTGTAGCATATGTTCTTTTAAGTGCTAGCAGTAGCATATGAACCCTAAAGTGCTAGCTGTAGCATATGATAGCCTTAAGTGCTAGCTCTTAGCACATGTACCCTTAAGTGCTAGCTGTAACATATGAACCCTAAAATGCTAGCTGTAGCATATGATAGCCTTAAGTGCCAACTATAGCATATAATAGCCTTAAGTGCTAGCTGTAGCATATGTTCTCTTAAGTGCTAGCTGTAACATATGAACCCTAAAATGCTAGCTGTAGCATATGATAGTCTTAAGTGCTAGCTATAGCATATTATAGCCTTAAGTGCTAGCTGAAGCATATGATAGCCTTAAGTGCTAGCTGTAGCATATGATAGCCTTAAGTGCTAGCTGTAGAATCTGAAGCCTTAATTGTTAGCTGTAGCATATGATAGCCTAAAGTGCTAACTATAGCATATAATAGCCTTAAGTGCTAGCTGTAGCATATGTTCTCTTAAGTGCTAGCAGTAGCATATGAACCCTAACGTGCTGGCTGTAGCATATGATAGCCTTAAGTGCTAGCTATAGCATACTATAGCCTTAAGTGCTAGCTGAAGCATATGATAGCCTTAAGTGCTAGCTGTAGAATCTGAAGCCTTAATTGTTAGCTGTAGCATATGTTCTCTTAAGTGCTAGCTGTAGCATATGAACCCTAAAGTGCTAGTTGTAGCATATGTTCTCTTAAGTGCTAGCTGTAGCAAATGAACACTAAAGTGCTAGTTGTAGCATAGGTACACTTAAGTGCTAGTAGTAGCATATGTACCCTTAAGTGCTAGTTGTAGCATATGTACCCTTAAGTGCTAGTTATAGCATATGTACCCTTAAGTGCTAGTTGTAGCATATGTACCCTTAAGTGCTAACCATAGCCCCTGTGGTCTTAAGTATTAGGTGTCATAAAAACTTTACATCAGTCCAAAAAGTATGTGGTATGCTAGCCATCACCACACTGAAGCACAGAAACAACATGTTTTAAATGTTTCCTTTTCAAACTGAAAATGCGCTTGAGATACCAACATTTTCAAGAGATGGAAAATTCAAGTTTTCAAAAACAAAAGTATTCAATTAAGTATCTGCCTATCAAAACGTGGTACGACAGGGAAAAATAGTTCTAACAGATGGCCTCAATTATGATACAAAGTTGCATTACATAGTATACTTGTGATTGGCATTCCTCGGCATTCTGTTACGTCATGCAGTGGCATGCAGCATGACCATGTCAGTAGCAGGCGACTAGGAACATTGACAGACTAACAGTACATGGACAACAATCTCATAAATCATTTGATCAGGTGAGCTCAATAGGGCATGCCGAAGTCAGGTGAGCTAAGACGGGCACAACAAACTCATGACATGACAAAGACTTCATTGTTCATTGCTTTCTTTTGGGCCTACAAGGCTTCAAGCTGGTGAGCTATTTAAAATACATGTGAAGATACATTTAGAAAAAATCCTAAGATACCAAGCTATGTTTACAACCCATGTTCTCTGATGCAAACCCAAGTCACATGACCCAAGTGACCAATCACAATCCATCGACACTATCCATAAAAGGATATTATAAATAAATTGCTTAACAGATCCACCAACTCTTATTTTCACAAATGTGAAATAAAATTAAAATACACTGATAGTCTTATTTGCAAGCTTCTTATTTCCCTCCACAAAACTTTTTAAGTTTCAGCTGTGAATAAAATATTCCAAGTTCTGGGCCCCGTTCCACAAAGCGATCTTAGGGCTAAGTTGATTGTAACTCGCTAAGTATGCGATCTTAAATTTTTGTTACGATCAGCCGCCCGTTCCACAAAGCAATCTTAACTAAGTTAAGATCAAAATGCTAAGTTGCCCCGGACCAACTTAGGATTGCTAAAATCAATCTTAAATATTGTACCATAACAACAAAGATGGCGACTTTTATTATGGTGTGCAAGGAAATGCGTCGTCTGCTAAACATGACCAAGGGAGGCCACTCCAAGGGAAAATTTCGTATCTTTATTGCTGAAGATTCCGATCTTTGTTAAGATCGGCTACTTAAGAACTTGTAAAGTTACAATCACCCTAAGATCGCTTTGTGGAACGGTTGTAAACTTTAGCTAAGACAATTTTAGAATCGACGTAAGTCTCTAAGATTGATTGTAGTTATGATCGCTTTGTGGAACGGGGCCCTGGCCAATATGGATAGGTCAAGGCAACTGATGTGTCATTCTCCGCATCAGTTTTTCTTCCGTACTATTTTTTGTATGCGTCTTACGATAGTATACATGACTAGTTAAACATAGCCTGGTATAGTATCAAGCTGCTTCAAGCTGTGCTCAATACTCTGTACTGCTCTCTATGACATGCAGTCCGTACCATCTGTATCTGCAGTCCACAAACTAACATCTTCCCGAGGCAAGGGAGTTAACTGACTGTAAAAGTCCAGTACTCACCCTTGCTGAACTAGGCTGGAATTATGGAGTTATATTTTGGCTGGACTAACGAGTTTATGCATGGTCCAATCAAAATCGTGTGACTTAATTGACATCCGGTTTGTAACTGCTGTGCAGATTTCGGTCAATTGCTGGATTTGCAAAGCATGTGTATCATCAACAGACATTTTTTAAATCTTTCATGTTTTTAATCAAGGCACTCACATGATTTGAGGCACTTCAGGAAGTAAGACCATTTTATTGATATATAGATTTTGATTAAAGATCAGACAGTCTTCACTGGGTGCCGCCATTTTGTTTGAAGCAAATGCAGTAATATCAGAGGAGGAATCTGATTGGTGAATAGGAGGGACATAATAGGGACATACCTCGTAATAGCTCAGAAATTCCAGCCTTGTTCAGCAAGGGTGGAGACTGGACTTTTACAGTCAGTTAACTCCCTTGCCTCGGGAAGATGACTAACTGAAGTCAACAACCCAGTCTCAGTGATTTGAATGCATCTGATTTTGTTTGTTCTAGTTTACACCACACTCAGCAATATTCCAGCCATCCGATGGCGGCCTGTAAATAACCAAGTCTGGCCAGACAATCTAGTGATTGAAATTATGAGCAACATTCATATTATTGTGGTACGTGGAAGCACAATCAGTCAACCAAGTCACTGAGACTGACCAGCCGATCCGTTGAGTCACTTCTTTCAACCAGCGTAGGTTGAACCTCTGTCTATCAATTACAGACTGAAGTCAACAATAATAAGTCAGGTGACACACACCTGAAAAGGTATGGCCAGAGGATCAATTGCAATTTGATCCGATTTGAATTGTTTTCACAGACCATGATCCACCCCAAGGCAATCTGAAGCACTCTACACTCTACTAGCCCTAAATCAAGATGCCAGAAAATCTCCATAACTGATTCCATATATGGGTGGCAGAACGTCTATACTCAAGGGCAAAAGTAACTCTGCACAAGTTCTTTTATTCTACGTTGTTATTAAGGAGAAGCAAACAACAAACTCAAAACTTCCAGCTTAAAAAAACTGATTTGACTTCACCATGTTTTTACAAATATGCACACAGTGTTCACACTTGTTTTACAATTATATACCTCCACAAATGCAAGAAATATTTCAGTCAATTCTTAATTGACAAAACCTAACCTAAATATATATTCCGCTCTCATTCAAAGAATCATTTGTTGTATATATAACAGATATATGTTCACAGTTACTTTTGCTTTTGATGAGATCGTGGGTCGAGAATGACTAGATCGTGAGGCGAGAATGACTAGATCGTGGGGCGGGTATGACTAGGTCGTGGGTCGGGTGTGACTAGATCGTGGGGTGGGGTCAACTCACCTCCTGCCCCAGGGAGCAGATGGAGGAGGACTGAGGCTGGCCCGGTGGGGAGTGGCAGCGGAAACAGTTGAGCGTCTTGTACACGATGTTGGGGAACTGACAGTGGAAGAAGTAGCCGGTCAGGTCCGTCAGCGGGTCTTGGAAAGCCAGGTCGGCATCAAACTGGATCATGTGGCCTGCACAGAACGAAGCTGAGACTACAGTTAGAACATCGACATAAAGATCTCAGGACATCTCCACAGGAGGTCGTGTCAGTTGAGCTTTCAAATCAGCCAATCAGCGTTGAGGCTTTCTAATTCTCGGTATGAGAAAGCGAAACAATTAGGCAAGCATATCTGATCTCTGAATCTCGAAAACGAATATAATCGTGCTGTTCCGAATGCAAAAAAAAAGTTGTGCTATTATATTGTTGTGGATGATTGATACTAATACATCCCGTCGTGTCTCAGCACCAAAGAGCATCTACTTCCAAAAGGATGTACTATCAAGGGTATGGTTGCATTCAGTGTGTGTGTGTGTGTGTGGGGGGGGGGGGTTCTGTTGCTAAGATTGCGATTTCTGAACAGAGGTGGTAAGGACATGAAACCGAATAGTTTCAGAAAGCTGTCATATGATTGGCTCCATAAGCCTCGCATCCTTCATTTAGATTGAATGATCAACCACATACAGTCTACTTCATTGGCTTTTCTCCTGTTAATCTCATCGGCTTCAGTATTAAATTGTTCTATTCGTACATTAATCCTACTTTGTGTAAACGTAGCATCATGTATATGAATTAATCTATATGATCCCACCTGATCCCATCCTTGCTGATCCCATCCCACCCGATCCCCTCCTGCCCGATCCCCTCCCTCCTGATCCGCTCCTGCCTGATCCGCTCCTGCCTGATCCCCTCCTGCGCGATCCCCTCCTGCCTGATCCCATCTTGCCCTATCCCGCCGGATCCCATCCTGCCGGATCCCCTCCCGCCCGATCCCCTCCTGCCTGATCCCATCTTGCCCTATCCCGCCGGATCCCATCCTGCCCGATCCCCTCCCGCCCGATCCCCTCCCGCCCGATCCCCTCTTGCCCGATCCCCTCCCGCCCCATCCCCTCCTGCCCGATCCGCTCCTGCCCGATCCCCTCCTGCCTGATCCCCTTCTGCCCGATCCCCTCCCGCCCGATCCCCTCCCACCCGATCCCCTCCTGCCCCATCCCCTCCTGCCCGATCCGCTCCTGCCCGATCCCCTCCCGCCTGATCCCCTCCCGCCCGATCCCCTCTTGCCCCATCCCCTCCTGTCTGATCCCCTCCTGCCCGATCCCCTCCCGCCGATCCCCTCCTGCCCGATCCACTCCCGCCGGATACCCTCCCGCCGGATCCCCTCCCGCCCCATCCCCTCCCGCCGGATCCCCTCCCGCCCGATCCCGCAGGATCCCATCTCCCCTGTTCCCATCCTGCCTGACCCCTCCTGCCTGATCCCATCACACCCGATCCCATCCTGCCCCATCCCCTCCTGCCCCATCCCGCCGGATCCCATCCCGCCGGATCCCATCTCCCCTGTTCCCATCCTGCCTGACCCCTCCTGCCTGATCCCATCACACCCGATCCCATCCTGCCCCATCCCGCCGGATCCCATCTCCCCTGTTCCCATCCTGCCTGACCCCTCCTGCCTGATCCCATCACACCTGATCCCATCCTGCCCCCTCCCGCCGGATCCCATCTCCCCTGTTCCCATCCTGCCTGACCCCTCCTGCCTGATCCAATCACACCCGATCCCATCCTGCCCCATCCCGCCGGATCCCATCTCCCCTGATCCCATCTCCCCTGATCCCTTCCTGTCTGATCCCCCCCCGCCCCCCCAATCCCATCCTGCCTGATCCCCCACACCTACCCTTGTAGCCGATGTGTGAGTCCGGTCCCTTGGAGATCTTGGCCAGCCACCAGAGGAACACATACTCCAACTGCATCTTCATCAACCTCGTGAACTTCGTGACGCTCGGCACCAGGGTCTTCAACGGCTTGATGGTTAGTGCCTCTGGTTTCATCACTTTCGGCATCGGGACCGAGAACAGACCTACACAACATCAGGGAGATGTGAGGGGCATTAGGATATATCTCTCACTGTATCGACCAAAACGCCACAGGCCCCTCAAATCTACGGAAATTGTGCGGAAGTAAACAAAAATTTCCGTGCTCATTGGCATTGAGGGCTCTGATTGATCTGAGCTCCAACCATAACAAACACACAGAGCGATATTTAGCAATCAGAGCGCTTGACGCCATTGAGCGTGGAAATTTTAATTTACAATTGAACCAATGTTTCGAAAAATCACCCAATTTAGCTAAAAATTGCAAAAAATGAATGTTTGTGACATGCATGGCCTTCACGGGGGGACGTGGGGAGATATTGTGAACATGACATGCATACGTTTCCATTGAATGCCAATTTCAACGTCGGCCAAGATGGCGAGTGACACACCTTGTCTATTAATATATATGGGGCCAGTGTTTCAGTAATATCACTATTCTGCTTCCGGGGCCTGTAAAGGACTCCAACGGTTACAAGGGTGGACCAAGCAAAACACCCAACAGTTTCAGGGTGCATCGGCCAAGCCTCATGAACTCTGTTTGGCTGACATCTCGGATGTTCTGTGACTAGTGATATGTGTCGATGTGTCCAGCAACTTGGAAGTCTCACCTTTAGCAGTTCCATCCCTCTCCAGCATGGTGGCAAACATGTCCCGGAAGTCCAAGTCGGTGGAGAACTTCTGCACGAGATCCGCGGGGAGGTTGGTCATCATGGAGGGGGGAGTGTGGTACAGCTGCAACAACAGCAGCAACATCAGGACATCCACTCATGCCAGCAACATCACTATGGGGACATAGGCTAAAGGCAGCTACATCACCACAGGGACATCAGCTGAAGGCAGCTACATCACCACAGGGACATCAGCTAAAGTCAGCTACATCACTACAGGGACATCAGCTAAAGGCAGCTACATCACTACGGGGACATCAGCTAAACGCAACTCTATCACTACAGGGACATCAGCTAAAGGCAGCTACATCACTACAGGGACATCAGCTAAAGGCAGCTACATCACTACAGGGACATCAGCTAAAGGCAGCTACATCACCACAGGGACATCAGCTAAAGGCAGCTACATCACCACAGGGACATCAGCTAAAGGCAGCTACATCACTACAGGGTCATCAGCTAAAGCCAGCTACATCACTACAGGGACATCAGCTAAAGGCAGCTACATCACTACAGGGACATCAGCTAAAGGCAGCTACATCACTACAGGGACATCAGCTAAAGGCAGCTACATCACTACAGGGACATCAGCTAAAGCCAGCTACATCACTACAGGGACATCAGCTGAAGGCAGCTACATCACCACAGGGACATCAGCTAAAGGCAGCTACATCACTACAGGGACATCAGCTAAAGGCAGCTACATCACTACAGGGACATCAGCTAAAGTCAGCTACATCACTACAGGGTCATCAGCTAAACGCAACTCTATCACTACAGGGACATCAGCTAAAGTCAGCTACATCACTACAGGGACATCAGCTAAAGGCAGCTACATCACTACAGGGACATCAGCTAAAGGCAGCTACATCACTACGGGGACATCAGCTAAAGGCAGCTACATCACTACAGGGACATCAGCTAAAGCCAGCTACATCACTACAGGGACATCAGCTAAACGCAACTCTATCACTACAGGGACATCAGCTAAAGTCAGCTACATCACTACAGGGACATCAGCTAAAGGCAGCTACATCACTACAGGGACATCAGCTAAAGGAAGCTACATCACTACAGGGTCATCAGCTAAAGGCAGCTACATCACTACAGGGTCATCAGCTAAAGGCAGCTACATCACTACAGGGACATCAGCTAAAGGCAGCTACATCACTACGGGGACATCAGCTAAAGGCAGCTACATCACTGCAGGGACATCAGCTAAAGTCAGCTACATCACTACAGGGACATCAGCTAAAGCCAGCTACATCACTACAGGGACATCAGCTAAACGCAACTCTATCACTACAGGGACATCAGCTAAAGTCAGCTACATCACTACAGGGACATCAGCTAAAGGCAGCTACATCACTACAGGGACATCAGCTAAAGGCAGCTACATCACTACAGGGACATCAGCTAAAGGCAGCTACATCACTACAGGGTCATCAGCTAAAGGCAGCTACATCACTACAGGGTCATCAGCTAAAGGCAGCTACATCACTACAGGGACATCAGCTGAAGGCAGCTACATCACTACAGGGACATCAGCTAAAGCCAGCTACATCACTACAGGGACATCAGCTAAAGGCAGCTACATCATAAACCATGGTAACCGGAAACTGAGAATTGTGACCATGAAAAAATATTATCATTGTTTATATATCACACAAATGTACTCTGAAATTATCAAATTACAGATTTCCATTTTCTAATGAAGAGAAGTTTTTTAATCAGTAGAAATCAACAACTGTGACCATGGGATGTTTTAATATTCTCTCAATGTGATCCAGTGGTTGGTGATCGTGTTACTGTCATGAGTGAGTTGGGCGTAACAACGCTTTGAACAGTATTACAGTTATATCATGGCATGTCAGCTTAATGTGGGAGGAAAGCCCGAACTGATGCAGGTCTCAGACGTTTACCACTTTAATGAAACCCACAAGCACGGTGTTGTGCTGACAATCCTAGAAACATAATCAGGGCAAACCCGTGACTCGAACCGACGATCATAAGTTTCTGACATTCTCAAGAGATGCAAGTCTGCCAACCGAATTGTACTGCAATAGACGACTGGGCCACCTGTGCCCTCAAGGGCTCCAGGACATCCTTCATTTGTTAATACTGAACATGACACACTGAGAACTGAACAGCTGCTATAATTGAGGGGAAACATTCCTTACCCCAAGGAGTCTGTCGAGTTGGTAGACAATGGCATACGAGGTGTGGAACTGTTCCGGGCCTTTCTCCGAAATAAACAGCGCCTTGGACACCATCTTGTCTTCACCATTGGGGATGAATTTGACCACCACCTTGCCTCCCTTGGGCTGGTTCCCGACGGCTGGAGTGATGCCAGCCACAGACCCCACCGTCTGACTCACCACGGCCTTGAACCAGTCACTTTCACGGTAACCTGGAATGAACACATACTGCTTGTTTCTTTGTTTGTTTCTTTGTTTCTTTGTTTGTTTAATGCCACATTCAACCATATTCCAGCTATATGATGGTGGTCTGCAAATAATCGAATCTGGGTCAGACAAACCAGTGATTGATATTAGGAGCAATGATCCACGCCATCAGGGTACAATGACATGGAGCCTGGCCTGATCAGTTTGGCTGTTTTTTTAGAGTAGAATAGGTTCCTGCGGACCAATTCTAACCTGGAATATCCCCAGGGTAGAACACAATGTTCCCGACGTCTGTACCCACCTTTCCCCCACCGTGATATTGATGTGATATTGCTGGAATATTGCTAAAAGCAGCATAAAACATACTCACTCACTCACTCACTCACTCACTCACTGTACCCACCTTTCAATCCTAGGTGGGTCATAAGCCTCCTCTCTCTGCTCTTGTGAGCCTCTTCATGGCTCATAAGGCTTCGCTTTACACACGTGTCACGTGTCAAAGGCTGCTGGCCACCAGGTGGCGCTCTGCTCACATTCTGGTCATTTGATTGGTCTTTCCTTTGTTGGTCATGGTTGTTGTTGTCCTGATCGCTGTTATGATTGTCGTTCGGACTGTTGTTATTCTGTTGATTGTTGTTGCTGTCGTCCTGATGGTTTTTGTTGGTCTCATCATTGTTGGCCTGTGGTGGTCGGCCTGCCCCCTCGCGACGGATGAACAGCGTGGTTCCCGCAGACAACTGGGGGTTGGAGGCGCTGGAGTTCTTCAGTATTATCGTCATCAGGTCTGAAGCAGATTGCAAATAAGCTGTTTTCAGGCCCTTCATAGAAACAAAACAACAGATGCCGGAAACCCTGAGTTAGTTTCTCATCTGGAGGCCCTCTTAAGGATACAAACAATTAGTTACAGTATTTTCCTTGAGTATAGTGCGCACCCCCCTATAGCGGATTCAGTACTTTGGAAAAAGAAATTTGGAATATTATGCACAGAAAAAAATGACACCCTAACCCTTCAGCGAAAACCGGTAAACGAATGGAAGATAAGAAACTTGGTCAGTACAAATTGAAATTTTAGATAAAAAAACACCAGACATGTTGATTTACCGTTCAAATTGTATTTTTTGTTTAGCTAGGCATTGTTTTACATTAAGATTACCTTGTGTATTTTCTTGTAAACTAAGCCAGAAACAGCAATCAGCCGTTCACACGTTTTCGTGGAATCTACCAGTGATTTGGTTAAAACTTTCCCAGTGATATAATTTTAAAGGATTTTGATGCAAGGATCGTGAAAAATTGTATCTGAAGCTATTTTTTTATCGGGAATAATATATTCAAATATCATGTTATCTGGTTTTCATCCCCATTTTTCAAACTTTGTAAAATCCATACTCTAAATGTCACTTAAAGGTGAGGTGAAATTGGGATTAACGTCGCGTCCAAGAGTATTGCACTTATATAGCGAAGTGTGTGTGTGTGTGCGAATGTGTGTGTGTGTGTGTGTGTGTGTGTGTGTGTGTGTGTGTGTGTGTGTGTGTGTGTGTGTGTGTGTGTGTGTGTGTGTGTGTGTGTGTGTGTGTGTGTGTGTGTGTGTGCTTGTACTAGTCCGGACTGATGCCGATTTATAGTGCTAGCTCACTGAGATACCATGCCGCAGTTTAACATGGATACCCCACTCTGACACAGTATACTAACTCCAAGCCGACCAGTCCTTGTTTTAGCCCCTTAATGCCGAGCGCCAGACAGGGTAACAACAAGTACCATCTTTTAAAGTCTTTTGGCTCTCCGGGCGGACGCTCAACCTCTAGACCACGGAGGCCGTCCAAATGCCACTAAAAGAAACCCTCTGCTTCAAGTTACACCTACTTTCTGACTCTGGCTGGGAGCTGTAGATGACGATAGATTCACAGAATTGGTTGGCATCACACATGTTCTGTGAGTCCTGGATGCTCCGTGCTGTCAGAACACATCCCCACGTCACTCGCGAGTTCTCGCATCGGAAATCGTATATTCCCTGGTAGTTGGACTGGTCATAGCGGAGGTACTCGCCGGGTGACACTCGGTCCCGTCCCTGTGGCAAGAGAAACACAATCAATACAGACACGTAGTTAGATGGCATGCAGAGAAGAGATGGTGGCTAACAGGATTCATTGGACATGGAAGCGTCATGACTCAATCTGGAGATTTTAGCAGTCACTTTCTATATACTTACAAAATCTAGTTTTCTTTACTGACGAGGACTGCTTGTTTAGATTGTTTTGTGAACCAGGTGCAAATACACCAAAAAATATTATATAAGGTTAATGTCATGAAGTAAACTTAAAAACAAAACAATTTTTATCTTAAGGTATTAATAAACGGTAATTAAAAAGAATATTTTTTTATTCAAAATGCAAATTTTGAGGAGAATCATCCATGAAACAAGAAATTAATTTCTCTTGAATCTGTAAAAGCAATTTACATCTAATATCTACAAGTTTTGCATTTTAGGTGTAAATAGATATACTAATATGCAATTATCTGTTCATCACAAACTATAGGCAAACAGAACATTACAAACTATCTCCATTGACAAGATGGATGCATCCCCCTGTCCCTCTCATGGCTGTATTACCGTCCGTCTCATGGTTATATTACATCCCCCTCATGGCCATATTACATCCCTCTCATGGCTATATTACATCCCCCTCATGGCCGTATTTCATCCCTCTCATGGCTATATAACATCCCCCTTATGGCCGTATTACATCCCTCTCATGGCCATATTACATCCCCCTCATGACTGTATTACCGTCCCTCTCATGGCTATATTACCATCCCTCTCATGGCTGTATTACCATCCCTCTCATGGCTATATTACCATCCCTCTCATGGATATATTCCATCCCCCTCATGGCTATATTACCATCCCTCTCATGGCTATATTACCATTCATCTCATGGCAATATTACCATCCCTCTCATGGCTATATTACCATCCCTCTCATGGTAATATTACCATCCCTCTCATTGCTATATTACCATCCCTCTCATGGCAATATTACCATCCCTCTCATGGCTATATTACCGTCCCTCTCATGGCAATATTACCATCCCGCTCATGGCTATATTACCGTCCCTCTCATGGCAATATTACCATTCCGCTCATGGCTATATTACCGTCCCTCTCATGGCTATATTACCGTCCCTCTCATGGCAATATTACCATCCCTCTCATGGCTATATTACCATCCCTCTCATGGCTATATTACCATCCCTCACATGACTTGTTACCATCACTCTTGTGACCATATTACCGTAACCATGGCTGTGAAAGATTACACATGTTACACAACTGAATTGATTTTTATGGATCAAAGAAAAGAGAAAGACCTAGCTTTCAAAATAAAAATAATTATAATTGTTATTACACAGATTTAATTCACCAAGTAAGGCTGGAAACCTTGATTTAAGTTTAACATTTACTGATTATTTAATTGGTCATTAAAAGCCATTAGTCAAGCCAGAATAAGACGTACGTTGTTTGTTACGCCTGCATCAGCTGGTACAAGTCCACTACCAACACTGACGGCAACAACTTAAACACCATCACCTTACAACCGCGGCCTGACCAAGGAGTGAAACAACGAGGGTTACATCGGTCGACAGTAGGACAGCAACACAACAGCAGCATGTGGTGACGACAAGACTGGAGCAGCAGAACCCAATAGTGTGAGCAGGGATCAATTTAACTGCTGCCCCGTTGGCCCGTGGCCAGTAAAAATGACAAAGGGCTTGCTGAAATGAAAGTAGATGGCCCGTCTGGCTAGTCCAAATTTCATCCATTCTCCGTGCATGTTTAATTTTTTTAATTGGATCTCATCTCGGTAGAATGACAACCTCCTGCCATTTTGTAATGTTGTGTACAACAAATTTTTTATTTGTAATGTGGAAGCCAAGATTTAATCTCAGAGTGTAGGAAAAACATTTTACAACATGTTTTAGGGGTGAGGAATTCTAAAATTATTCAGAGCCTTGCTACGTGACCTCAGGTTCAGGCACTTCGTGGCCTCCACGATTTAGTTGTACGCCAGTTAGTTTGGAGAAGGGCTAGTAACTTTCAAAAGGAGCAAGACCTGCTGGCTACAAACAAATTAGTTGTTAAATCTATCCCTGTGAGCATTATCTAAACTGTGGGAGTATTACAAGATTTGGGGATACTCCATTCTTAGCAACTGATCGCCAATGTTTGGTTTGTTTGCTTGTTGTTTAAAGCACCACACAGCATTATTCCATCTATATGACAGTCTTTAAATGATCGAGTCTGAACCAGACAATCCAGTGACTGACATCATGAGTATCAATCTACTCAATTGGGATATGATCATGCCATCAACCAAGTCACCAAGCCTGACACCCAGTCCATGTAGTCGCCTCTTACAAAAAGCATATATTGCTGGGGACTTTATTCTTACCCCAAACCCCCACGTATTGATCCCCAGTGTCCTATTTATGTCACCCCATACAGTTTGTTTCATGATTGTTTCATGTTGTTTAACGCCGCACTCAGCCATATTCCAGCTATATGACGGCGGTCTGTAAATAATTGAGTCTGGACCAGACAATCCAGGGATTGACATCATAAGCCTCGATCCACGCAGTTGGGATACGATGACATGCATCAACCAAGTCAGCGAGCCTGACCACCCGATCTGAAGACCTATTCTACCCCAGACCTTCACGGGTCTCACCTCATACAGAAACCATGAGTTACTGGGGCAGATGGAATACCCACAGGCTTCTCTAATAGACACACTAAATAGACTACCCAAATAAATGATGTTTTGGCATCAACAGAGCTGACTCCATTAACAACTTTACAAGAAATAGACACTCCTAAATATTTAACAGAGACATACAACATACAGATCATATAAACTTAGTATCAAGACCTGATACATATGCAAAAAGAGGTCTCCTATCAGCACTATCAAAAACTATACATCAATGCAAAGTCTTGCTCAATACATTATTGCCCAATGTTTCCAATAATCTTTGATAGGGGTTCCCATTGTGTGGGTGTTTCTGTAGACAAATGGCTGCAAATCATTTACCACGACATGCTAAATGGGGAGGTTCACTCAAAGATTGGATTCATACGTGTTTTTAGAGTTACTTGGTATTGTTTGACATTAGTCAAGTACTTGCAGTATTCCAGCATATCCTGGGCTTCTTACAGAAAACCTTTGGGAATCAAACCTGGATGTTTGGCATGATGATCCTACACTTTAACCACGAGGCCACCCACTGCGCCTTACAAAATAAAAATGGTTACCATGATTCTGTGAAGCACTTTACCCACATAGCAGCAAGCATGCAACATGTACAAAGCACAGGGCTTACCTTGAAGAAATCCCACAAGCGTATTTCTACCTGACAGTATCACTGCTACTAGGGTATCTAATGGTTTGACATCCACTGTCTGAATTCTCCCTACCGACATGTTTTAGTTGAATCAGCTATTGCTTTATTTCTGACACGCTAGAGTGAGTACTGAATAGAAGTCCAGCATGGTACTATGGATCAGTGAACACGTACCGAAATTATCTGGATGTGAGTGAGTGAGTGAGTGAGTGAGTGAGTGAGTAGGTTTGACACAGATTTCAACAGTTTTTCAGAATAGTCAGTGTTAGTTTGCAAGCAGGACGTTTGCTGCTGATGCTGACAAACCTAAAATTGAAATCGGGTCAAATGTGGGTTTCAAACCCACGAGTACAGGTATGGTGCTCACAAACCTAACATTGAAATCGGGTCAAATGTGGGACGAGCACAGGATACGAGCACCTGCATACTGTGCACAGCAAACTGCATGTCTAAACAATGTCAATAGTGCCCGTTTTATCCAGCAATACCACTGACTCCTGTCACAGGACTACGACATCCATATCTGTTTTATTCAGTATATTTAGTCTCTCCTATTTAATCATGAAATATTTCATTATGACAAAATACATACTCTAGGTTCTCTAGAATCAGCACATTGGTGAAAACACCCTCTCAGACCAAAGTCAAACAGTTTCCTTTCCAAACTGATCACACTGAAATCCTTTGGGCAAATAATATTGATCAGTTACTAAGCATTTATTTTGGTTTTGGTTAATTGGTTGTTTACGGCCGCACTCAGCATATATTCCAGCTATATGACAGCGGTCTGTAAATAATCGAGTCTGGACCAGACAATCCAGGGATTGACATCATAAGCATCGATCCACGCAATTGGGATACGATGACATGCATCAAACAAGTCAGCGAGCCTGACCACCCGAACCCGTTAGTCGCCTCTTATGGCAAGCATAGTCACCTTTTACAGCAAGAATGGGTTGTTGAAGACCTATTCTATCAGGGGTCTTCACGGGTCGCATTTGTTTTGCATTGACTTAGATACAAGATGCAAGATTTGGATATTAAAAATCAACATGTCCCTGCATCAGTTCATATGATAACAGACTAAGCATCATAGGATTCTGGCAGCAACAGGAGGCAATTCACCTCAGCGATGCCCTAGATCACTCAGCATTTATTGGACGAGGGTAACATTGGTATCCCCCCTCCAGATTTTCTGTGATATGTGTATGTTTCCAAAGTCATATCTTGTCAATCAAACATTGATGTGTGACATATGGAAGTGCCCATTCTGTTCAGGGAAGTGTTCCACCTCTTTAGGCATGCATGATATTATTATAGGACCAGATGAAAAAAGTAGCAAAAATTATACACAGATCCTCAAATTCAACAGTCCTTTCATCATAATGCCCTGAATTTTATGTTATCACATATATGAATTGTTTAGAAACAAATAAATCAAATTGGTCTTGAATCCCTAATTGTGGGATGATAACCCATTATGTTAATTTGGTAACTGTTATCCATGCAAACATATGTCATACTACATACACATGTATATGTTATGTAGCCTTTTCAGATGTGAATACATCTACATGTTCCTGCCAAATATGGAATAATACTGGACACGTCTATCAAGTCTGTTTCGTTTAGATGCTGGTAATGTGCTCTGAAGGAAAAACTCAATTCTGATCTGATATATTTTGACTTTGAGTCATAGTAAACTCAAAACTTTATTTTAAAAAATCAGGGAATAACAATGTAAATATTCTAATATCAATAGCATCATCTATGTGAGACAACTTGGTGATGGCGACGGAATAACCTGTCCAGTACCTACAAGACAAGGTCAAGGACAGTATGAAGACAAGGTCAAGGACACTGTAAAAACAAGGTCAAGGGCAGTATGAAGACAAGGTCAAGGACAGTGTGCTGTGTACCTAACAGGAATTCAGGAGAGTGAACATGCTTATTAATAATACAGCGACTTACTGTTAATCAAAACATGAAAGTTACAAATTAATGAATTAATATAAGCCCAGTCAATGTTGGTAAGTTTACATAGACTCACCTAGTGGCAAACTAGGCCCACTTTAAACCTGTTAATGTAATGTTGATGTGAAAATCTGTTTCATGGCCCACTCTACATTCACACACCGAAAGTTTTGGATAAAAGTCTGATCACTATATTCTTTGTTTGACTTCTGCGTCCACAAAATCCTTTTTTTCAGAATGAGTGAGTGACTATGGTTATTCATGCCGCTTTTAGCAATATTCCAGCAATATCACGACGGGGGACACATTGTACCCATGTGGGGAATCAAACCCGGGTCTTTGGCGTGACCAGCGAGCGCTTTAACCACTAGGCTACCCGACCACCCCCTTTTTTCAGAAGCTACTAAGGCTAAGGCTACTACAGGGCAACAAAACACAACTCACTTTGTCACTATATCCTAACACAAGCTGTTTCTTCCTGTTAGTCATAGCTTGCTCCTGAAAAGTCCATAAAGAAATGATCACCCTCCCTTTACCATGACTATCATATCACATGTATCCGGACCCCTGAATATCCAGGTACAGAATAGGTCTTCAGCAACCCATGCTTGCCGTAACAGGTGACCAACGGGATCAGGTGGTCAGACTCGCTGACTTGGTTGATGCATGTCATTTTATTCAATTGTGTGGATCGATGCTCGTGATGTCAATCACTGGATTGTCTGATCCAGGCTCGATTTTTCACAGACTGACGTCATATAGCTGGAATATTGCTGAGTGAGGCGTCAAACAAACAAAAATACAAACAAACAAACAAACAAACAAAGAATATGTATCAGCAAACACTTTGGGAGCAATCAGTAGGTTTTATTTGTCCTCAAGTATTCGATGCAGGGATTTACCTGGATCTATCAATTTTACAGTGTCAGTGATTCTCAGGACTCCCAGTGACACTGGTCCCATCATTGATTTCCATGGTCATATCACTATGCATGTTCACAAGCCGTAAGTCTCTGATAAATCAACCACTGACATGCTGAACTTTGAATGTATTTCTTACCAGAATATATACTTCAGATATGTGTAACATACATTCTAAAATGTTTTAAGTTTTAATGATTCCAAAGATCCATAGATTTGTGTGCATTTTCCAGGACTCGCAATAGTAACAAGCATGAAATACTCATATCCCTCACCAATATGACATGTCCAGTTGTGTGCAAGGCAAGAAATATTTTACGGTTTTCAAGATCTGCTCCGGAAACGAGCACTACCTCCATTTCAAGTCAGAGTTGTTGCTATGGAAACGGGAAAAATTAATATTTTCAAAAATCCCAAACTATCAAAAGGTACCAGTTTACTGCTAGACCTATCTACGTGCCAAGTTTGGTTAAGATATGTCTCAAGGTTTTTGAGTTCAGCTCTAGAAACGAAACATGACAGATGGACGGAAGGATGGAAGGACAGCACCCATTCCTAGATCTCCTTCCCACTTCATGGTGGGGGATATAGGAATGTGAATGTGTATAGGAGACAATATTTTAACACTGCAAACTGAAATTTGAAATAGAATGCTCAATGATACTCACTATTCTGAAAACAAAATGTTTACGTTCTGTCTGCCTACCTTGTCAGTGCACTAGTGTCATTAGACTACAAAACTAATCTTCATATTACAAGTCATCCTTATCACTTGTGTTTACAAATCTCAATGAAACTGATCATCCAGTACTCATCTTCCATGGCTCTTCCATGGCAATAAGTATCATCCATTCAGAAGGGTTCCACATGAACAAAGTCTGCTGGTCTGATACTAGTAAAATTCAAGTAGTCAAACATTCTTGTGGACCACTTGTACCATTAGGTAGATGGCAACTCTGTAGCAGGACTAGTGACATTTATTTCTGAACTACCACTTGTACCATTAGGTAGATGGTAACTCTGTAGCAGGACTAGTGACATTTATTTCTGAACTACCACTTGTACCATTAGGTAGATGGCGACTCTGTAGCAGGACCAGTGACATTTCCTTGTGGACTACCACTTGTACCATTAGGTAGATGGCGACTCTGTAGCAGGACCAGTGACATTTCCTTGTGGACTACCACTTGTACCATTAGGTAGATGGCGACTCTGTAGCAGGACCAGTGACATTTCCTTGTGGACTACCACTTGTACCATTAGGTAGATGGCGACTCTGTAGCAGGACCAGTGACATTTCCTTGTGGACTACCACTTGTACCATTAGGTAGATGGCGACTCTGTAGCAGGACCAGTGACATTTCCTTGTGGACTACCACTTGTACCATTAGGTAGATGGCGACTCTGTAGCAGGACTAATGACATTTCCTTGTGGACTACCAATTTTACCATTACTTAGATGGCAACTCTGTAGCAGGACTAGGGACATGTCCTTGTGGACTACCAATTTTACCATTACGCAGATGGCAACTCTGTAGCTGTTTGTTTTTGCGAACTTGTGAAAATGTAAATCATTTACAACCCTGTTTAGGACAAACTAACACAATATGCATGATTCACTTTGAATGAAGGACATACATAGACACAACTCACCTTGGCCGCATTGTTGTCACCATACAGGAACTGTTTGTTTCGGCTGGGTCTGTTCAGATCGGGGTCATCCTCCCGCTGGACGATGCGCTCGGGCTGCTCCTGCTGGTAGTGCTGCTGCTGCTGCTGCTGCTGAACTGGAGGCTCTTGTGGCAGTCCTGCAGGGTGAGTGAGGAAGTAGGGTTTTAGGCCACTTTGAACAGCATTTCAGAATATCATGGTGTTACAGGGATAGAGAGGATTGGACTTGAATCATAATCAGGGCAAATCAATAATTAAGCCGTACTGGAGAGCTTGTCTTCCTACACACATAGTACATGAGACAGGCCCTGTGCCCTTAAAGCCGTACAGGAGAGTGGGTCACAGATGGTACATGAGACAGGCCCTGGGCCCCTAAAGCCATACAGGAGAGCTGGTCACAGATGGTACATGAGACAGGCCCTGGGCCCCTAAAGCCATACAGGAGAGTGGGTCACAGATGGTACATGAGACAGGCCCTGGGCCCCTAAAGCCATACAGGAGAGCTGGTCACACACAGTACATGAGACAGGCCCTGGGCCCCTAAAGCCGTACAGGAGAGCTGGTCACACACACACAGTACATGAGACAGGCCCTGTGCCCCTAAAGCCGTACAGGAGAGCTGGTCACACACAGTACATGAGACAGGCCCTGGGCTCCTAAAGCCGTATAGGAGAGCTGGTCACACACAATACATGAGACAGGCCCTGGGCCCCTAAAGCCATACAGGAGAGTGGGTCTTCCCACACACACAGTACATGAGACAGGCCCTGTGCCCCTAAAGCCGTACAGGAGAGCTGGTCTTCCCACACACACAGTACATGAGACAGGCCCTGTGCCCCTAAAGCCGTACAGGAGAGCTGGTCTTCCCACACACACAGTACATGAGACAGGCCCTGTGCCCTTAAAGCCGTACAGGAGAGCAGGTCACACACACACAGTACATGAGACAGGCCCTGTGCCCCTAAAGCCGTACAGGAGAGTGGGTCTTCCCACACACAGTACATGAGACAGGCCCTGTGCCCTTAAAGCCGTACAGGAGAGCAGGTCACACACACACAGTACATGAGACAGGCCCTGTGCCCTTAAAGCCGTACAGGAGAGCAGGTCACACACACACAGTACATGAGACAGGCCCTGTGCCCTTAAAGCCGTACAGGAGAGCAGGTCACACACACAGTACATGAGACAGGCCCTGTGCCCCTAAAGCCGTACAGGAGAGCAGGTCACACACACACAGTACATGAGACAGGCCCTGTGCCCCTAAAGCCGTACAGGAGAGCTGGTCACACACACACAGTACATGAGACAGGCCCTGTGCCCCTAAAGCCGTACAGGAGAGCAGGTCTTCCCACACACACAGTACATGAGACAGGCACTGGGCCCCTAAAGCCGTACAGGAGAGCTGGTCACACACACACAGTACATGAGACAGGCCCTGTGCCCTTAAAGCCATACAGGAGAGTGGGTCACAGATGCTACATGAGACAGGCCCTGTGCCCTTAAAGCCGTACGGGAGAGCAGGTCACACACACACAGTACATGAGACAGGCCCTGTGCCCCTAAAGCCGTACAGGAGAGCTGGTCACACACACACAGTACATGAGACAGGCCCTGTGCCCCTAAAGCCGTACAGGAGAGCAGGTCTTCCCACACACACAGTACATGAGACAGGCCCTGTGCCCCTAAAGCCGTACAGGAGAGCTGGTCACACACACACAGTACATGAGACAGGCCCTGTGCCCCTAAAGCCGTACAGGAGAGCAGGTCTTCCCACACACACAGTACATGAGACAGGCACTGGGCCCCTAAAGCCGTACAGGAGAGCTGGTCACACACACACAGTACATGAGACAGGCCCTGTGCCCTTAAAGCCGTACAGGAGAGCGGGTCACACACACACAGTACATGAGACAGGCCCTGTGCCCTTAAAGCCATACAGGAGAGCTGGTCACACACACACAGTACATGAGACAGGCCCTGTGCCCCTAAAACTGTACAGGAGAGTGGGTCACAGATGCTACATGAGACAGGCCCTGTGCCCTTAAAGCCGTACGGGAGAGCAGGTCACACACACACAGTACATGAGACAGGCCCCTGTGCCCCTAAAGCCGTACAGGAGAGCAGGTCTTCCCACACACACAGTACATGAGACAGGCACTGGGCCCCTAAAGCCGTACAGGAGAGCTGGTCACACACACACAGTACATGAGACAGGCCCTGTGCCCTTAAAGCCGTACAGGAGAGCTGGTCACACACACACAGTACATGAGACAGGCCCTGTGCCCTTAAAGCCGTACAGGAGAGCGGGTCTTCCCATACACACACTACATGAGACAGGCCCTGTGCCCTTAAAGCCGTACAGGAGAGCTGGTCACACACACACAGTACATGAGACAGGCCCTGTGCCCTTAAAGCCGTACAGGAGAGCGGGTCACACACACACAGTACATGAGACAGGCCCTGTGCCCTTAAAGCCATACAGGAGAGCTGGTCACACACACACAGTACATGAGACAGGCCCTGTGCCCCTAAAACTGTACAGGAGAGCGGGTCTTCCCACACACAGTACATGAGACAGGCCCTGTGCCCTTAAAGCCGTACAGGAGAGCGGGTCACAGATGGTACATGAGACAGGCCCTTGGCCCCTAAAGCCGTACAGGAGAGCGGGTCTTCCCACACACACAGTACATGAGACAGGCACTGGGCCCCTAAAGCCGTACAGGAGAGCTGGTCACACACAGTAGACAGACAGGCCTAAGGCTCACCTGCTTCATCCTGGATCTGTTTGAGGCTGGTGGTGAGTTCCTGGGCGGAGATCTGGTTGTTGAGGAGTCTGTTGAGGATGTCGTCTACGCGCTGAGACTGGGAGGCGGGGGAGCTTCGGAGGATGGGGTCCATCATCAGACTCCCAAGACGATTCATATTGGATGCCTTGTTCAGCCCCAAGCACCGACCAGAGTTACACTGTATACCTGCAACACAGTCAGACATATTACATGGTGACCTGTCATATCAGCCAGTGTGGTTTCATCAGAACATTTAAGCTTAATGGGTGAGCACTAGGTGCTGCAGGTATTAGACATCTACCATTTTAGTGAAATCTGCGAGCATGGATATGGTGCTGACAAACCTAAAAACATAATAACGGCAAATCAGATTTGAACTCTACATGGCAGGCAGCTGTGCCAACTGTGCCCCTGCACTACATTATAGTGAGTGAGTGAGTGAGTGAGTGAGTGAGTGAGTGAGTGAGTTGGGTTTAACGCCGCTTTTAACAGTATTCCAGTTATATCACGGCGTGTCAGATTAATGTGGGAGGAAAGCCCGAAGTGATGCAGGTCTCAGACGTTTACCACTTCGGTGAAACCCACGAGCACAGGTATGCACCACATTATAGATAACTTGACATATCTTTGATGGGTCCAAGCTCTTTGATTAAGTGATGACTGCTGATGTTTGTTCACTGAGCACATAAGCCTGTCATGAACCAGGTAGCTTGAACTACTGGTAGCCAATAATGACAACAATTCTCTGTTCGAAGGTAATCCAAGTCAATATTTTCATTTCAGGTCCACCTAAAGACGACTACCTACCCAGTGACTTGCCATCATTGATGCAGTCACTGTCTGAGCTGCAGGTCTTCTCGTGAGGCATCATGTCATCAAGGTCCACGAGCCGTAGGGAGTAGCCGTTGTTCACGACGATGAAGTCCTCCATGCTGATCTTCCCTAGTGCCACGTTGCCGATAGGGCTTGATTCTAAATATTCCAACAGCTTGGCAAGTTGGAGAGCATACTGTAACACAAACATACACCAGGGGTAGAAATGCAGCTTAAGTCCTCAAAGAGTCTTGTTGTTCGTTTGTTGTTCGTTTGTTGTTCGTTTGTTGTGTAACATCACACTTCACTTAGCAATATTCCACCATAGAACACATGATGAGGGCAGCCTGTAAATAATCAAATCTGGACAAGACAATCCAGTGATTGATACTGTTACCATGGTTACCACCAATCTCTGTTCTCGGGCGATGAGGACAGGCAAGCAATCAAGTCTCTGAGTCTGACCATCCATTAAGTCGCCTCTTACAACCATCACGAGTGAGTTGGGTTTAACGCCGCTTTTAACAGTATTCCAGTTATATCAGCTTAATATGGGAGGAAAGCCTGAAGTGATGCAGGTCTCAGACGTTTACCACTTCAGTGAAACCGACAAACACGGGTATGGTGCTGACAAACCTAAAGACATAATTTGGGCGAACCAGGATTCGAACTCACAATCATAGGTTTCTGGCGTGTCAAAGGGACACAACTCTGCACAGCGAATTGTGGTGCCTTAGACAACTGTGTAACCTACAACCAGCATGGGTTGATGGGGCATTACTAAAGATGTTTATGTGAGCTACAATAATACTTTCCAACAAAAAAGAAATACTGTACAAAGAGCCCATTGTTATTCGTATTATCTTCATCCTTGGACATCTTTATTATACTGAAATCAACACAAAAATCTTGGCTATTTAATTCCATCCCCCTACTATCATGACTATGAACTCATCAAGCAATAGGGATTTAAATTAAGGAAGCAGATTATGTCAAATTATTCACAGTCGCCTCAGGCTTGGCTGCAGCGATGTTAACACAGATCAGTATGATAGATATATCTAGGATACAAAAACTTGTTCCTGAGGATATCATACCGAAGATGCCTTACACTTCTTTTTGTGTGTACAAATTACCACGTTCTTCTAAATGAAATGTATTTTTACCAACATGATTATTCTTTACAAACAGTGCTATGCGGAAATTCATATTTGAGTAAGGAAGAGCAAATGCTAATATTAGATTCAATTCGAAACTTCATATTAAAAACTGGCAGATTTTCAGTTAAATGAATTGCCTAATATAAACTACAAATAGATTTATTATATATACACATCTAGCTTGGCATGTACAATTCATTTGTTACATCTGACCTTCATTGATGTGTTCATTGTAATATGTCCTATGTGTAATGGAGTGGTTTTAACATAAGCGCTTCGCTGGTTTACCAATCCATTTTCACACTTTTGCGAAAATAAATATGTTTAAACCATCAAGCAATAGTTTTTCCTATCATCCTACCTAAATAATTTAATCTGGTTTAATGGGCTTCCTTGTGTGTTCTTTGTCCATCATGTTGTTTCAGTATTATCCTTCTGTTGTTAGTTAGCCTACTCATGTTAATCCCTCTCATGTAAGATCATTTTTTTTGGTTTTTTTTGTTTGTTGTTTAACGCCGTACTCAGCAATATTCCAGCTATATGACGGCGGTCTGTAAATAATCGAGCCTGGACCAGACAATCCAGTGATTGATAACATGAGCATTGATCCACGCAATTGGGATCGATGACATGCATCAACCAAGTCAGCGAGCCTGACCACCCGATCCCGTTAGTCGCCTTTTACGACAAGCATAGTCGCCTTTTACGGCAAGCATGGGTTGCTGAAGACCTACTCTACCCCGGATCTTCACGAGCCCATGTAAGATCATTGTTCTTCACCTAATGTATATAATCATATATATATATATCATATATATGATAATTCTGTACCATGTTTATTATTCTGTCCTGCTTGACAATGGTATAAAGATCTCTACCCAAATGTTGCTATTATTGTTGTAGTCCATTAACTTTTGTCTATTTTGTTCAGATTGCTTAGGATGTAGAGAGGTAACCATGGTAACATTTTATGAATCGGTAACAAATAGATAAAAAAGAGTCTCTTCAACTTTTGAGTAGGATGTATTTTGGATCAAAGCAAATTTAAAAGAGTATCTTTTAATTGTTCAGTTTCTTGCCACAACAATGTCTATGAAAACTATTGATAGAGAATAGCGTCTGTATTATCTTTGTTTGTTGTTTAATTACACTCAGCAATATTACAGCTTTATAACGGCAATCTTGAGCTAATCAAGCCTGGTCAAGGCAATCCAGTGATCAATGTTGAATGTTGTGAGCAGAATTCCACGCCATCAACCAAGCTAGTCTAGTAGATGTAGGACAGTAAAAGCTGTGCAGCATGGTTTAGCTCTACCTATCAACCCTGTTAATGGACATGTTTAAGATGTAAGAGTGAAAAACATGACAAGCATAGTGTTTACATCACTTTCAGTTTCATACACATGAGTCATGCTTCATAACATGGTAAAGAACATGACTCAATCAACATTATCATATGATCAATCAACATGACCAAACAACATGATCAAACATGATGAAATATGATCAATCAACAGGATCAATCAACAGGATCAAACAATGTTATCAAACATGATCAATCAACAGGATCAATCAACAGGATCAAACAACGTTATCAAACATGATCAATCAGCATGATCAATCAACAGGATCAAACAATGTTATCAAACATGATCAATCAACAGAATCAAACATGATCAATCGTCATGATCAATCATCATCATCAAACATGATCAATCGTCATGATCAATCAACATGATCAAACATGACCAATCGACATGATCAATCTGCATGATCAAACATGACCAATCTGCATGATCAATCAACACAATCAAACAATCAACATGATCAAACAATGTGATCAAACATGGTCAATCAACATGTCATGCAGGAGGTTATATAGGACCATGATAGGACTCCATGTTCATATATTTTTAAAAATTCAATAACCTACTCATTATCAAATCTTACAGTGCAGAACACCACACTATTTCATTACTTTTCAGGACCCTAATAATTTATGCAAGGACCCATGAAAATAGTAATTGGGGGTCCTCTTGACCCCTGGTAGATCAAGGTAAAACCCTGAGTAACATTCCAATGTCAGAAATAAAGGGGGGTTCGGGAGTCTCCAAGGTATGTCCTATAGTATAAGACCCCCTGAATCTGTCAGTCTTACATCAGGGCAGTGACATGGACCTTTTGACTTCAAACACTGTGTTCCAAGATGACAGGCTACAGTGTCACTGGTTGGATGCAAATGGTGGAAGGAAAAATGAAATAATAAACAGTTCAAATTGTTTTCCAGTGATGAAAATTATCAAGTTTAAATGTCTTTTGGTTCTGCAATGGCACAGCGACAGTTTTAGTCCATGAGTCCTTATAACATGTATAAAAATAACATATTGCAAAACTATTACAAATGGCAAATTTCTACTAGTCCTTAGGATACCTTAACTATTGGGCAGTTTAGCAAGGACTACAGGACGAGTGCCAATTTCTAATTCTGTCACTGATAAAAATTTGAAATCCAGATGATGATGTAACAAATGTTATATTTTGGATAACACTTTCTTGGTAAAGTACAGATTCTCGTACTTATGGGGTTGAGTCCGGGATTCGAACCCACACTGCCAGAGTGAGGCACCTAATCTCCAGCACACAAAGTCAGTGATCTCACTCACTCAGCCACCGATGCTTCCACAAAATGAAAGTCCAACAACTGGCAGTCTAGACCACATACTTTGTGTACCCCTCTGACAAGTGTACATTGGCACGGCTCCCATGGCCGAAAGCTATGAACACACAATGCCATTAAGAAAGTGGTCAAATGTAACAAATGTTATATTTGGGATAACACTTTCATAGTAAAGTACAGATTCTCGTACTTTTTACTTTTGGGGTTGAGTCCTGTCCAGGATTTGAGCCCATACTGCCAGAGTGAGGCACCTAATCGCCAGAACACAGCGATCTAACCCACTCAGCCACCGAGGCTTCCACAAAATGAAAGTCTGACAACTGGTAGTCTAGATCACGTACCTTGTGTACCCCTCTGACAAGCGTCATTTTGTGGAAGCCTTGGTGGCTGAGTGGGTTAGATCATAAAATCCTTCTTATATTTTTAAATGTATCTGAACACATACAATACTCACCATGACTTTGGTCTGCCAGGGCATTGACGCAAGGGAATGGGGACTTAGTGGTGACCCTAACTCCGTGACAACAATCAGCCCCTTCTTCCGAATCTCTGGCGAGATCTGGTCTCCACGGACACAGTAGCCGAGCATGTTGACGATGGTGGGATGCCGCAGCAGAGCCAGGTACAGGATCTCCCTCATCATCTTGTAATTCCCCATCAGGCTGCAGTATTCAAAATCATACACCTTCTTCATACACTTGATCTTCGTACCGACGTCAAACGACTGACTCTTCACTGTCACCTCGTTTCGACTGTACTCATCAAAGCGACCACGCTCGACATATCTTTTATCTGACCGGGCCATATTCCCACCGATATGTAGACTATCAATCTGCTTACAAGACATATTGCTCCCTAAACCAACATCCAACAGCAACGACTTCAACTCCAATGCAACTTCGTCAGTTTCTCGTGCTGTGCCCCAGTCATCGGGATAGAGTTCAGAAATAAAGCTATGAAGTTTTTTCTGTAAAACAGGATTAAATTTTAACGATCCTGACATCAAAGATTGTCTCATGATCTGTTGTTCCTTGTGCCAGTCATTGGTGGAATCAGGTGGTCTCACGTTGCCATGTCTCTGCTTCGCTGCTTGGAATCGTAACCCTTTCCTTTTGTCCAGAGATGGGAATGAGTTGCGACGGCGAGAATGTGAAGTTTCTTGTCCACTGAGAGATTTGTAAGTGAAATATACCCCACACAGGCACAGCGTCAATATGATCAGTATAAGGCCAGTCCGACATCGTATTCCCAGACAACGACGACGCATTTTCAATCTAATCTGGCGGGTGGTCCAATTAAGTACTGTGCTCGACACTGCAAGAAAAATAATCACAGTACACAGAATGAATCACTGAAAATACAGGTGCAACAATGGACCAATGAATCCCCATCCCTAATCTGGATCCCTGTCCCTAATCTGGATCCCTGTCCCTAACCTGGATCCCCTTCCCTAAGCTGAATCCCTTTCCCTAAGCTGGATCCCCATCCCTAACCTGGATCCCTGTCCCTAATCTAGATCCACATCCCTCACCTGGATCCACATCCCTAATCTCGATCCACATCCCTAATCTAGATCCACATCCCTCATCTGGATCCCCATCCCTAATCTGGATCCCTGTCCTTAATCTGGATCCACATCCCTAATCTAGATCCACATCCCTAATCTAGATCCACATCCCTAATCTGGATCCCTGTCCCTAATCTTGATCCACATCCCTAATCTGGATCCCCGTCCCTAATCTAGATCCACATCCCTAATCTAGATCCACATCCCTAATCTGGATCCACATCCCTAATCTAGATCCACATCCCTAATCTGGAACCACATCCTGTATTGCACATCATAAATGCCACAAGTGTAAACTTGTTATGCTTCACAATTTTCACTATAGACAAATCAGCCACTATCTTCATTTGAAAGCAGGATGTTACTGACATATTGCAAATATAGAAAATAACGACGCTGAAAAAACACTGAAACACAGTTTTTGGCCTCGGTGATAATCTCCAGCTTAAGAGCTACAAGTTGTCAATGAATACTGGTTATATTACAACATGACAACAAAATACCTAATGAACATCTGAGTCTTTATTAATGACTGGAAACTGTACAATACATCAGCTAAGAACATTATTTATTCTGGATGTGCATAAAGATTAGAAATGGCTATGTGGACCTGCAATGGATTAGTTTCATGATAAATATCAACTTGGCTGATCCAGATTATAATAAATTGAATTTCCTGCCTTCTCATTGTCCATATTAACTGTGGTAATCTTAAATTGATGTAAACATGTCTGTGGCAGTGAATCATTAACTGAGTTTCAATATTCAAACATTTGCATCGACACAGCATTAACATTAAAAATTTACTAATACATTGATATATATGGGTCATAAGGAATTCTTGTTTTTGAAATTGTGCTTACAGGCTATCAGAGGTCTGTTGGAAATTAAAGAGATTATGGAGGTTTGCTCCAAATGCAACGATTTCCCTAGGATTCTTCAAGAAGAAAATCATGATATAGTTAAAAAAGATTCACTTTTTTTGGTGTGTATATTCTGAGAAATTGGGAAATGTTAAAATCAAATTGGGACTTATTACTATCATTTGCAGCAGCTATGAGGTTGAATAACGGCAGATATAAGTATTTATCTTATAATGGGTAGTTTCTCTGCAGGATAAAGCCAACAGATAAAAACGATATCCGTTGGGGTCATATGCAGATAGAGATGCAAATATCAAAGGTCAAGTAGGGAATACTTTCACTGTTTACAAACAAACCTTGTCTTTCGGCAATCGAGTCAGAATTACCATCGGGAATCTGGATAAACTACAGGGATATTTGCTATCATTATCAAAAGAAGAGTAATATACGGTACTGAAAATCAGTGTCTAAATGTGACGTAGCTAAGGCATTTTGCAAGTTTGGGCAACTTTGGAGACATAAAGTGCTAAACAATTTTGCGAGGGCACTAGTCCTAGCTAAGCGGGATCAGTAGCTATATCTGTGCTTGTAGACCTCTACGACCTTTTCCACAAATTAAAACAGTTGGATTTGGCCGAAATATGTTTGTATTGTTACCTTGTTTCGTTTTGTCACTGTGCGTAGATCTGACTGAACTTTGTAACGTTATGACAGGATTAACCGGACAGACTGTCAACAACATCTGACCATGGTCGTGACGTCTCATAGCCTAGGGTCAGAGTAGCTTTCCTTTGACAAAGGGCAGTTACTCTAGCGGACAAACCGATGGATTGCCGCGAAGGCAAGTAAAAACAATTGGTGTAGGCAACTGTTTTGCATACATGTTGTTTCGCCACAGTATAAGAAACATGTTTCAGTTGGAACTACATTGGCTACTGTCACTGTCCGACTGACAAATCACTTACCCTGTGACGTAATAACTAATATACATTAATGCACACATTCCAAGAAAACTTGCAATGTGTCGGAAATGTTTGTTAGAGAAGGAAAGAGATTTTCAAGCAAAGTATTGAAGAATGATAACCTTTATCATATAATGTCATTCTTTAATTCTGTGCTTGAAAATCGCTTTCCTACTCTAACAAACATTACCGAAACATTGCAAGGCCAAGGCTCGCTAAATACAATGTTTATTCCTAATACAGGATATTTACCATCCCCAAACACACTCGTGTGATAACCTGTATGTTCCTGTAATATATTTCATTCTAGGTAATGTTAACATTAGAGTAATACTGAGCTTCCTGGAATTAAAGATGTTTTTTAAGACAAGAGCTGAGACAATTATGCCGTTTCTACTCATATATCTTGATACACTCACTCTGTCCAGCTGTCTTCTCCAAGACAATCTATGTGAAGGTAATAAGATAGCGAGACCCTGCCACCTGTTTGGACATACACCTGCCCCAGGCGGCCATGTATACAAACCATGCCTATGACCACAGCAACTGACTTACAGGAAGGTCTGTTGTTTTTCTATAACCATGGTAACAGGAGCTATAGATTTCACAATCATATTTTCAGGTAAATTAATATCCCAGTGCATCATAAGAAAACTAGGTAGTAGGTGATAAACACCATGAATTATGCAAACAGTTGGACTGTTGCCAGGAACTATCAAGTTTGCATTTTGTTATCCATTGACATTCAAGGTCCTTGAAAGGCATTTAGAAGTGATACACATAAGGTCTTAGGAAGAGAATTTACGGATGTCAACTTCTTTATTATGAGGAACACAACGTTTCGGAGTACATGCTTACTCCTTCATCAGGTGACATTTAAGTTTTAAAAAAATTTAAAATATATATTTTGTTTCATTTGGTAAAAGTGTAATCCTCAATAACTGTACTTATTATAACATAAGAGTGTTACAAAATACAAGCTTTAAAATAATTCTCTTAGAGACGATTTTGTGAACATTGATAGGCAGTCATAGAGCTCCAGATAAATTCTTCAGCAATTGAGTTTTTACTCTAGACTTTCTATTATAATTGGGTTATTACATTTTTCATTGGGTAACCAATATTTTTTCACTCATCGACGTAATAAGCACCCAGGGCGCTCTCAAAATCAGAAATAGGTGGCTCTTATTAGAATATAATTTTGGTGAAAAAAAAACAGAGTTGAAAGATTGTAAATTTTGTGGTTTTCATCTGACTGCCTGAAATGATACAAAGAAAAGTACACAAGAGATATATTTTCAAGAATTTAATTGCCCATAATTAAGGGTGCATATAACACACGAGTGCGTATTATACACAAATAAATAAATGTTGTGTACATTGATCAATCGGAAGGGGTGCTAATTGGGATTGTTCACTAGCCAATATATTAGCAAATATCGTTGTGGATGCTTATTAGAGCGGGCGCTTATTACGTCGAATACGGTATACAACAATATAGGAATAGATAGTTCTGACATAAAATTTCTTAAATAATGAATTTGGTGTTTCTTGTACTATCAAACACCTCTCTACAGTTTGTTTCAATAGCACATAACATTTAATCATTTAAGAGATTTTAAGTCAGAACTTCAGATACCTTTGGTATAGGACCAACAGTAGTTGTATGCACTTGTATGGTGCATAGACATTGCAGTAAAATGTGGCCTTTACTGTTATTTTGAGTGATGAATTAACCCAAGTCACCTGTTCCAATAAACACAGGACTTGGCAGTTTGTCTGCTCTGATAGACAGACATTGCAGTAAAATGTGGCCTTTACTGTTATTTTGAGTGATAAATTAACCCAATTCACCTGTTCCAATAAACATAGGCCTTGGTATGACAAGAAAATGCATAACCAATAAACTACCCACTACTCCTTATGTACATAAACCAACACAATTTAATATATATCATTAGTAACAAAAATGAAAATGTCCAAGCAAATCTATGCTATTTTCTAAAAATATGTAAATAACCTTACAAACTGTGTTTTGTAAAATTGTTAATATTTTCAACCTTTTTGGATAATGTAATACGGGTTATGGGTGGTGGCCTTTATTATGTTTATACTGAAATATAACTGTCTGACTAGTCGCCAATAGAGCTACTAAAATATAGAATGGAGGAAATTGTAGTTCCAATTTGGGAGGTTTCAATTTTGGTCTCATAGAATGACTATTTTGCTCTATGCATTTTGAGTTACTTCCCTGCTGTACTTAAGTTGTGTTTTGAAGGTATGAAAAATGCAAAACATCCATAACATCACAAAGTACACCTTACCTGTTCTGGATAATGTCATAATTCTATCAAATTGTGCATGCTGCCATAACTAAAACTGATGTGCATTTCCTGTTCATCACTTACTTTCCATATCAAGCAGGACTAACCTGAGTAAAAGTCACTCAGGCTACTAACTCTAACAAGCAAAAATAAACACAATCTATGCAGTGCTCAACCATCTGAGTGAGGGTTGTATATTGGCACCTGCCTATACTCCGAGTTGTATGCCACATTATCAGGTAAGTATATCATTGTTCGCCCGTTCTGCGCCCGCATACTTAATGAGCTAATCGTTATATTCACGCGAGACATTAACCGTATTGGCTCAGACTTACCTGCTAATCGAGCAATTAGACCACGGAGGACAAAACCTGTTCCGATACGCATGAGAGACCATGGTAAGGTTTCAAACAAGGGTGAAAGTATATGTGCATTGTATTATGGTGGTTACGAAATTACACTATGTGCAATAGACTAGCAGGCTGACATTACTCACCAAGTGCTGAAGTTATACACAACTTTTGGTCTGCATTCTTGCATGTATTTGTTGTCGGACAAGTGTCCGTGTAAGAGTTGTGTCCCCTTTCCGTAACCTCGCAATCGTGCATTAAAATAGAAATACATAATTGTTTTGGTCAATATGGTTTGATTAATTTTGACAGTAGAAATACATAGTACTTTTTGATGATCATTTAATTTTTCCATTTACTTTCAGCATTTGCTGCTCTATGACTACGTCTGCAGTATTGAAAACCGGAAGTTTTGAAAGCGTGAACGTGAAAACGTAAACCATGAATGCGCCACCCACATTCGAGTCATTCCTCTTGTTTGAGGGAGAAAAAAAGTAGGTATCTTGTCATAACTTATAACAGAACACTTTGGCATATGTAAGATCATGGAGTGATCAGCGTCATTTTAGAAAGAACATTGAATCACATTCTCCATGTCAATTTTGGAATCCAATTTATTCACACATCACATTCGCACAGTGATTTTACTGATAAAGATAATAAGTGAAAAAAAGGAAAGAAATCAAAACAAGTTTGTAGATATAAAATAAGTTTGTAGATCTAATAACTAACTGCACAGAGTACTTTTTATTTGTTTATCCTTTTTCAGAATACAAATCGAGAAAGATACCAAGGTTCCAAATGCTGCCCTCTTCACAGTGAACAAGGAAGACCACACTCTAGGCAACACCATTACAGTGTAAGGACGTATATCTGTGAAGGTGCACTTGACAGCAACTGAATGGGCACTGCTCTATCGCACTAATTGGCTCTGACTGTCGCTCACACGTCACTACCATGCACGTCTCTTCGGTCCTAATGTTGTAGGGTTACCCCCAACTTTATCCTTGGCCCATGGTTCCCTTTTCAATCATGCATCCCTTTATAATTTTTTTATTTGAATTTTACACGATATACAGCTTTTCCATTGGACGAGAGGTCGGTCACATGACCGCGAAATTGACGTTCATAAGTGTATGAACGACACAATTTGACGTTCATACGTTTTTCACGAGACCGTGTTCTTGAAATGACGTAAACACTGACGGACTACTTCCACATTCCTGGGGAAACCCCTGGGAATTCCCTAGCACGAAAACATGCATAAGCGTTCTCTCTGATCATTTAGAACCTTTATTCTTGGTCTCAGCGTTTCAGTATACTTTGAGAAATGTCAGAGAGCGTGACTGCATGATTGTTCACGAATATCCTCGCTACGGCCCATCCTAATGAACAAACGAAGAAATGCACATCTAAACTATCGTAGTATCGACTCGATCCGTGCCTAGGCTGACATTGACCATCTCCAGCAATCTATGAATTTACCTTTGTGTCTGTTTGACGCATCTTTATTCACCTTTCAATGATCGGCCAGTTGATCAATGATGACTAACACATGTAACCGCCAAAGGTTCATCAACAACTTCGGAAATCTATCCCGTCAGGTTTATCTTGTCGGCCATTTTGACGTCTTGTACTTGATGTAAATGTATTACAACGCGCTGTCATTGTGACTGACTTACTGAGGTAGTTCTTTACAGACCTTTCTCATCTAATGAGGATATGATTTGAACACATGTGCTGCGTAAGATGTTTCTTGAGAGCAAGTTGTGCATCCATACGCCCATGTCACCTCTCTTTTTGAGGAACTATTTCACTCTGCGATATAGCTGGTTGTTGTATGGCTGTCACTGTAAACATAAAGTCACACGTACTAAATAAAATTGTGTTTAGATCTAGGCCTACATCTTTTGAGGTAAGAAATTGTGATAAAAAAATTATAAGAATTGACCTTCACTTTGTGTGAGTTCATTGGAGTATGAACCTTCATAGAGTGAGGGCCAAACATTGTATGAACGTCGTCGCAAGCTCCGACGTTCATACAGTTTGGCCCTCACTCTATGAAGGTTCATACTCCAATGAACTCACACAAAGTGAAGGTCAATTCTTAAATGATATGTATCCTAGGTACCCCAACTTCGCTGTTTGACTGATTATGTACATGATGTAGTACAAATTCCTGTGGGCTAGTGAAAATTTTCAAATTTTCCCATTGTTTTAATATTACACGTGCATTTTATCTTTACCTGGGCTAGTGAAGCTCTTTAGTTTAGTTCTACATGTTCTAACTTTGAATGGCAGATTAACTTTGGAAGTATTTGCAAAATAAGTGAGATATCTTACCCTAAACACGAACCGACAGCTTACCCTTACGTTGTAAAATGGGTGCTAATCCAATGATTTGTACAATGGGTTTGAATGGTAAAGGGTGTTAAACCTTGGTATCACAAATGTGAGACTCGTGAAGATCCGAGGTAGAATAGGTCTTCTGGAACCCATGCTTGCTTTAAATGGTGACTATGCTTGTCGTAAGAGGCGACTAACAGGATCGGGTGGTCAGGCTCGCTGACACAGTTGATGCATGTCATCGTATCCCAATTGCGAAGATCTATGCTCGTGATGTCAATCACTGGATTGTCTGGTCCAAACTCGATTATTTACAGCCAGCCATCATATAGCTGGAATATTGCTGAGTGTGGCGTAAAACAACAAACAAACTAACATAATAAACATGATAAAGCGAGGCTGGATCAGAATGGAGGCCTAAGGGTTATGGATAGCGCCTCGTCAAAGGAGGACCTACATTAATCCTAATCAGCACATGTTATACCACTATGTACCTGAGGTACACTCTAGTGTACTAGAATAAGTGCCTCAAGACTGTCACAGTAATCAAAGAGCATTGCGAGCAAGTTAATAAGGGATGATTATTTTCCCAAAACATTGACATCAGTAGTGGACTAGGTTACTAGCCAGTGTACATCAGCATGAATAAAGGTAGACTAGATTTGGGATTAATTGTATACATTTAAGTGTACTTAAGGTTATCTGGGTACATGTAACTTGTGCGGCAAGTAAAGCACAACTTACCTGAGCAAAAGAAGAGAGTGAGGGTGGGTATGTGTGCGTCATAATGGTATGCATGATCAAATATGTTAGAATGAGCCAGAGTTACCAGTATTTGGCATGTTTAGTGTTATCATCTTCCCGAGGCAAGAGAGTTGACTGACTTTAAAAGTCCAGTTTCCACCCTTGCCAAAATAGGCTGGAATTCCTGGGCTCGATCGTAGCACCACCAATGGCTATTACGAGTAATGTCCCCTCTAAGCCTCTCCTATGGACCAATCAGATTCCATCCCTTGTATCGCTTGCATTTGCTTCAAACAAAATGGCGCTGCCCAGTCAAGAAGATCTGATCGATAATCAAGATCTATATTGTGATAAAATGGATCTTACATCGCAAAGTGCATCAAATTACATGAGCACATTGACTAAAAACATGAAAAGATTTGGAAAATATCTGTTGACAAAGAGTTGGTGGTGCACATGCTTTGCAAATCCTGCAATCAACCAAAATCTGCACGACAGTTTACGAACCGGATTTCGATTTTGTTGCGCGATTTTGATTGGACTATGCATAGACTTGTCAGTCCAGCCAAATGTAACTCCATAATTCCAGCCTAGTTCGGCAAGGGTGGAAACTGGACTTTTATAGTCAGTTAACTCTCTTGCCTCGGAAAGATGAGTGCTATGAGCAGGCTTCCACTCATCGTGGTTATCATGCCAAAGACCTGGGTTCAGTTCCCTACATGGGTGCAATGTGTGAAGTCCATGTCTGGTGTCCCCTGCCGTTATAGTGCAAGAAAATTGCTAAATGTGCTGAAGGCGGTGTAAAACCATACTCACTCGCTCACTGCCAGTAGTGTAACCATAGTAACATAGACTTGTTCTTGTTTCCCCAGTCAGCTGCTGAAGGACCCCCAGGTGCTCTTTGCTGGGTACAAGGTGCCCCACCCCCTTGAACACAAGTTTGTTGTGAGGATTCAGACCACTCCCGACTACAGCCCACAGGAGGCCTTCACCAACGCCATCACAGATCTGATCAGTGAGATCTCACTGCTGGAGGAGAGATTCAAAGTACAGTGCACATACCCATATACTCTGAAACTTTACTAGACCCCTGAAGATTCCAGGGTAGAATAGGTCTTCAGCAACCCATGCTTGCCGTAAAAGGCAACTATGCTTGTTGTAAAAGGCGACTAACGGGATCGGGTGGTCAGACTCGCTGACTTGGTTGATACATGTCATCGATCCCAATTGCGTGGATCAATGCTCGTGATGTCAATCACTGGATTGTCTGGTCCAAACTCGATTATTTTACAGACCGCCATCATATAGCTGGAATATTGCTGAGTGCGGCGTTAAACAACAAACAAACAAACTGAAACTTTAATACTCCAGTTTTGATAGAGATATTTTCAAAAAAAATTTGAATACCCCCTAAAAATTGTGGTTCCCCAATCAAACCCCTGGGTAAAATACCCAGATAACCAAAAGCTTATATAAACACATGATAGAGCTCTGGTAGTGCAGATAAGAAGTATAGCAAGGATTATGAAGTAAATTGTCTTGAACAATTTCAAATTAATGTAGTGATTACTATAAGGGTTTGCTATGTACATGGGGTCTTGGTGTGTGTGTGTGTGTGGGGGGGTGTGCATTTTGTATGCACATTGCCTACCATGATAACATGTTGATTTGGTTGTTAAAGCAAGATTAATAATGGTTTACTTGATTGTGACTTTGGAATATCCCCCCCCTCCTCCCTTTTTTTTTTTTAAAATCCCTATCCACCCCCTGCAGATTGGTAATGTTTTGTTAAGTCAATTCTGGCCAGTAGGGCCCAAATTCTCTCAGGTATCTATACAGGGAAACCAAATTGCTAATTGTGAGTTTTATATGATAAAGGGTAATGATTGTAAAAAAATCCCTGTTAAGATCTCAGTAGACAGTCAGGCTAGGGACATTACAGAATCTTTAGGCCGACTGAAATGTTGGTAGGCTCAGGCTAGCAGACAAGCGGCTATTTCGCACACTGGTCATTTCAGAGGTAACCAAACTTGGCCTGTAGATTCTATGTATTACTGGACATACTAACTGGCTGGTATAGAATTTCCATGTGTGTATAGCCATGGTTGTTTGTCATTGTAGATGTAAAAAGTTTGAGAAAACGTGAAAGTATCCATCACAGGTCAATTGTTGGAGATTATAGTTAAAGATGTCATGTCATACCTATTTTGACCATTCCTTTCAGGAATCAGTCAAGGAGCGCCAGGAAGGAGACATATGAAGAGGAAGTACCAGAGCAGGAATATGACAAAACATTTCTTTTGAGCCACTGCCGACCTAGTTATTTGTGGTTCATCCCTTTTTATCATGGTATTGGTAACCAGGGTGACAGTCATTAACATTTGGATCCAGAGGATACCCACGGGATGGGCCATTGAAAATGTTATGGTTTGTGGAAATCTACGGAGGGTTTGTAATTATAAGTAGTCTCAATGATACAACTTGAGCTGAGAGTAATGTTCAGAATGTCATTTAGTCCCTTTGTGTTACATTCACAACTACATTGTGAATGAGAGGCGGTGGGGTAGCCTAGTGGTTAAAGTGTTCTCTTGTCCCACCAAAGGATCAGGTCCCGATTCCCCACATGGGTACAATGTGTTATGCCTATTTTTGGAGTTTCACCACCATGATATTGCTGGAATAATTGTAACAATGGTGTTGACCCAGCTCACTGTTTCTGAATAAAAAATCATGTGCTCTTCAACATGTTTAAATTAAGGAATGAGAAAATTCCTTTAACTTTCATGGGAATCTTTAAACCATATGTTTTTCATAAACAGATCTTTAGTGGCTATTGGCGAAAAAGGTCATCACATTTCATTACATTGTATGCATTGTAAATAAATCATCTTCATCAGGATGTTGACGTTGACTTGTATTTTTATCCTGACGTCAGTTTGTCATGAACAGAGTAATGTTTTCTTTATGTCATGGTGTACTAGTTTATAGTCATTGTGGGGGCGGTCGGGTAGCCTGACGGTTAAAGCGTTCGCTCGTCACGCTGAAGACCCGGGTTCGATTCCCGACATGGGTACTATGTGTGAAGCCCATTTCTGGTGTCCCCCGCCGTGATATTGCTGGAATATTGCTAAAAGCGGTGTAAAACCATACTCACTCACTTATAGTCATTGTTATAGGTAATTTAGAGATCTGCTGGCATCATCAATATTTTCACAGATTAGTATGTACTACGGCCAAGGGGCATGGTCGGCACAGTCATCTAAGGTTCCATAATGCACTGTGCAGAGTTGCATCCCTTGGGCACGCCAGTATCCTATGATAATCGGTTTGAATCCCAGTTTGCCCCACTTGTTTCGTGATTTGTCAGCACCACACTCGTCCTTGTGGGTATTACCAAAGTGGTACCATCCTGCATTTTTTCGGGCTTTCCTTCGAAAGTAAGCTAAAATGTCGTGGTATAACTGGAAATTGTCCAAAGCAGCATTAAGACCAACTTACTCCTCGCTAATACATACAGCTGATGTGTGTGGTGTTGTAGTGTTGTTTCATGTCCCTGAAGCTAGGAAGCTGATGAGGCTGTCTCTTATGCCTGGAGACCGCCTCCATGGTCTAGTGGTAGAGCGTCCGCCCGGAGAGCGGAAGGTCCAGGGTTCGATCCCGGGCCGCGTCATACAAAAAGACGTTAAAAGATTGTACTTGTTGTTACCCTGTCTGGCTCTCGGCATTAAGGGGCTAAAACAAGGACTGGTCGGCTCGGAGTCAGTATACTGTGTCTGAGTGGGGTATTCATGTTAAACTGCGGCATGGTATCTCAGTGAGCTAGCACTATAAATCAGCATCAGTCCGGACTAGTACAAGCAGCCACACACACACATACACGTGCATGCACGTCGCTATATAAGTGCAATAATCTTGGACGCGACGTTAAACCCAATTTCACCTCACCACCTTATGCCTGGAAGTTGACATCTTCCCGAGGCAAGAGAGTTAACTATTAAAGTCCAGTTTCCACCCTTGCCGAACTAGGCTAGTATTATGGAGTTACATTTTGGCCGGACTAACGAGTCTGTGCATAGTCCAATCAAAATCGCGCATCGAAATCGAAATCCACTGTCGTACAGATTTTGGTCGATTGCAGGATTTGCAAAGCATGTTCACCGCCAACTCGTTGTCAGCAGATATTTTCCAAATGTTTTCATGTTTTTAATCAAGGTGCTCACGTGATTTGATGCATTTCGCGATGTAAGACCCGTTTTATCAGAATATAGATCTTGATTGTCGATCGGTCCAACTGACCGGGTGCCACCATTTTGTATGAAGCAAACGCAAGTGATACGAGAGGTGGAATCTGATTGGTCCGTATGAGAGGCTTAGAAGGGACATGACTGGTAATAGCCACTGGTGGCGCTACGATTGAGCCCAGTTATTCCAGCCTAGTTCGGCAAGGGTGGAAACTGGAATTTTAAAGTCAGTTAGTTAACTCTCTTGCCTCGGGAAGATGGGTAGTAGATTGGACACACATTCATAAGGCCATGTCTGGTGATCCTCAAATTATGTTTGGCTGCAATCAGATGTCGACTTCTTAAAATGATTATCTTTACCACCTCAATTTCAGAAATTTTGATTTTTACACACAAAAAAAACCCATCCAAATATTCCTCCGCTGGTATTCCCCTCTGGCTGTAAATGTAGATGCCATTAGTTCATTTTGATTCAAATATGCTGCTCTGAACTCATCACTCTTGTATCAAGGATTTGGAAACCTCAAAGCTGACTGGCAGTTTAGAAAGTTACCCTGATGTGACCACCTGAGGTGGTTTGTCAGATCTTCACACAGGGAGGTGTCATATCAGATTGTGATTATGTGTAGTTTGTCTGTTTGGTTGTTTCTTTGTTGTCTAATGCTGCACTTATTCCAGCTATGTTATGGCGGTCTGAATATAATAAAGTCTGGACCAGAAAGTCCAGTGATTGACATCATGAGCATCGATCCACATTATTGGGATACGATGACATGCATCAACCAAGTCAGCGAGTCTGACCACCTGATCCTGTTAGTTGCCATTTACGGCAAGAATGGGTTGCTGAAGAGCAATTTTACCCCGGATATTTATGGGTCTGATTATGTGGAGAGCAGGCACCCACAAGGCAATGGCGCATGTTGCACGTTGCCCATTGAGACACATTGCTGTTGATGTGATGTAAGAAGAGTGTTGATTGGTTTAGCACTCTCTGGAATCAAGCCTCTGCATGATCCTTTGGTAAAAAATAGCAGCTACTTGCAGAGAGGACATGTTGTTGGGTGACGGAAGAGTGAGTGAGTGAGTTGGGTTGAATGCTGCTTTTAACACAGTATTCCAGTTATATCACGGCGTGTCAGCTTAATGTGGGAGGAAAACCCGAAGTGACGCAGGTCTCAGATGTTTACCACTTCGGTGAAACCCACGAGCACGGGTATGGTGCTGACAAACCTAGAAACATAATCGGGGTGAACCGGGATTCGAACCCACAATCATAGGTTTCTGGCGTGTCCAAGGGACGCAACTCTGCACAGCAAATCGCAGCACCTTAGACGGCTGGGTGACGGAAGAAGGTAATGTGTAAAAAAAAAGAGTGAAATATTGATATGCTTGTGGAACTGGTCACACCAACATCCTGGCAAAACCCTGCCTCTGATATCCTTAATGATTAGTCAAAAGATATTTGCCAGTCGGGCGTAGGAAAGATGAGAATGTCTGGTTGGAGACCCTGCCATTTTCATTGCCCATGCCTGGCCGTGGATGCACACAGAAGCAGAGCACCTCCCTGCATGTGACAGATGAACTATAGTAATAGGAAAGAATTGGGTGCTGTGAGTTCTGTTGTAGCATACATTTGCATCCAGTGCCGATACAGACGAACAGAGGCGGTGGGGTAGGGCAGTGGTTAAAGTTTTCACTCGTCACACCAAAGACCCAGGTGTGATTCCCCACATGGGTACAAGGTGTGAAGCCCATTTCTGGTGTCCCCCGCCATGATATTGTGGGAATAGTGCTAAAAGCGGCATAAAACCATACCCTCTCCCTATACACACAGAATAGAGGGTTGTCGTTTACTAACAACTAAAACCATTGAAGTTTGAGACATTTTATTGAAAAATTACCAAACAAAAAACATTCACTTGCCACCATATCCCTCACATGACACCAATACCACACACAACGTCATGGTGCCTGCACAACATGGCCAGGGAGTCCACATGCAAAGCAAGCTTCATCGGTGTTCGTCCCATTGGTCTAACGTCTGTCAACCTTCCAGCGTCCAACAGATGTACATCTTGCGTCAGACTCTTTCATCGAGACAGTCGCACAGACCAGTGAGAGTTACCAATACACCTGGAAGGAAGCAGTACACAGTTACTGGATACAGTAATATCACAAGTAAATTTTAATGCACCCGTGAATGCACCCGTGAATGCATCCGGCTTAGAATAGGTCTTCCGCAACCCATGCTTGTCGTAAAAGACAACTATGCTTGTCACAAGAGGCGACTAACAGGATCAGGTGTCGGGCTTGCTGACTTGGTTGATACATGTCAGCGTATCCCAATTGCATCGATCGATGTTCATGTCAGTCATTAACAGACCACCATTATATAGCTGGAATACTGCCGAGTGTGGCGTTAAACAACAAACAAATATAAGGTACAACATTTGATACATGACAAAGCCAGTAGTTAGAATGACTAACCATCCTTGTTGGTATATATCAAGAATACAATGTGACTTGTTATTGAATGTAGTTTTAATCATCAAACCACATTGAACATTGACGTGCGTAGAAAGACGGCATGAAAAACACAGCGTTACAATGTAACATGCATGCATATGTGAGCATAAGGGAGATGAATTCCACATACATGAAGTATTACTCAGCATTGTAAGTCGGCGCCATTTTGTAGTCATGGATATAGGGAAGATAACGTGAGAAATCCTTCCTCGTTTGCGCAATTTTGTCAATTTTGAAGGGAAACATTTATGAATAATTTTTGGTGTAGAATTTAGGTTACACAATACAAAACAACAAAACTTGTTTTATCTTTCTTTGCCCAATATAAGGGAACATAGAAGAATATTGCAATAAGTATCATTTGAAAAGTGTACTGCAGAAAACTGGTAATACCGTGCAGTCCAACTAATTAAGAAGGTAACTTGGGCTGCCTCAACAAGGAGAATGTCTGTACCTTAGCTGTGACTTCACTTCAAGTTCTTCTGAATCTCCTTGGCAATGGCATCACTGTCCGGGAACTTCAGCTTTCTTGGGGGTCCCTTCTTGAGGCCGGTCCACACCAACACATCTGAAACACCCCTTTTATACATGGACTGCTCCACGCCAACAAACTTGAAACACCACTGGAATAATGGTCGGATGATACACCGATGCATGGGTGGATTTTTTACTTCTCGATACTACTTAACCATACCTCTATATGTGGTTCTGTTTTAAGACCAAAACACAAGTGCTGAAGTCTAATTATCACAATTTTCTCACATCTGGCAGCTTTCACCACAACTTTGACCCTTGTGGAACTGTTATACCTCATTCTTACTTGGTGACCCCCTCCGTGGTCTAGTGGTAGAGCATCTGCCCCGTGAGCGGAAGGTCCGGGGTTTGATCCCCGCAAGCGTCATACCGACGTTAAAAGATGGTACTTGTTGTTACCCTGTCTGGCGCTTGCCATTAAGGGCTAAAACAAGGACTGGTCGGCTCGGGGCCAGTTTGTGTTTGAGTTGGGTATTCATGTTAAACTACGGCATGGTATTTCGGTGAGCTTGCACTATACAATCAGCATCAGTCCGGCCTAGTACAAGCAGCCCCACACACACGTCCATGCACGTCACCATATAAGTGTAATAATCTTGAACAAGATGTTATTCCCCATTTCATATTACCTCCTTCCGTAGTGTGCCTCTAAGACATGATAATTTGGAAGATTGTTGTTATTTTCCCTTCAAGATGTTGAATACACTTACCTGATCCATCCTCTGTTGTCAGGGTGATCTCAAAGCTGCCACGGCGTGGCTTTTCAGGGTTCAAGGTCAGGTTCACTTCACTGAAGTGACTGCGTAGAGCATCAGCAAGTTCCGTAGCTCTACGCTCAAACACTCGTCAGGATTTGCTGGAAAGAAAGAACAAAAGATCAAGGAAAAACCACTCTGCTCTGGACCCTCATTAAATATGCCTCTGTTTCAGGCAACACAACCCTTATGAAGTTTGGATGTATTTCATCTCAGATTACAGATGGATAGATAGAGAGACAGATAATAGTCAGATATATATGCTGATTTGGAGGGCTCAGTGCAATATTTTTTTTATATATTTAAGTCTTAATTTATTTCACATTTTCTGTTGTGGGATGTTATTTACATGAAAAAAAAGGGAGACAGGGACACTGACTAGGGACCTAAGACTTCATATGTCCAAGTATCATTGGGATTCTGGGTTAGAAAAGGTCCCCAACAACCTATATATATATATGCTGGTCTTAAGAGGCGATCAAATGGATCATGTGGTCAGACTCGATCACTTAAAAATTGGTTCATTGCAAGTCATCGTATCCAGACTTCATAGATCCTTGCTCACAATTTCAATCAATGGATTGTCTTGTCCACACTGGATTATTCATAAGCTGCATGCAGTCATATAGCTGGCATATTGCTAAGAGCAGCATTTAAACAAACAAGTTAAACATACCAAGAGAGCAAACAGGGATTTAATCAATAGACCTATACCCCCGTTCTGAACAAATATTTACCGATCATGAAGTTTTAGCGATTGCAAAAATATTTTTACAGTGGCACATCAAGCAGTGGATAAAGGTAACTGTTACCGATCCAGTTAATAAATTTTGTCTGAAGATACGTTTTTAATATTGCTTTCTTCATTTAATAATTAATGCGAGTTTATGTTTACCAAACACGAATTGTACGAGTGGTACATTTTAACTGATGTGATTGTGTATTTAAAGCAAGCCTATGTAAAAAATATAAACACGATATTTTGTTTAAATTTTGCTACAATAAGGGGAAAGTTTTTTCAATTCATAAACGATGAAGTCTTTATGTGCATTGATAAGCTGATGAACCAGTAGTGTAACAACCCTATCCCTTTAATTCACCCCCACCCCTCTCACTCCCCCCTTTATAAATATGGATCGATGTCTCTCGCTGAGTGCCCGTGTGTTGGTCACTCCGACTTACCAGTGTTCAATGGTGAGGTTGATAACATGATTCACTTCACCAAGTTCCCCAGTTGACAGTTTGGGCTTCTTCACTACATCATCAGCTTCATCTGCAACATCTTCTTTTGGTATGCTGACATCGTTCTTCTGTGTTGTTTTACCTCGTTTTTTACTCTTTCGCTCCATGTTTACCCCGCTGAAGCCCTGATTTGGACTAGTTTTCTTATGCCAATGCGGCGCTTACAGAGGCTGTAAATAGACAGAGCCCAGTTGTCCACGAAGGCGTGATTTTTCCCGCCATGTCGATTCGGGTTTTCTTCGGTAAAATGTCAAAAGTTTTATTGTTTGCATCGATTTGCAAATATTGATCCATGGACAAAACAACGGATGAGGACAATCAAGTATTAACTTGATGATCTTCATTTTGATTTTGATTTATCACATGACAATTAAAGTGAAACAAACAAAGCATATATTGTTTGTTTGTTTCACGTTGTTCAACGCCGCCTTCAGCAATATTCCAGCTATATGACGGCGGTCTGTAAATAATCGAGTCTGGACCAGACAATCCAGTGATTGACATCATGAGCATCGATCCACGCAATTGGGATACGATGACATGCATCAACCAAGTCAGCGAGTACGTCTGACTACCCGATATCCTGTTATAGTCGCCTCTTACGACAAGCATAGTCACCTTTTACGGCAAGCATGGATTGCTGATCGAAGACCTATTCTACCCCGGAATCTTTACGGGTCAAAGCCCATGACATACAAATTATATGAGATAAGAAAACATATAACAACTTGGTGTTATTATATATTCGGCTTATCATATGTTATGAAAATGTATGTCTTGCGTTATTTATAATTTACGGGGAATAGATTATTCGTATTTACTTTTACAAAAGTGGAAATTTAAACTTTTAAAAGAGTCATGTGATTGATTAAAAGTCCGCTATTTCATGTCGTATAACGGAACACACATATACTTGCATAGCTAAACGAGGAAAACAGTTTAGGAGTCATATGATAAAGACACTCATGACATTCACGGGTTTAAATCCAAACTGTTTTTGTTTCTTGTTTAATTCCACACTCAGTTATGTACCAAATTTATGAGTGAGTGAGTTAAACTTAAGATTTAACGTCGAATCGGCATTTTTTTCAGCAATTACCTACGGGTGCAAACATATCGGGGTTAATAAAAATCGTATGTATCCTAAGGGTCATATCACGTCATGAAACAACAGTGTATTGTTTCCGTAATCCGGACGACATTGTTGACGTCATTCGTATCCTATTGTGACGTGGGGGTCGGAATGACGTCACACGAGACACGACTTCATAGCTGAAGATTGTTGACGTCATTCGACAAATTGTGGTTCCGTTGCTGTTGCGACGTGCTGTATTTGAGAATTGACCTTCACTTTGTGTGAGGGCCAACATTGTGAGAACGTCGTCGCAAGCTCCGACGTTCAAACAGTTTGGCCCTCACTCTATGAAGGTTCATACTCCAATGAACTCACACAAAGTGAAAGTCAATTCTTATAAAAAAATTATCACAATTTCTTACCTCAAAGGATGTAGGCCTAGATCTAAACATATTTAGTGCGTGCGACTTCATGTTTACACTGACAGCCATATCGCGGAGTAAAATAGCTCCTCAAAATGAGAGGTGACATGGGCGTATGGATGTACAACTTGCTCTTCAGAAACATCTTACGCAGCACACGTGTTCAAATCATATCCTCATTAGATGAGAAAGGTCTGTAAAGAACTACCTCAGTAAGTCAGTCACAATGACAGCGCGTCGTAATACATTTACATCAAGTACAAGACGTCAAAATGACCGACACGATAAATGTGACGGGAGAGATTTCCGAAGTTGTTAATGAACCTGTGGCGGTTACATGTGTTCGTCATCGTTGATCAACTGGCCTATCATTGAAAGGTGAATAAAGATGCGTCAAACAGACACAAAGGTAAATTCATAGATTGCTGGAGACGGTCAATGTCAGTCTAGGCACGGGTCGAGTCGATCAAAGACGTATATACGTCCGTGAGTCGATACTACGATAGTCAGTTAAATGTGCATTTCTTCGTTTGTTCATTAGGATTGGCCGTAGCGAGGATATTCGTGAACAATCATGCAGTCACGCTCCCTGACATTTCTCAATGTAAACTGAAACGCTGAGACCAAGAATAGAGGTTCTAAATGATCAGAGAGAACGCTTATGCATGTTTTCGTGCTAGGGAATTCCCAGGGCTTTCCCCAGGAATGTGGAAGTAGTCCGTCAGTGTTTACGTCATTTCAAGAACACGGTCTCGTGAAAAACGTATGAACGTCAAATTGTGTCGTCCATACACTTATGAACGTCAATTTCGCGGTCATGTGACCGACCTCTCGTCCAATTGAAAAGCCGTATATCGTGTAAACTTCAAATTAAAAATTATTTAGAGGTAAACACTAATATTCGTCTCTGTGTGTAGACATCTTCTTCTGTAATATATTATTATTATTATTTTGTAGATATAGATACTTTTAAAGATATTTTTATTTAAGAGACTAAATGTTAGTCTAGCATTCTACCAACATTCTCAACCCTCTTCATATGTCAGTAAATGGTAGAACTGTCTGTGTGTGTAATTTACACTGTCTAATTTTAGTCAACTTCCTACACGAGTGTGAAACTAACACAAGGAAGAACAAATAATACATTGAATAAAATAATAATACAGACACGAACATGTAGACTTTCACACGTGATTACACTGAAGCGGTAATTACTCTTTACATGGAATAAGATATTGATTAGCTCATATGCGTCTCCCTCAGAGAATGGGCGAGCCTCAAACGAACGTCAAAACAACTCTGCAGGTAAATATCAAAGATGGCGGCCTCCATGTGCCGAGTTGTGTAATTGTTTTGAAATTCCTAAAGTTGAGGAATAGGTGAGTTATTTGTGTTTCATGCTAAATCAAATATATTTCTAGTGAATTGAAGACGTGTTTACTGCGGTTGTCAGATCATTTAATTGTCAAACACGCTAAGTTTCTTTGTATAGAAGTGAGTGTATGACCAAATTCAACTCGTAGCAATTTAGTGTAGGTGTTGATAACCAGTGGACCGACCGCTTCACGACGCTTGTAGACACTCATCCGTGAATAGCTGGTGAAACATCGACATTTTTCTGAAAGCACTTGCGCCAATTTCCCAAAGCCATTGCCTCTTGATTTGGAGTTCAGTATCTTGTTTATTTACCCTGTTATAGATTCTCGCCTGATCTATGTCCTTGTCTAGAAATGAATTTTTCAGACCCTAAACCCGAACGGCCCGAAGATTGAAGACCGCTGACACTATTTTATATCTTAATCTTGACAATGAAATTTTAGAAAATAATGTAATTCATCAACTCAGTTAATTGAACGTGGTGTCAGCGCTTTGAATAAGATAAAACCTTCTGTGACTTTCGAAACTGTTTCTAAGTTGAACACGTTGAACTGACTGTTTCGTTGTGGCACTTGAAAGGTCTTTTTGTGAACTATCTATGTGGGTGCATTTGCTTCCTTTGTTCCTTACTATGATCAAGATTATCCTTATTATCATCCGCGTTTTCGTTACTGTGATCCACATCATCCTTACTATGATCCACATCATCCTTATAGTTTCCTCTCCCTCACTTTCCTGTCACATAATCACCCGAAGAATGATTAAATTCCCTGTTGAAATGTTCTCTGACTTCATAGAGTTAGGGGGCACGGGTGGCCCAGTCGTCTAAGGCTCCGCGATTCGCTGTGCACAGTTGCGTCCCTTTGGCACGCCAGAAACCTATGATTGTGGGTTCAAATCCCGGTGGGGGCACGGGTGGCCCAGTCGTCTAAGGCGCCACGATTCGCTGTGCAGAGTTGCGTCTCTTGGGCACGCCAGAAACCTATGATTGTGGGTTCGAATCCCGATTCGCCCCGATTATGTTTCTAGGTTTGTCAGCACCATACCCGTGCTCGTGGGTTTCACTGAAGTGGTAAACGTCTAAGACCTGCATCACTTCAGGCTTTCCGCCCACATTAAGCTGACACGCCATGATATAACTGGAATACTGTTAAAAGTGGTGATAAGCCCAACTCACTCACTCACTCACTCACTCACTCACTCACTCACTCATAGAGTTAGACTGCATTGAAGCACAACTGGGTCGGACCCAACAAGAGAAGCAACATAAACACACATCTTGCCAGCTAGATTGTTTACCCTCAAAAGCCACGAGCATGCTCTCACATATGACGTCATCAGTATCGATGACGTAGGTACAGTGTCATGTGATCATATTTACACTATAGTAATGTGATGACTATAATTTTATAAATAGCAGTCATAACACCTATCATTCTTGCCGACTTGTGAAAGCAATGTTTTCAGTTTGCACCATATTGGCACATTCCTTGCAACTCAGGATCTTGTTGATTACAGAATGGAATGAGTGGTGCCAAATGGTGCTGTAAGTGTCAATAGACTGAAGTCATGTGTCACCCTGACTACCCGTTTCCTCAATATCTGTTACTATTTCACCCCTCTCTGATTATTTCTGTAACCTTTGAGGCATGCCACAGTAATTTTGCACTTATTAACTAGGGGTGACTATTGGTCTGGAAACCACTATTGCAATAACTATTGATATGGCTAGCAACTATTGCGATAAATATCGATAAGTTCAGTTTATGATAGATGGATTTTAGAGTTGACTTAAACCTTGGAACTGAAGTTTCCTTTGAATGTGATAACCATTACAACAAATAAAAAGTAAAGTTTGAGATATGACTGATTTGCTTTTTCTTTAACCTAATAGTTTAAGAAAAAGAAACTTCCACATTACCATGTGTAAATTACTACCACTCATGATCAAAAGAAAAACAAATTTGAACAGCATTGCATGTATTTTATTGATATGGTAACTACAATCAAAACTATAAATATTCCTAACTGAAATCGATACTATTGATCGGAAACTGATTTAACAATCGATTTATTGACTTTAAGTGCTTACCAATAGTAAAATATCGATATTTCGATTTAACGTGACACCCCTATTATTAACAGACATAGCTCAGTTAGTTAGCTTGACAGGCTAATGATCTGCGGGTCTCGAAGGTTTGAATCCAATGGATTATCACCATATCTGGTTACTTGTCTCGGGGGACATGATCTATGGCAGTGATTGTCCTAACAAGAAGTTGTAGTGCTAAGTCCTAAAGGTGCTCCAAGAAAACTAGAAGAGAGTGATGTTACCGTAATTGTTGCAGTAGCAAGCGATGCTGGAGAAGTTCCTGACGAGCCAGGTGTCGGAGTACCTGTGCCTCCCTGTGTGGACGGTGCTGCTGGCGACCGCCTGTCTGGTGTGGCTGCTCTACAGCGGAAGCAGAGGGATCAGTGTCAAGGTCAGGGTACATGAGTGAATGTTTCCATTAGTGGTGTAACGATACAGTGATACAGTATTGTATCCCAATATGAGGCCCATGATACAATACATGCATTCACAACCCCTGCATCGCAATACATAGGATACATTGCATTACAAGTTATATTGTGTTGGTTTGTTGTTTAACGCCGCACTCAGCAATATTCCAGCTATACGACGGCGGTCTGTAAATAATCGAGTCTGGACCAGACAATCCAGTGATTGATAGCATGAGCATTGATCCATGCAATTGGGATCGATGACATGTATCAACCAAGTCAGCGAGCCTGACCACCCGATCCCGTTAGTCGCCTTTTATGACAAGCATAGTCGCCTTTTACGGCAAGCATGGGTTGCTGAAGACCTATTCTTCCCCGGAATCTTCACGGGTCAGTTATATTGTGTAAAAACTGGTGAATAATAGCAGAAACTGTTCAACAACCAGCTTACACAGATTCTCTAGTGGTTCCTGGTTGGCTATAAATAGCATAACAGTCAGACTGCCCTTTAGCCTGTATGTTTCTGCCCTACAATATCCCCTCTTCAAATCTCTGAAATTTCAAAATATATGATTCAGGGTTGTGATTGACCTGTACAAAGAAAGGATATCGGGGATATGTATCATATCGAGGCTCCACCATATTGTTAGACCTCTGTGTCCCATGACTTGGTTGGTTTGTTGTTTAACGCTGCACTCAGCAATATTCCAGCTATATGACGGCGGTCTGTAAATAATCGAGTCTGGACCAGACAATCCAGTGATTGATATCATGAGCATCGATCCACGCAATTGGGATCAACGACCGTGCATCAACCAAGTCAGCGAGCCTGACCACCTGATCCTGTTAGTCGCCTTTTACGACAAGCATAGTCGCCTTTTACGGCAAGCATGGGTTGCTGAAGACCTACCGTATTCGACGTAATAAGCGCCCCGCTCTAATAAGCGCCCACGGCGATAATTGCTAAAATATTGGCTAGTGAACAATCCCAATTAGCACCCCTTCCGATTGATCAATGTACACAAGACTTATTTATTCGCGTATAATATGCATTCGTGTGTTATATGCACTCTTAATTATGGACAATTAAATTCTGGAAACATATATCTGTCGTATATAAACATTTCAGGCTGTCAGCATAAACCACGAAATATATCTTTCAATTCTGTTTTTTTTCCACCAAATTATATTCTAATAAGAGCCCCCTATTTCTAATTTTGAGAGCGCCCTGGGCGCTTATTACGTCGAATACGGTATTCTACCCCGGATCTTCACGGGGCTGTCCCATGACAGTGATGAGGTTTGGGAGTAAAAGATGAACAGCTTCATGTGCAACTAGCGGTGGCCCAATCGATCACAATCAATTCATCCATTGTGATCAACATCAATGCTGGTTGTTTTATATTGATGGGAGAGTCCTCTTTCGAAGACCAAATTATTCAATTTTCAACCATGATTTATCATAATGTTGCCTATGTCAAAACTTACTGGAGATCAAAATTATTTAATCATATGTTTTGGATATAGGCTGACCCTTCAATATGAAATAGTCTACAGTGATTACTGTGAAGAATGGAACTAGATACAAGTTAATTCAAAATGAAAACAGGATCAAGTCATGCTTAGTTGTAGCGTATATATCCAGAGTTTTCACTTTATTGTCATGCATACATCAAACATGTGTCAAACTGAAGTATTATTGCATATTATTTGTCAGGCTGTGTATTATCGTAACTAAAACTGTTTCTTATGTTGCCATGGTTACAGAAAGCTGTGCGTGACTATGAAACAACTAGTATTGCGGAAGATGAAGCAGAAAAACCTGCTGAAAAGACCAAATACCGAAAAAAACTGAGGGAGAAGCGGAAATTGAAGATTTTCTATGGAACACAAACTGGCAACGGGAAGGTGATCACGGTTCAAGTGCCTCAACACAAACAATAGTACACATATTTGGGGAGAGTCATGAGCATAATAAGACAATGGACATTTTATGATAGAATGTAAAGTGCTTTGCATTTGGTCTTTTCTGGGAGTGTCAGAGCTCCAGATAAGCTTTTGGTGTTGTGGGTATTTTACCCATGCATTTTAAAATCATTGGGTATCAGTAATTCTATCTGGGTATTCAAATTTCTGTTACCCACTAGTTTTTACACATGTGGGTATTTAAGTTAGATATTTAAAAACACTATTCATCTAGTCCCTGCAAACTGGTTTCGTGTGGGTTCGAGAGCTTTATAGGACTCAAAAATACCACGATACTTCCACAAGAAAGTGATCATGATGTAACTGTCATTGTGGAGTTTGGCAAGGTTGACGGAATGCCCGTTTATAATTTCAAAATAAGTTTGCTGATTTGCTAATCGAATACGCAGGGTTACTTCACAATATTTTGATGATTTACACAAGTTTTATTTTTGTAGCGTATCTGTAATGTTTGTTGCATATTTGATACGCTTGCATTTTATTTTACTGGGTATTTCTGCATTTCTGATGCGTATTTTACGCAGATACGCAGCTTATCTGGAGCTCTGGAGTGTCCATCCTCCCAAGGCAAACGTGTCCACTAGCCTAGTTTCTACCCTTGCCATTTCTCAAAGCCACTTTTCTTGGCTCGACCCTGGCACCACCTCGCATAGATCATGAGTTGTGCCCCATTGTAATGAAAACAAGATATCCAATCAGATCGTGTTCTTATGTCTTAAAGCTTCACAAAGATGGCGTCTACCATAGGTGACAACCTAGTCGATCAGATATAAAAACATTCGCAATGTCATCCATGACACAAAAACATAGGCAATCAGTGGGGGGTTTAAAAGATGAAAAAGACATATTCCTGTCAACAAAGACAGACAGCGGTAAATCACTTTCATACGAAGGTGTACCAGTCGTGGATGTTGATTTTGTGAGACGTTCTCTGAATGGACTATCGATATGTGCGATAGTCCAATCATATTTAGCACAGGAAAGGAGGCTTGATGTGGCTAGGGTGGAAACAAGACTTTGTCCCAGTCCTAGTCCCTTATGTTTATTTTAAGTATACTACTCAAAAGAAGTTAAGGATCACCCGATTCTTTCATATTGGTAATGTTAATTTGTCATGGCATGAGAGATTAACCATTGTAATATGAAAGAATCAAGTGATCCTTAACTTCTTTTGAGTAGTATATAATGTCTAAGATTGTTGCAGTTTCTAAAAAGTCTACTACATATATTTTTGACAGCATGTGCATTTGTAAATTGAATATTATGCATGTCTTATCTTTGAGCTGGAAGATAGGTCGTTAGACATTTTAGTAAAAAAATAAACATTGCCTATCAAGTGTATTATCTCCCTATCATCCTTCCCCGAGTCTTATTGTGCCATTCATTTATGAAAGTGAGCTGGTTTGTGTATGTTGGTTAAACGCCACACTCAGCAATATTTCAGTTTTATGACGGCGGTCTGTAAATAATCGAGTCTGGACCAGCCAATCCAGTGATTGACTTCATGAGCATTGATACACACAATTGGGATACGATGACACACATCAACCAAGTCAGCGAGCCTGACCACCCGATCCTGTTACAGCATAGTTGCTTTTTACAGCAAGCGTGGGTTGCTGAAGATTATTATACCCCGGATCTTCACGGGTCCGTTATCACCTAGACCATGCCAGCTATGTCTGTTATCACCTAGGCCATGGCAGCTAGTTGCCTCTTGCGACAAGCATAGTTTCTTTTTGCGGCATCTTCACGGGTCTGGTTCACGTTGGTCAATCAGGGATTCATCTTGACCTACTCAGAGGCCGATATTTGACCCTAAGTCTGCAGCAAATTGGAATTAAATACTTCCTATTTCATGTAAATGTAGTTCTAACTAATGAGGTGGCTGGTCAAGGTGAATTGTTATTCCCCTGATAACAGAATGAGACAAAAAAGAAGAGGCTTAATTTTACAATATTGTATTGAATGCAATGTCACAACACAATTTGTTAAAATATCTCTGAAAATGAGAACTTCAAAATTTTATAATCCAATTTTGAACAAAATAAGAAAAATCACAGTGGCATTTAGTTGGGTCTCCTAGATACATGTCTTACGAATGGAGGGCTGCAATTGTGAAAATATTTGAAACAAAGCTATGGTGGTAAATGCATCCTGGGTTTTTGCCATATGAGAATTGAAATATAATCCATTGGATAATCTAGAATGGTAAAGAAAGGGAATTGGTATTTGATCCATTTTTCAGAATTGTCATGATCATCATTGATAATGATGTCAGCAGGTTTATTAAACAGCTGTTATAATATGTTGCACAGTGCTTCACAGGAAAGATGGTTTCTCAAGATGCTAATTCACTTATTCTGATTTCTCCACAGAAATTCGCTGAGGTCTTGGCTGCAGATGTAGCGGACAAGGGTTATCAAACATCGACAGTTGACCTCAGGACCTATGACCCAGAAGATGACCTCTCTGAAGAGGTAATGTGTGTTCCGTCACTACTTCTTGTTGACCTGTGAAGATCAGGGTAGAATAGGTCTTCAGCAACCCATGCTTGCCGTAAAAGGCGACTATGCTTGTCGTAAGAGGCTTTCGGATGGTCAGGCTCGCTGACTTGGTTGATGCATGTCATCGTATCCCGATTGCCTAGATCGATGCTCATGATGTCAATCACTGGATTGTTTGGTCCAGACTCGATTATTTACAGACCGCCGTCATATAGATGGAATATTGCTGAGTGCGGCAGTAAACAACAAACCAACAACCATCAAACAAACAAACAAACAAACAGACTTCACAGGTTTTGTATGTACTATGTTCCTCCATCCCCAGTCAGTACATAGCCTAGTGGTTAAAGCGTTTACTCGTCACGCTGAAGACCCGGGTTTGACTCCCCACATGGGTACAATGTGTGAAGCCCATTTCTGGTGTCCCCCTTTCCTGATATTGCTGGAATATTTCTAAAAGCGGCATAAAACCACTCGCTGCAAACAACAGGTTTTGAAATGGGTCTGTGTGTAACTTAAGGTAGTCCTGTAAGCCCTACTCCATGCATGAACATTGTGCAAACCCCGATCTCCTTTTGCTTGGATACACCACTGTCAAGGTCTGAGGAGTAATTTTCTAATCAGTCTCTCAGTACAAATGAGACCTGTGAAGACCAGGGGTAGAAAAGGTCTTTAGCAACCCATACTTGCCTAAAAAGCAACTATGCTTGTTGTAAGAGGCGACTAACGGGTTCAGATGGTCAGGCTCACTGACTTGTTGATGCATGTCATCGTTTCACGATTGCATAGATCGATGTTCATGATGTCAATCACTGACATGATTTACTCGATGATTTGCAGACCGCCGTCATATAGCTGGAATATCGTTGAGTGCGGCATTAAGCAACAACCAAACAAACAGTACAAGCGAGCGAGGCATTCAGACGAGCATAACTGATATCTGTATCTCAAAAGGAATATATAATTGGGAATCCTGAATGCAGAAAATAAATCCTTGCCATTATATTGTGGATTGTTTCGACATTTCGAGGTGCTGGACTATAAAGGGAAAATTTGTGTTCTGTGATGATTTTCTTTTGCTAAGATCAACATTCCTAGTCTTGATAGGAAATGAAGCTGAATCATTTTATGTCTTTTAAATCTTATTGTGACGTAAGGTCGGAATGACGTAACACAAGAAATGCCATAGATGAAGATTGTTGATGTTATGATCAGTGCATTTTTCTATAGAGGTGCTCAAAATGATTAAGAAATAGTGGGAAATTATTACACTCACATGTGTGTCATGCTGATGTTCATCTGAGTCGCCGCCATCCACTGTGCAGAGTTGCATCCCTTAGGCACGCCAGAAACCTATGATTGTTGGTTCCAATCCCGGTTCGCCTCAATTACGTTTCTGGGTTTGTCAGCACCAAACCCGAAGTGGTAAGCGTCTGAGACCCGCATCACTTCGGGCCTTCCTCCCACATCAAGCTGACACGCCGTGATATAACTGGAATACTGTTAAAAGCGGCGTTAAACCAAACTCACTCACTCACTCACTCACTCACTCACTCACTCACTCACTCACTCACTCACACTCACTCACTCACTCACTCACTCACTCACTCACTCACTCACTCACTCACTCACTCACTCACTCACTCACTCACTCGCTCGCTCACTGATGTTATGAAACTCATTTAAGCATTCGTGTATTACCCTTTCTCTCACACAGGAAATACAAACATTCTGACACTTTTTTCATAATCTCTGTGTATTCTATACAAGAATGTCTGAGGGGCGGTGGGATAGCCTAGTGGTTAAAGCATTTGCTTGTCATGCTGAAGGCCCGGGTTCAATTCCCCACATTGGTACAATGTGTGAAGCCAATTTCTGGTATCCCCTGCCGTGACATTGCTGGAATATTGCTGAAATTGGCGTAAAACCATACTCACTCACTACAAGGATGTCTGCTTGTTAGTTCGTGATTTAAAGCTGCTGTTTGACATTTTTATCATATTGGGATATTTCATTTGTTTGAGAGTAAATCAATTATGTTTCAGACCGACCATTTGTGTGTGTTTATCATCTCCACCTACACAGACGGGACGCCACCAGAGGGCGCTGAGTGGTTCTACAAATGGCTGCAGGAAACTGCCTCCGACTTCCGTGTCCAGAAGACGCTGCTCAAGGGCCTGCACTATGCCGTGTTTGGCCTGGGAAACTCACTGTACACTGAAAACTATAATAAGGTAAAAACTAAAATGTTGCTCGACAAAATTGTTATCCCCTGCCCAACAAAGTTGGCGGGGGATATAGAAACGGGCTCCATCCGTCCGCCACGTTTCGTTTCCAGAGCATAACTCAGAAACCATTCAATATTTTCTCGTGAAACTTTGCAGGTCTGTCAGGTACATGCTGAACTTGTGCCATTTGCTATTTAGAAATTTTAGAAATTTTTATTTTTTACGTTTCCATGGCAACAAGATGGACTTAGGTTCTGTTAGGGTAGGGTTCGTTTCCGGAGCATAACTCATAAGACGTTTAATATTTTTCCATGAAACTTTGCAGGTCTGTCAGATACATGCTGAACTGGTGCCTTTTGCTATTTAGAAATTTTAGAATTTTTTTATTTTTTACGTTTCCATAGCAACAAGATGGAGTTAGGTTCCAAACTCTTCTTTTTTTTACAATTTCGATGACAAGTTCCACCTCGGTTAAAAAAGGTTAGGGTTTGTTTAGATTTAATTATGTCATAAAATCTGCAACAGGGGCGGGGGATATAGCCACTTTAGTGGCAAATTCTTGTTACAATTTCAATGTGTCGTTAAATATATGAATGTACTTTCAATGCTTGTCTGGCAAGATCATGACAGTGTTGACGACAATGTGCTTGTCAGTGGTTGTCTTTGTAAATGACATTTTGGTATGTGGTTCCAGGTGGAGATGCTTGTAACTTAATACAGTAGAACACGGATATAATGAACTATGTGACCGCAGAAATCATTTCGTCTTACTATTGCCAGCCATGATAACACGGGCGAGTGAACTGACACTTTGACAGAGTCACGTGAAATATATATGTTTAATGTTTGTTGTACAGACAAGATTAGTCGTATCTGTATTTACACGTACAGGTAAGATTAACGTAAGGTAAGGTTGAATCGTCACTGCTGATTGAGCTGATTCTCCACTGACTGCGTATAGCCAATTGTCAGTGACACTTGACACTGAGTGAGGTTTCTCAGTTGGCTTTTCACGTCACTCTTTAGTGGTATTTGGGCATGTCAGGGATTAGATACCAGTTTCCTATATACGTTTGTTCGCTGTAGAGAGTTTGTTATGTTCGTAAGTTTCATATGATAATATATGGAGATAAATCCGTTTGCTCTATCTTTGTTCGTTATATCTACTGTACTCTGTTCTACTGTATGTATATTGGGGATTAATCTTTCTTGCAGCATATTAAGACCCATATTAGTATTAGATCCAATGGTCATTAGATTCACCGACTATCAGATCCGCTTAGACTATTCGACCTATTTACTATTTGACCCATGGACGATAACACACAGTGACTATTATACCCATACAGACCCTTTGACTATTTGATCTATGGACCATTAGACCATTACAGACCCTTTGACTATTTGATCTTTGGACCATTAGACCATTACAGACCCTTTGACTATTTGATCTTTGGACTATTAGACCCATATAGACCATTCCACAAACATAGACCAACAGATCTATTGACTTTTAGACCCATATGGACTAATAATAGGATAGACTATTAGACCCATATAAGTTTTTAGACCCTTACAGGACTTCACTTCATGGATTATAACTGTTACAGGTTGCCAAGAATGTGGACTCATGGTTAAGAGATCTTTCTGCACTCAGAATTGAAGCTGTTGGACTTGGAGATGAAAACGTGGCAAACAGTGAAAACGCAGGTAAGGAACACTTGCAGATTACCTTGCAATATGAAAATACTTTGCAGTGTCCTTTTTGTATGTTGTACCCCAACAGGTATTAGAGGTCATGAGTGGTCCGTTGTCCCAAGGGGGGCAGAAAAGGTCCCCACTATCCCATGCTTGTCTCCCTGTGGAGATTCCAGGACAGAATAGGTCCCCCCTATCCCTGCTTGTCTCCCTGTGGAGATTCCAGGACAGAATAGGTCCCCACTATCCCCTGCTAGTCTCCCTGTGGAGATTCCAGGACAGAAAAGGTCCCCACTATCCCATGCTTGTCTCCCTGTGGAGATTCCAGGACAGAATAGGTCCCCATTATCGCATGCTTGTCTCCCTGTGGAGATTCCAGGACAGAATAGGTCCCCGCTATCCCCTGCTTGTCTCCCTGTGGAGATTCCAGGACAGAATAGGTCCCCCCTATCCCTGCTTGTCTCCCTGTGGAGATTCCAGGACAGAATAGGGCCCCATTATCGCATGCTTGTCTCCCTGTGGAGATTCCAGGACAGAATAGGTCCCCGTTATCGCATGCTTGTCTCCCTGTGGAGATTCCAGGACAGAATAGGTCCCCACTATCCTATACTTGTCTCCCTGTGGAGATTCCAGGACAGAATAGGTCCCCACTATCCCTGCTTATCTCCCTGTGGAGATTCCAGGACAGAATAGGTCCCCACTATCCCTGCTTATCTCCCTGTGGAGATTCCAGGACAGAATAGGTCCCCACTATCCCTGCTTATCTCCCTGTGGAGATTCCAGGACAGAATAGGTCCCCACTATCCCTGCTTGTCTCCCTGTGGGATTCCAGGACAGCTTAGGTCCCCACTATCCCTGCTTGTCCCCCTAAGGAGATTCCAGGACAGAATAGGTCCCCACTATCCCTGCTTATCTCCCTGTGGAGATTCCAGGACAGAATAGGTCCCCACTATCCCTGCTTATCTCCCTTTGGAGATTCCAGGACAGAATGGGTCCCCACTATCCCTGCGTGTCTACCTGTGGAGATTCCAGGACAGAATAGGTCCCCACTATCCCTGCTTATCTCCCTGTGGAGATTCCAGGACAGAATAGGTCCCCATTATCGCATGCTTGTCTCCCTGTGGAGATTCCAGGACAGAAAAGGTCCCCATTATCGCATGCTTGTCTCCCTGTGGAGATTCCAGGACAGAAAAGGTCCCCACTATCCCATGCTTGTCTCCCTGTGGAGATTCCAGGAAAGAATAGGTCCCCATTATCGCATGCTTGTCTCCCTGTGGAGATTCCAGGACAGAATAGGTCCCCGCTATCCCCTGCTTGTCTCCCTGTGGAGATTCCAGGACAGAATAGGTCCCCCCTATCCCTGCTTGTCTCCCTGTGGAGATTCCAGGACAGAATAGGTCCCCACTATCCCTGCTTGTCTCCCTGTGGAGATTCCAGGACAGAATAGGTCCCCATTATCGCATGCTTGTCTCCATGTGGAGATTCCAGGACAGAATAGGTCCCCATTATCGCATGCTTGTCTCCCTGTGGAGATTCCAGGACAGAATAGGTCCCCACTATCCTATACTTGTCTCCCTGTGGAGATTCCAGGATAGAATAGGTCCCCACTATCCCTGCTTATCTCCCTGTGGAGATTCCAGGAAAGAATAGGTCCCCACTATCCCTGCTTGTCTCCCTGTGGGATTCCAGGACAGAATAGGTCCCCACTATCCCTGCTTATCTCCCTGTGGAGATTCCAGGACAGAATAGGTCCCCACTATCCCTGCTTATCTCCCTGTGGAGATTCCAGGACAGAATAGGTCCCCACTATCCCTGCTTGTCTCCCTGTGGGATTCCAGGACAGCTTAGGTCCCCACTATCCCTGCTTGTCCCCCTAAGGAGATTCCAGGACAGAATAGGTCCCCACTATCCCTGCTTATCTCCCTGTGGAGATTCCAGGACAGAATGGGTCCCCACTATCCCTGCTTGTCTACCTGTGGAGATTCCAGGACAGAATAGGTCCCCACTATCCCTGCTTATCTCCCTGTGGAGATTCCAGGACAGAATGGGTCCCCACTATCCCTGCTTATCTCCCTGTGGAGATTCCAGGACAGAATAGGTCCCCACTATCCCTGCTTATCTCCCTGTGGAGATTCCAGGACAGAATAGGTCCCCACTATCCCTGCTTATCTCCCTGTGGAGATTCCAAGACAGAATAGGTCCCCACTATCCCTGCTTGTCTACCTGTGGAGATTCCAGGACAGAATAGGTCCCCACTATCCCTGCTTATCTCCCTGTGGAGATTCCAGGACAGAATGGGTCCCCACTATCCCTGCTTATCTCCCTGTGGAGATTCCAGGACAGAATAGGTCCCCACTATCCCTGCTTATCTCCCTGTGGAGATTCCAGGACAGAATAGGTCCCCACTATCCCTGCTTATCTCCCTGTGGAGGAATCCAGGACAGAATAGGTCCCCACTATCCCTGCTTATCTCCCTGTGGAGATTCCAGGACAGAATAGGTCCCCACTATCCCTGCTTGTCTACCTGTGGAGGAATCCAGGACAGAATAGGTCCCCACTATCCCCTGCTAGTCTCCCTGTGGAGATTCCAGGACAGAATATGTCCCCACTATCCTCTGCTTGTCTCCCTGTGGAGATTCCAGGATAGAATAGGTCCCCACTATCCTGGGATTGTTCATATGCGCCTGCAGTAGGGAAGGGAGGAGTGCTCCTCTTATAATATATAACTCTAAATACATATTTTTGTTCTACCTAGAGAATTATTTTGTGCAAATTCATTTCATTCTGTGCTTTATCATGTTTATAGGACTAGAAGAAGACTTTCAGGCCTGGAAGAGGCAGTTTGTGAAGGCAGCGAAGCCTGTGTTGAACGGTCGGACCGTGAAGCGGTGTGTGGGGGAGAAGTGTGGCGGCAAGTGCGAGTGTGTCAAAAAAACTGACACAACAGAGGCTGATGGGAAGGCCTGCAGCAGCGACGGAGAGTGCAGCAGCGATGATCAGGTCGGTGCAACCAAAGTTTCTGAACATCACATGACATTTGTTTGGACGGATGAGGATTGATAAGGACATATAGCCCCAGCAACATATACAAATGACTAAAATGCATGATGAGTTGATGGTTTTATTCAAACATCTTCAGAAAACTAGATGCAGTTCAGTGACCAAAGATTCACATTTCATGAAATGTCAGCTTGGGTTAAGAACAGGTGTGGTAAAATATATTTCATGAAAATATTGAAATCTGGTCTTTTTCAAACATTTAAGTCAACTTTCTTGCCATGATGTTATTTATACATGTTATAAGTCCTAAATGTAAAACATTAAGTTTCCACTGACTGTGAAGTAGCCATCAGATTGGAAATTTGACACTTTCAGTGGGTGAAGAGGCTGCCATTTCATACAGATAAGGGGGCGGTCGGGTAGCCTCGTGGTTAAAGCGTTCGCTCGTCACGCCGAAGACCCGGGTTCGATTCCCGACATTGGTAAAATGTGTGAAGCCCATTTCTGGTGTCCCCCGCCGTGATATTGCTGGAATATTGCTAAAAGCGGCGTAAAACCATACTCACTCACTCACTCACTCATACAGATAAGCCATAATTCCTTGTAGCTTGTTGGTTGTTTCATAATAATTTGAAAAGCGGGTAAAGTGGACTGTTGACTGTCTCATACTGACCCCCAGCTACATTGTCAGAGTTCTTTTAAATACACTGTAGGGTTAAGACTTGATATTCATTTTCCACTATTCTCACGACTCAGAATTTTATGTTGTATACAAAAGCCCCTTGCTACTGACATTGATACTTACTTACATGCTCTGCAGGTTTTGTTTGAAAGCAGTAGTGAGGATGAGAAGGTGACAAGTACGTCCAGGTCCAGCGCTGGGGTTGTCGACCTGGAGGACCTGGGAATGATAATGAAGAATGTCAAGAAGGTAGGCATAACACTCTGATGAAGATGTTATTCGGTGTTATCACCTAGGTCATGGCAGCTATATCTGTTATCACCTAGGTCATGGCAGCTATATCTGTTATCACCTAGGTCATGGCAGCTATATCTGTTATCACCTAGGTCATGGCAGCTATATCTGTTATCACCTAGGACATGGCAGCTATGTCTGTTATCACCTAGGACATGGCAGCTATGTCTGTTATCACCTAGGACATGGCAGCTATGTCTGTTATCACCTAGGACATGGCAGCTATATCTGTTATCACCTAGGACATGGCAGCTATATATGTTATCACCTAGGACATGGCAGCTATATCTGTTATCACCTAGGACATGGCAGCTATGTCTGTTATCACCTAGGACATGGCAGCTATGTCTGTTATCACCTAGGACATGGCAGCTATGTCTGTTATCACCTAGGACATGGCAGCTGTGTCTGTTATCACCTAGGACATGGCAGCTATGTCTGTTATCACCTAGGACATGGCAGCTATATCTGTTATCACCTAGGACATGGCAGCTATATCTGTTATCACCTAGGACATGGCAGCTATATATGTTATCACCTAGGACATGGCAGCTATATATGTTATCACCTAGGACATGGCAGCTATGTCTGTTATCACCTAGGACATGGCAGCTATGTCTGTTATCACCTAGGACATGGCAGCTATGTCTGTTATCACCTAGGACATGGCAGCTATGTCTGTTATCACCTAGGACATGGCAGCTATATCTGTTATCACCTAGGACATGGCAGCTATATATGTTATCACCTAGGACATGGCAGCTATGTCTGTTATCACCTAGGACATGGCAGCTATGTCTGTTATCACCTAGGACATGGCAGCTATGTCTGTTATCACCTAGGACATGGCAGCTGTGTCTGTTATCACCTAGGACATGGCAGCTATGTCTGTTATCACCTAGGACATGGCAGCTATATATGTTATCACCTAGGACATGGCAGCTATATCTGTTATCACCTAGGACATGGCAGCTATGTCTGTTATCACCTAGGACATGGCAGCTATGTCTGTTATCACCTAGGACATGGCAGCTATGTATGTTATCACCTAGGACATGGCAGCTATATCTGTTATCACCTAGGTCATGGCAACTATATATGTTATCACCTAGGACATGGCAGCTATGTCTGTTATCACCTAGGACATGGCAGCTTTGTCTGTTATCACCTAGGACATGGCAGCTATGTCTGTTATCACCTATATTGCCTGGTAGTTGTGATATTTTATCCATTAGTCCAGCCAAAATATAACCCCTGATTTCCTTTCATAGTCAGTTAACTCCCTTGCCTCGGGAAGAGACGCTGATGCATATTTAGAACATGCATTGTCTCCTTGAAGTGATTTTGTTTGAAATAAGCCTCTGTTCACACCAGTGGATGGGAATCCTGAAGGATCAGATGCTAATGGGACTGTTAACTGAGAGCCTCACCGACAACTTGGGTTGTATACTCCCTAGGGAGCTGAGAATAAAATAAGCATGCACACCGATCCATTGATGTAAAGGTGCTTGTGAGCTGCCTAGCTGGAAGTCAGGCTATGTAAATAAATAATGTTATATTATCTGTTTGTTGATATTTTGTTGATGTTGTTGATGTTCAGAACAAGCAGGTGGAGGTGGATGAGGATGAGGATGTGTCGTCCACGGAGCCGAGGGAGATGATAACGCCGCTACTGCGACAGTCACTGGAGAAGCAGGGCTACAAGCTGATTGGTTCTCACTCCGGGGTCAAATTATGCAGGTGGACAAAGGTCAGAACTTATTAAAAAAAATTAATTCAACTGAAAATGATTTAGGCATGAAATGGGTGTATTAACTTTGCTGATTTAATAATTCATACGACAGAATTATTTCCCCAATATGTAGGGTGTCAAAATGAAAATATGAATATGATGATATATGAATACAATGAAAATATTGATTTCGCTGCTACACTGTTTCTTATTGATCCATTCATATAATTTTGACTACTATTTTGGAATCTGTTTCTGCAGATGTTCGAAAGAAATTATTCTCTGGCATTGATGTTTTATAGTCCATTACTGAAATTCATAAACTGACTCAGCTGCAAGAAGAAAGCACCGTTCTCCACATGATTTCAGTTTACTGTAACAGTTGTTTATTTTCTGGCGACAAAAGGATTTATCAAGGATTCCAAACCAAGTGCCTCTAGCAGGCAACGTAGGAAAAACTATTAATATTTTTCAAAATTGGATATTTTTTTTAAAGTTCTTACTCTCAAATTAGGAGGTATATTTAATATTGCATTCAATGCAACAGTGTAAAACTAAGCACTTAAGTCTTCTCGATAACTTTACTGGTACTGTTATCAGTGAAATACAAGTCACCTCCACAAAGCATTGGCTATCGTTGGTAATACCTATATCTACAGGAATTGCGAAATTTTCTAATTTGGGAATTAGTGTTGACTTTGGCTGTAGACTTGGGCTGAATAACAGCCTCTGAGCTGGTCTAGATACATCATTTGATAGATAATCCAAGTAATTAGAAAAAGCCAACCTTTTTCAGACATGTTTTGTGGTAACTGTAGAGGGAGCTGCCGAGTATCATTGTTGAAAATGTCAACATGCTGAAGGTCTGGGTTCGATTCCCGACATGGGTACAATGTGTGAAGCCCATTTCTGATCTCCCCCGCCGTGATATTGCTGGAATATTGCTGAAAGTTGCGTAAGACCATATACTCACTCAGTCAATGATTGAAAATGCCTCAGATTAACCTGATAATGACAGTCATGGTGCAGACGGCGACCGTACATACATGGATGAAGTGTTTTATTATTTTATGTACAGCTCTTAATACAAAGTTGAAACAAAGTACTCAAAACAAAGGATTGAATTGAGAATAATGTCAACATGGTAATAGGAATGCAATCTCATTAAAATCAGTTCTTAGTTCTCGCTATCGCTAAACAAAGAACTGAGGACATCCCATTACGGGTCACGTCAGAGCGACCTTTCATCCGACCAATCAAAGTGTCGCTTACCAGATCATGAAAGTGACAGTCGGAATGTGTTTTCTAATCATGCAACCTCGAAAACACTAACACAGTATTTTCCGAACGACAGTTATGGCCAATACGACTGATTCCATCAAAATTATCGTCTATCTCTCACTTCAGTGGGATAAACATTTGAACGGAGGAGGCGTTGCACAGTATGTGGGAAGCACTGCCATACAATCGCAACCATATATTAGACATTCCGGAATGTTCTTGTGTTCAGTTCTTAAAATTTTAATCGAGAACTGTGTGAACTGATCTTTCAAGTGTAGTCTGAATGGAAGTCGCCAGGTTGAAACGAATGCCGTAAAGCTCGAAAAAGCTGCTTTCTAATTGGCTGATGTCGACTTCTTGTTAGTTATTTCAGTGGTCGGTCAAAGTTCGCGAAAGGTCGTTCTGACATGACCCCTAATGGGATGTCCTCAGATCTTTGTTTAGCGGCAGCGAGAACTTAGATCAGATTTTAACGAGATTGATAGGAATGCTATTTGAGCTGAGTTGGTGCTGGGCTGTAAGCATGCTAAGGGAAGACATTGTCCTTCAGTCCATGTTGCGGGGCAGGGGAGGCTGCTACAAGCACACCTTCTACGGAATTGAATCTCACCGCTGTATGGAGACCACGCCCAGTCTGGCCTGTGCCAACAAGTGTGTCTTCTGCTGGAGGTAAGTGTCTCTGTGTGTCTCCTTGGCGTGTCTGCTGTGTCACTGCTTAGCATGTCTGACCTGTGTGTCTGCCCACTTTGTGTCTGTTTCTGTGTCTGTGTCTGCCCATTTTTGTCTGTCTGTTGTGTGTGCCTGCTGTGTATCTGTTGTGTGTGCCTGCTGTGTGTCTGTTAAAAGTCTGCTGTTTGCCTCTACGTGTCTGCTGTGTGCCTGATGTGCATCTACGCGTCTGCTGCGTGCCTGATGTGTATCTACACTTCTGCTGTGTGCCTGATGTGTATCCACGTGTCTGCTGTGTGCCTGATGTGTATCTACGCCCCTGCTGTGTGCCTGATGTGTATCTACGCATCTGCTGTGTGCCTGATGTGTATCTTTGCGTCTGCTCTGTGCCTGATGTGTATCTATGCGTCTGCTGTGTGCCTGATGTGTATCTAAACGTCTGCTGTGTGCCTGGTGTGTATCCATGCGTCTGCTGTGTGCCTGATGTGTATCTACACTTCTGCTGTGTGCCTGATGTGTATCTTCACTTCAGCGGTGTGCCTGATGGTGTGACTGCAGTGTGTATCTGTTGGCAGCTTGATGTGTGTCTGTTACTTGTCGGTTTTGTGTGTCTGTACTAAAGGACTGGTTTGTATGTGTGTATTGTGTGAGGATGTTAATGAGTTGCTTGTTGTCTCTCCAGACATCACACCAACCCTGTTGGCACAGAGTGGAAGTGGAAGATGGATGATGCCGATACTGTCTTCCAGGGGGCGCTCAACAACCATGTTGGTCTCATCAAGCAGTTCCGAGGTCAGTGAACACTTTCTCTTCCAGTTTTAATGTCATAAACAGGAAGCACTGGTGGTTCAGTCATCTAAGGCACTACAAGCTGTACGGAGTTGCGTCGCTAAGGCATGGCTATGATACTGGGTTCGAATCCCAGCTTTGCCTGTATTATATACCTAGCTTTGTCAGCACCTTACTCATACTCATTGATTTCACCAAAGTGCTAAACATCTAAGACCTCTCACTCACTCACTCACTCACTCACTCACTCACTCACTCACTCACTCACTCACTTTCCTCCCACATCAAGCTCTTAAGGCGTTAAACCTCACTCACTCACTCACTCACTCACTCACTCAAAAATGCAGAAGTGATAGCAAAAGTGAGTGACAATAATATATATTCACTTAGCAGCGACAGTGATCAAGCTTCCAAAATGAGCTAGGCAGGGAATCGGGGATGATGAGCAATCCTCACATGAAAGCTGGTTCCAAAGCGATGAAATTTGTGAGAGATACGTAAACACGCTATTGTCCCCTTACAAGCTTCTGGAAATTTCTATACCATGCCCTAACCACATAGAACATTACGGAAATTCCTGTAACATACTATCACCGTCCGTGGAATGCCGGACCACAAGTTTACACACCACACTAGCATCTAGAAATAGTAACTTCCTGACGACTGATCACTGTCCAAAAACAATGCAAAGAGTATCTACCGAATCCTAACAGAAACAATGAGACACAGTGACACAATCATTGTTAAACAATAAAATACATTGCATTATATAAAAGGAATGTATTCAACAGTAAATTGCCACAAATTTAAAATTATTCCTTAATATGTCTGCCAGGAGTGCCCGGAGTGCAGCCCGAGAGGTTTGCGGAAGGCTTGGAGCCCAAGCACTGCGCACTGTCCCTGGTTGGGGAGCCCATCATGTACCCAGAGATCAACAAGTTCATCAGCCTCCTCCATGGCAAAGGCATTTCCTCCTTCCTCGTCACCAACGCCCAGTTTCCAGATGCAATCAAGTAAGCAGAAAGCTCTCTCAGTCGCACATGCTTCTGTTCGCCTCGGCAATGTAAACACTGTAAATCTTGAAATGAATGTGTGGCCAAATTAATGTGAGTGCTGTCTGCTGGTATTTGAAAGCTTTGTTTCCTGATGTGCTGCATGGTAGAGCGTCTGCCCGGAGAGAGGAAGGTCCGGGGTTCGATTCCCAGCCGCGTCATACCAAAAGACGTTAAAAGATGGTACTCGTTGTTACCCTGTCTGGTGCTCGGCATTAAGGGGCTAAAACAAGGACTGGTCGGCTCGGAGTCAGTATACTGTGTCTGAGTGGGGTATTCATGTTAAACTGGCATGGTATCTCAGTGTGCTAGTACTATAAATCGGCATCAGTTCGGACTAGTACAAGCAGCCACACACTCACACAAACATACACGTGCATGCATGTCGCTATATAAGTGCAATAATCTTGGACGCACCTGATGTGCTGCACTGAAATGTGGCCTACAAGTTAGTGATGCAGTAGATGAGGATGTTCTGTTGTGGAGGGCATTGTTTTGTGTGCAGTAGGTCAGGGTTCATAAGCACAACAGATGACACCGTAAATCATGAAATTAATGCGCCAACCCCCTGGGCTAAAGCGTGACATGAAATTAACGCGAGTAGCCATACCTTTGAAGTTGAAACATCAATCAGCAAGCAATACACCAGAACTGACGTAGAATAAATGTGCGATCATGAATTAGTATGGGGTGATAGCAGTTCCGTTGAATATCATCACAAAGTTGAATACAACTGCTTGACATGTGATCTAACTCCCATAAAATCAAAAGCAGGAAGTTCAAAATATGGCATATTCAAAAGAGACGGTTCAGGTCACTGACGAAGGTTGTAGAGGTTCCATGTGTTGTCAGCTCAGTCATGTGAGTGTGAATGACCATTGTCATGTGTTCACCACGACACCTGTTTCTGAAACTTGACATTGGAAATACACTGATCACTAAAAGTCTGGTTTAGAATTGGACTTTAGCAACCTTAGCTTGTCCTAGAAATCGACCAACAGGATCAGTTGATGCTTGTCTTTGTATGCCATTTTCATGGATGGATGTGCATTATGTCAATCCCTGGATTGTCGTGAAATGTTAATTACTGTGTTCTTGGGTTACAAGCGAGACATGTCTATCAGTGATCTATCAGACCCGTGAAGATCCGGGGTAGAAAAGGTCTTCAACAACCCATTCTTGCCGTAAAAGGCAACTATGCTTGTCATAACGGGATTGGGTGGTCAAGCTCGCTGACCTGGTTGATGCATGTTATCGTATTTCTATTGAGTGGATCAATGCTCATGATGTCAGTCACTGGATGGTCTGGTCCAGACTCAATTGCGTCCATGTCACCATCATATAGCTGGTGGCAGTCGGGTAGCCTCGTGGTTAAAGCGTTCGCTCATCCCGCCGAAGACCCAGGTTCGATTCCCCACATTGGTACAATGTGTGAAGCCCATTTGTGGTGTCCCCCGCCGTGATATTGCTTGAATATTGCAAAAAGCGGCGTAAAATCAAACTCACTCACTCACTCACTCACTCACTCATATAGCTGGAGTATTGGTGTGGTGTTAAGCAACAAACAATCCATCTTGTGTGTGTCAGGGACCTGAGTCCGGTGACCCAGCTGTATGTGAGCGTGGACGCCAGCACCAAGGAGAGTCTGAAGAAGATCGACCGCCCGCTGTTCCGTGACTACTGGCAGCGTTTCCTGGACAGCCTGGAGGCCCTGGCCAGCAAGGGGCAGAGGACTGTGTACAGACTCACACTGGTCAAGGCCTGGAACACAGAGGAAGTGCAGAACTATGCCAGCCTCGTCTCCCGGGGAAAGCCAGACTTTATTGAGGTCAAGGTAGGAAAAGGTTGTATGTCTTTATGATAGTCTTGGAGTCCTGGGGCACGGGAGTTAAAGGACTCTAAAAGTCTAATTTCCACTCCTCGGGAAGAAGGCGGCAGTGGGGTAGCCTGGTGGTTGAAGCGTTCGCTTGTCACTGCACAAACATTGGTTGGACTCCCCACATGGGCACAGTGTGTGAAGTCCTTTCTGCTGCTCCCCCTGTGCCTGAAATGTTGTTGAAAGAAGCTGTAGGTTCTTATGTAAGAGTAAATGTGTTTCACCTGAACATTTGTTGTGGTGGAATCGATATGCCAGGGGTTTTGTTCCTGAGGAACCAAACTCTTGAACATTTGTTGTGGTGGAATCGATGTGCCAGGGTCCTTAAGAACCAAACTCTTGAACATTTGTTGTGGTGGAATCGATATGCCAGGGTCCTTAAGAACCAAACTCTTGAACATTTGTTGTGGTGGAATCGATATGCCAGGGTCCTTAAGAACCAAACTCTTGAACATTTGTTGTGGTGGAATCGATATGCCAGGGTCCTTAGGAACCCAACTCTTGAACATTTGTTGTGGTGGAATCGATATGCCAGGGTCCTTAGGAACCAAACTCTTGAACATTTGTTGTGGTGGAATCGATATGCCAGGGTCCTTAGGAACCAAACTCTTGAACATTTGATGTGGTGGAATTGATATGCCAGGGTCCTTACGAACCAAACTCTTGAACATTTGTTGTGGTGGAATCGATATGCCAGGGTCCTTAGGAACCAAACTCTTGAACATTTGTTGTGGTGGAATCGATATGCCAGGGTCCTTAGGAACCAAACTCTTGCCATATCAATTCCACCAGAACAAATGTTCAGGGAGAACATATTTACACTCACGAAAGAGCCTACTCATTCATACACTCACTTACCAGATCAGGCACAGCACTATTCATGGCACATGGTCCCAAAGCCTTGATGAATGAATTAATCATGAGAATTTTCTAATTCACCACCACTCGCCTGTTTCTCTAATTCCCACTTCTAGTTGCATCCTGTTATGAAGACAATATCAACTTCACAGTCTGCCTGACCAAAAAACGTATACGAAATTAATTAATCGTTTATCGTAATAATGCAGCACAAACCCAGCCCATTCTATTATCTGCCAATCAGGGAACAGGAGTCCCTGAGTGGGAGTGGCCTGATTTTGTTTCAGCTAATTGTAAAGGACACAAAACAAAGATGGCTTGGTTACCATGGTTACGCAGTCAGATGCCACAGAATCATGTGTAGTTTATGTATTCCAATTTATTTGCTTTGTTCCAGGGCGTGACCTACTGTGGGGAGTCCAAGGCTTCCACTCTGACGATGGCCAATGTCCCCTGGCACCAGGAAGTTGTCAGTTTTGTACAGAAGCTTGCAGATGCTCTGCCAGATTACGAGATAGCATCAGAGCATGAACACTCGAACTGTATCCTCATCGCCCACACCAAGGTAGGTCACACTCATTAGGACTGTTTAAGCACAGGAACATCTATCTGGATAACCTGTTTGTGATCCAAGGCCGAGCAGGTCCAATTAGCACTCTATGCTTCAAAGACCCAAGGCCGAGCAGGTCCAATTAGCACTCTATGCTTCAAAGACCCAAGGCCGAGCAGGTCCAATTAGCACTCTATGCTTCAAAGACCCAAGGCCGAGCAGGTCCAATTAGCACTCTATGCTTCAAAGACCCAAGGCCGAGCAGGTCCAATTAACACTCTATGCTTCAAAGACCCATGTCCGAGCAGGTCCAATTAGCACTCTATGCTTCAAAGACCCAAGGCCGAGCAGGTCCAATTAGCACTCTATGCTTTAAAGACCCATGGCCGAGCAGGTCCAATTAGCACTCTATGCTTCAAAGACCCAAGGCCGAGCAGGTCCAATTAGCACTCTATGCTTCAAAGACCCAAGGCCGAGCAGGTCCAATTAGCACTCTATGCTTCAAAGACCCAAGGCCGAGCAGGTCCAATTAGCACTCTATGCTTCAAAGACCCAAGGCGGAGCAGGTCCAATTAGTACTCTATGCTTTAAAGACCCAAGGCCGAGCAGGTCCAATTAGTACTCTATGCTTTAAAGACCCAAGGCCTAGCAGGTCCATGTTGTGCTCTGTGCTAGTTGTAAGCCCCAAGGCCAAATAGGTCCAATTAGTACTCTATGCTTTAAAGACCCAAGGCCAAGTAGGTCCATATGGTCCTCTTTGATCGTTGTTTGACCCAAGGATAAGTAGGTCTAATAGTACTCTATGCTTGTTGCAAGGCCGAGTAGGTCAATATAGTACTATATACTGGTTGCAAGTAAAGAAAGGTCCATTTAGTACTCTATGCTTGTTGTAACATACCACTACAATGATGATTGAGGATATTCTGTGATATGAACATTGCATTATCTAAATATATTAATGAATAATTCTTTCTGTTGAAAGTTGAGGAAAAGTGAAATCTCCTCTTTGCCAATGGCTGATCTTGCTTTTACATGTTGTTATTCACTAAAAGAAGATTGGCGAAAGTATGTATAAATTTCTTCTCCTACAGTTCAAGATCAAGGATGAATGGTGGACATGGATAGACTATCCTCGGTTTCATCAGCTCATATCAGAATATAACCAATCAGGAGGCCAGAAAACATTTACTGCAGAGGACTATATGGCCCCAACTCCAAACTGGGCAGTGTTTGGAGCTTCGGAGAGAGGGTTTGACCCGGTCGAGACTCGGTTCCATAGAAAGAAGCAGAAGGACATCAGTGGCTGCTAACACCTGCTGTCTGACCTTATGTCTGACCATGTGTCTGACCCTGCTGTCTAACCTTGCTCTCTGACTTGTTGACTGACTCGGGTGTTTAAGGGATGGGAAGTTTAAGGATGTACAGATGTATACTGATTAAATGGACAACTGGAAGGACTTGGATGTGGATGTGTGTGTGGCATTTTGCTGTGCAGAGTAACATCCCTTAGAAATCTTTGATCCTGGGTGAGAATCATGTTTGTCCCCAATATATACTTGCTTATGGGTTTCAGTTGACATCAAAGACCCTCATCCCACTTCAGGCTGACACCAGTCGCGATATAACTGAAATACTGTTTAAAGGAATGTTAAACCAAACTTACTCACATAATACAAGACATATTGATATGCTGTGGTCGTAGTTATAGAAGCTGTTTGGTCCTTTCCCCCAACCCCCAAACCCCAACCCCAACCCCAACCCCAACCCCAACCCCAACCCCCCCCAACACCACCAATTTCTAGAACATCTGTGAATCTGTAAGTATCTTTTATGAGCACTGCTCCCAAGCTCCCAATATAGCTCTAAGACTGGACATTTACATGACAGTTTATCTATGACAACAAATTGAACTTGTTGTGTATAGATTTTGTAAGCGTGCCATTTGTCATTTTCCTAGCCCTGAATGCTTCTTGCAATGAATAGGGTACATGTCTTAAGCCATTATAAATTCATCATCAGATTTTCACCCCTGCTCCCCTCATTAGCAAACACCAATCCTACTTTATGTACATCATTTTCTTATTCCCGATTGCAAATACTTACATGAAGAGCACTATTCTCTTGAGCCTCACTTATCCGGACACTAGCATTTTCTCAAATATTGTCCAGATTACCATGTTTCCAGATATCAGAATCCATTGTTAAATGACAAGAGTTACCTCCCTTCTCAAATTCTACCGAGGCATAAAATGCTCTATTATTATACTGTGCAAACACTTAGACACCTTGACATTGCATTCTCGATGGGATCACGTGATACCTGTCACTTTGATGGCGGCCACCGGGTACTAAATTAAAACAAACGCTGTCAAGCGTGGTCACTGTGCGGTAAGGGGGACACAAAATAGTATGTATTTTACACTGTTGGTAAATAAAATTCACTGTCCGGATCCAAATTCTCGGATACAAGAATCCTTTTATGAATTATTTTTTTGTTCATATATCAATCGTCTGGAAGGCAAGGTTTCTGGGTATGTTGGGTCTGGATAGCAGGGTTGTGTGTCATTGGACCCATCTGGATTTGTTGTAAGATCCCAGCCACGTACCGTTAAAAGATGATACTTGTTGTTACCCTGCCTTACATTCATCGTTAAAGGGATAAAACAAGGATGGGTTGACTGATACTGGAATAATATCAAAGCATTTTCCACTCGATGGATTTTCTGTTGATGCTTTGGATATTTGTGATATGATGTAACGCAGTTTGATTATGACTGAATTGTTTTTGTAAAATTTGTTTTTATTATGTTTTATTTTGTTTTATAATGTTTTATTGGCCCATTTGTTTTAGGAGTTTGGTGATTTGCATGAAATTTAACTGGGCCTATAAAATGCAATTTATACAACATGCGGCTTTATTTTACAACCTGGGTTGGACTTGTGAAAAGTTCTCCCACACTGTTGATGTGTTGGCTTCAATACAATGATTCAATACTCTCTGAATTCACTATTTTGATATTGAAGGAATTGTCCATCATTTGTGAGAAGGTACATATTTCATTATATCACCACCTTCATGTTTAAAGTGGGGGCACGGGTGGCCCAGTCGTCTAAGGTGCAGCGATTCGCTGTGCAGAGTTGTGTCCCTTGGGTAAGCCAGAAACCTATGATTGTGGGTTCGAATCCCGGTTCTCCCCGATTATGTTTCTAGGTTTCTCAGCACCATACCCATGCTCGTGGGTTTCACCGAAGTGGTAAACGTCTGAGACCTGCATCACTTTGGGCTTTCCTCCCACATTAAGCTGACACGCCGCGATATAACTGGAATGCTGTTAAAAGCAGCGTTAAACTCAACTCACTCACTCATGTTTGAAGTTGAAATCTTTGATTTGTGTTAGAATTGTTGAAGTATCATATTATATATTATTTTATTATTCTAAGAGTACTGTAACAGTTGATTATGGGGATTCAGACACCCTGGATTATCACAGGGATCCTGTCTTCAATCAGTGTACACGATTCAGTGTGTGGGATCCTGTACTTATGGGGTCTTTTCTCACTGAATTATAGGAGACTTATTTGGGAAATAAATGTTATGGTCTGATGATGTTACAATTCATGAGTGTCCAGCCACCTATACTCATGGGTTTGAATCCCAGATTCACGCTGACTATATTTTTGGGTTTGTTAGCACCATACAAGCGGCACGTGGGTTTCACCAAGTGGTAAACATCGGCTCTGACGTCATGCTGATTTGCCATGACTGAAATGATTAAACCAAACTCACTCTCTCATTAAGGGATGGTGGAGTAGCCTTGTAGTTAAAGTGTTTGCTTGTCATGCGGAAGGCCCGGGTTAATTCCCCACATGGTACCATGTGTGAAGCCCATTTCTGGTGTACCCCGCCATGATATTGCTGGAATATTGCCAAAAGTGGCATACTCACTCACTCATTCTCTCATTCGCCTTTGTATTAAGCTATTACAGATCGTCTTCTGTGGAGGACTCCTTGATTTGTGAGGCTAAAAGAGAAAGGGTCACTTAAAATACAATCTTCAAGCAATAATTTTTTGAGGTGTGTGAGCAATGTTGCATATATTTCTTAATATACTGATACAAATAAATAAGGGAACATTTGAAACAGGTTAGTGAGATAATGGATTTTGACTCGGGCAGTAATATACCAGGTGTCATGGTGATATGTAAAGAATCAAATCCAGCCTGAGTAAACTAGTGGTTGACAGCATGAGCATCAATCTATGCTGTCTCAGCAGAATTCTCCCACATCAAGCTGACAACTCATGATATAACTGAATACTTTTCGATGCTGGGTTAAGCCCTTCTCACGGAGCCCCCATGGCTATGTGTTCCCTTAGTTTCGTCCATGAGTATATTTGTTTACATGCTGTTATTTATAATGAATATTTATATGTCTATAGTTAGTTTATGTTTTGGGGGCACGGGTGGCCCAGTCATCTAAGGCACCGCAATTCACTGTGCAGATTTGCTTGCCTTGGACATGCCAGAAACCTATGATTGTGGGTTCAAATCCCGATTAGCCCTGATTATGTTTCTAGGTTTGTCAGCACCATACCTGTGCTCGTGGGTTTCACTGAAGTGGTAAACGTCTGAGACCTGCATCACTTCGGGGTTTCCTACCACATTGGAACTGGAATAATGTTAAAATCGGAGTTAAACCCAACTCACTAGTTTATGCTTGACTCTGGTCAGGATGAATTTGGTTGGACTGTCTTAAAACTTCTTATACAGGTTGAAGAATATTACTGGGTATTGTTTCATATTATCATTGGTTACAGCAAAGATGAGAGGTTTATGACATTGAATCCAGTGGCACTGCTAGTCAACTCACCATGAAAATAGTTATTCAACAGTTGGCATTAGCCCTGTGGACAGTGTGTTTGTTTGTCAAGAAGAGGCTAGGTTTGAATCCAAACAAGACATTTGAGCACCCTGCTTAATACATTCCATAACTGCCAACTGACAATACTTGCTTGTGTTTGATCTTATGCTTTTGAAGACTGAGGACTGGTATATTCCATGTGTATGTCAGAACATTGTTCTTGTAAATAAATACTCCCCTCTCTATACTTCTGTTGTGTCACAATAGACTTGGATCAAACTTTTGTCTTCCAGCACTATATGGGTACCTGGTAGGATGAGACATTCATATGTATGAGGAAAATGGCAGCTGGAGTGTATTCTCATCACGGAAACAGGGAATGACCCCTTTCTCGCTATGATTGTGGACCAGTGAAGATCCGGGTTACAATGGGTCTTCAGCAACCCATGCTCGTTGTAAGAGGCTGTTGTAAGAGATGACTAACGGGATCGGGTGGTAGGGTTCGTTGACTTGGTTGATGCATGTCATCTGTTCCCAATTGTGTGGATCTTGGCCTCACACATTGTACTATATCTGGAAACCGAACCCAGGCTTTCAGCAGGAGTGAACACTTTAACCTGTAGGCTACTCCACCACCCACTCTGATGGTACCATATGTTACTAAGGCAAAATTGGGTAAATCTTGGAGATTATTGCACTTATACAGGCACGGCTGTGGCTGCTGGTACTTGTCAAGACCTCCAACCTGAATCTTTGTATGATTGTTTGTTTGTTTGTTGTTTAATGCTGCTCTCAGCAGTATTCCAGCTATATGACAGCGGTTTGTAAATAGAGCCTGGACCAGACAATCCAATGATTTACATCATGAGCATCAATCCACGAATTGAGATACGATGACATGCATCAACCAAGTCAGCGAGCCTGACCACCTGAACCCGTTTGTCACCAGATGACAAGCATGGGTTGCTGAAGACCTATTCTACCCCGGGTCTTCATCGGTCATCTTTGTATAAAAAGTGAACCATTGAAGCATTATCCTACCCTGCCTGCCTTTGAATGATGTGATTTGTTAAAACAAGTTGTGCTGTTCCAGCGAAGAACTCTTGTCTACTCAATGAGACTGGCATAAGACAGTGTAGATTTGCCTCCCTTGGCTGTGCCAGGATCGGCTGGTAGGGGGTTTGAAACTCACATTCAGCCTTAGTATTATTGTCTGTTACCCCTATACCCTTTTCTGTAGTAAGTTACAGTTTTCTAAAAAGATATTCTAGTGTACAAAAACCGTCTTGTCCGTACTCTCTGCGGCTTGAAGTATAGCGAGATGGGCCATGCCATGGTGGGCACGTCTAGGTTCTGTGAGAATATCTCCCACTGAACGCCACGGCCTGTGCAAAAAAATCGGAATCCTGTGCAAATGATAAAATTAGAATGGAACAAGTCAGGGGCGGGAGAGCCACAAAAGAGACGAGCTCTTAGTTTTCCAAAGTGGTAAGGGGGGGTCGGTTAGCCTAGTGGTTAAAGCGTTCGCTCGTCACGCCAAAGACCCGGGTTTGATTCCCGACATGGGTACAATGTGTGAAGGCCATTTCTGGTGTCCCCCGCTGTGATATTCCTGGAATATTGCTAAAAGCGGCGTAAAATCATACTCACTCACTCACCCCAAAGTGGTAAGTCTTGTACAGGCATCACCTCAGGCTTTTCTCACACTTTACGCTGACATGTTTTCCTAGCTCTGACAGAAAGGGGGAATATATATGAAATATTTATAAAATTACTATTTATTTCCTACTTTCTTTGTTTTGTTTGTTTAATTGTTGTTTAACGCTGCACTCAGCAATATTCCAGCCATATGACGGCGGTCTGTTAATAATCGAGTCTGGACCAGACAATCCAGTGATTAATATCATATGCATTGATCCACGCAGTTTGGATACGATGACATGCATCAACCAAGTCAGCGAACCTGACCACCCGATCCCGTTAGTCGCCTCTTACGACAAGCATGGACGCCTCTTCCGGCAAGCTTTCAAAAATGAATATTAAATATATAGTGTACCTGTAGTCCAATTTCCTGACATTTCCGCAAGACTCAGTATCACCTTGACATTGAGTTAATTTGAGTAAAGGTACTTTAAACGTAAAAAAATAATAAGGTGCCGTTTCCGCCGAGCAATGGTAGCTGTTTTCGCTTTAGGCGAGGTGCCGTTTTCACTCGGTAGCGTTTTGCTGAGGTGACGTTTTAGCTACACACGCACACACACACACACACACACACACACACAAACCTGACATGCCCTGAAATGGGAACTACTGCCCAAACTAATACCCCCCCCCCAAAAAAAAACAAAACAAAAAAAAAAAAAACAAGAACAATACACACTGTATGTCAACTGAATGTCAAGTTTATTCCCATAGTAACCCAGTATTGATAAGGTGCATTCAAAGAAGCTGTGTCGACAATACACGAATTGTTCTTGAAGAGCGCTCAGTTCAGTAGAAGCAAGGACACAGTCCTTTATATTACAATGTATGATGTGAATCATGTGTATTCACAAATGTACTATATCTCATAATAGCAGCCAAACATTATATTGATTAACTCCAGGCATTGAGAAACTACGGTGGCCCATAAGGGAAATGGAGTCTGTTTTTCAATATTTTGATATTTCACTTACTTTTATCGTAACCTTTTGCAAATTAACACTATTTGTCATACAAATATGTGATAAATCATGAATAAAAACAACCGAAAACATGGAAAATGTACTTTCAAGTAGCTATTGAATCGCTGAAATGTGAACCGAAAATGTCGAAAACTAAAATGGAAATGTCAAAAACAAAAACGAAAATGTCAAAAACAAAAGCGAAAATATCAAAAACTAAAATGAAAATACAGAAAAGTATTTCCACCGCAGGGAAAACTATTTAGTTTTTTGACATTTTAATCTGAATTTTTGACCTTTTCGTGTGTTTTTTTACATTTTCATTTTAGTTTTTGACATTTTCGCTTCACTTTTCAATATCTACTTCATACATGATTCATCACATATTTGTATGACAAATCGTGTTAATTTGCAAAAGGTTACGATAAAAGTAAGAGAAATATCAAAATATTGAAAAACAGACTCCATGTCCCTTATGGGCCACCGTAAGAAACAATGTTTCAATGGCTTCCCTGTGGTTTCAGAGAGGATTTCATATCTACAGCCTTTATAAACTTATTCGCGAATATTATTTGATTTTGTGAATGTGTGGCAGGGCAACAGAGAATATGACCACACAAAATATGCATCAAACGTTTTAATAGTTATGGTAGTGATATTCTACTGATATTCTCCAATGCTTTGATAAATTTTGATCACAATAAAGAATGTAACATATTTAAAGTCTAGTTAAACAGATAATATTTGAGAACGTGTATTCAATTGTTAAGTTTGCACAAGTAAAATAACCCAGTCATTTTAAAGATAATGCTTCATAGACGAATTAAAAGGTTGATGAAATCTTCATATCTAATATAAACGTAACCTTAGTTTGTAAAGTCGTCTGGTAAATCATAATATACGAAATGTCAAATGAAGGAATTATTTGCTTTCTAGCTGACTGGGTTCCGTCTTGAAATCATGACAGTCTTCATGCTAGTTGCGAGTCGACGAGGTTGAGCGTGCATGGGTATTCTAACTGGGCAGGTTGCACGCACTGCAGGAGCATGAAGCTGAACAGGCGGTTGCCGGGGCACTGGCGACTTCGTAAGGAGCCCAACTCGCAGCTGAAGAACGACTTGCACGTGGCGTCTTGCCAGTCAGGATAGTTGAATGTCGTCACGTTGTTTGGGCATGCATAGCGTGGGCATGTCGTATCTGTAAGAGAAAACCGAGATTGTTTACGTCACATTTTGAGTGCGAAATCCGCTCTGCTGGAAGCGATCGTAAAATCACCAGGGCCCCGTTCCACAAAGCGATCTTAGCGCTACGATTGTCGTAAGTCAGTGTTAAAGACTGGGAGTTACGATCAACTTAGAGCTAAGATCACTTTGTGGAACGGGGCCCTGCACAGTAAGTTATCATGTATAGCCCTATGCTACAGACTTGCTTTAATGCTGTGAGAGATGTAAGCTGATTAAGCGTTTGTTTTTGCACATACTCTTCTGGTCTGTTAATTCCCCGAATTACAAAGAGTGACAGATCACTGGTCTTTGACTGTAAAGGTTTAGTTTAACCAGTTCAACTGTACACAGACAAGAAAAGTGATTGAAATGCGATTTCAGGTACTATTCCTGACTGATGCCGGTTTTATAGTGCTAGCCCAGTAAGATATCATGCCGCAGTGAATACCCCACTCAGACACGGTATACTGACTCCGATCCGGCCAGTCTTTGTTTTATGCAGAACGCCAGATTGTATGGTCCAGACTCGATCATTCACAGACCCCCGTCACATAGCTGGAATATTGCTGAGTGCGGCGTTAAACAAACACACACGGGGTTCAGATGCTTGGCAGATGAACCTCCGATTGAACAATATCATATTACGTGAAGTTTGTGTAAGTGATGGCAACATTAATAATTTACCCACATAAGCATATTTGTGATATACACACTTATAAACAGTGTTATTTACATATAAACAGATGATTAATACAATTCAGTTATATCTATTGCTGTCTAATTATGATATTGGAACTTACCTCCACATGGCGTGCGACTAGTCACATATGTTAATGCATGTTAACCAAAAATACAACATTGTCTACTTATATACAGTGAGTGAGAGAGTTGGGTTTAACGCCGCTTTTAACAGTATTCCAGTTATATCACGGCGTGTCAGCTTAATGTGTGAGGAAAGCCCGAAGTGATGCAGGTCTCAGACGTTAACCACTTCGGTGAAACCCACGAGCACGGGTATGGTGCTGACAAACCTAGAAACATAATCGGGGCGAACCGGTATTCGAACCCACAATCATAGGTTTCTGGCGTGCCCAAGGGACGCAACTCTGCACAGCGAATCGCGGCGCCTTAGACGACTGGGCCACCCGTGCCCCAACTAATATAAAACTCAAATTGCGATAGGAATATGTTGAGTGTCCAGATAAGGTTTGAATGTGACTGATTGCTTGGATACGTTGTCATGCGAGCAGTATTCGATAGTGTCAAGGAACAAGGAAGCTTATTAAGCCCCATAATAGCCAAATAAACATAAGCACATAATTTAAGAAGTTGTTATAATTCAGTTATATAACCGCATGAAATAGCTCACTATACCTAACAATTATTGAGCAGTATATATATAGATATATATAGTCAAAGGCCATATGGAGGCAGGGGAACAAGTATACTACTCAAAAGAACTTCTTTCATATTACTATAGTTAAGTTGTCATGGCCATGACAGATTAACTTTAGTAATTTGAAAGAAGCGGGTGTTCTGTAACTTCTTTTGAGCAGTATATCTAGGAGATAGATGATCGATTATAGATTATGTTGTATCTATGCTTTTCACCAATTGCTTAGAAATCAGCACTAAGGGAACACGTCAAAACAATAGCTGAACTGACAATTGAATTGTATTAAAATTGAGAATGCCTTCTATAGTTTGTTGTTTAACGCCGCACTCAGCAATATTCCCACTATATGACAGCGCTCTGTAAAATAATAGACAATTCAGTGATTGACATCATTAGCATCGATTCACGCAATTGAGATCGATGACATGCATCAACCAAGTGAGCGTGCCGGACCACCCGATCACGTTAGTCGCCTCTTACGACAAGCATAGTCGCCTATTACGGCAAGCATGGGCTGCTGAAGACCTCTTCTACCCCGAATCTTCACGGGTCTGATAATGCATGCTAAATAAAGCCCTGTGTTTTGTGCGTTACAGAGATCTTGGCATGACGGAAGCCATAACACTGAGTAGATGAGGATTAATCTACAGCTAGCGGACAAGTCATTTGGCCTTTCACGTTACTTCTGAAAGGTTCCTTGCCAGTTTCATCCGTAAACACCGCAATCTGAAATGAAATGACGTGTTCCCGGGGGACTGATGATTACTGGCTAGTTAAGGTGATTCAGGCGCCTTAAAACAGATTCATCCTTTGGTGGAGTTGTCAGGATCGTTACTTCTTCGAAAATGGTTTGGACTGACGATCCTAGCAAACGTTGAGAAGCATACATTGACAAAATTATGATGGTATTGGCTATGTTGACGCAGTGTACAGCAGGTATTTTTAGGATGGTGCCATTTCCTCGTTGTTAGAAAGATCTTATGTTAGGCTGCGGCTGTTCGTGTATCAGGACCTTATACGGCATCAGGCGAACACGTGCCTTCCTGATGCTATCTTCTTTGTTCTGTTCTATCCAGTTTGTTCTATTCTGTTCTGCCTTCTACGTCATCTGCTCCATCATTCATAAATCATTCAAACATGTCCCCACATCAGCACCTTTAACACTATCGTTTTACACTGCTTCTCAATGACGAGGGGCGGTCTGGTAGCCCAGTTGAAAAGCGTTCGCTCGTCACGCTAAATACCCGGGTTCGATTCCCGACATGGGTACAATGTGTGAAGCCCATTTCTGGTGTCCCCCACCGTGATATTGCTGGAATATTGCTAAAAGCCGCGAAAAAAACATACTTACTCACTCACGCTTAATGATGAAAAGTCGTGATAGTTAAACAATTGAGATGTGAAAGAATTGCGTGTTCTTTAACTTCTTTTAAACAGTATATGAAGGCACAACGCTACTTAAAGTGAAAGACATCTTCCCGAGGCAAGGGAGTTAACTGACTGTAAAAGTCCTGTTTCCACACTCGCCGAACTAGGCTGGAATTATGTAGTTATATTATTGGCTGGACTAACGAGTCTATGCATACAGAGACCATATATGGTCTGTGATGCATAGTTAAATCAAACTCGCGCAACGAAATCGACACTTGGTTCTGTTCGTAATCTGCTGTGCAGATTTCGGTCGATTACAGGATTTGCATGTGTATCGCCTACTCGACGTCGTCAGATATTTTCCAAATCCGTCCATGTTTTTTTATCAAGGTGTTCAAGTGATTTGATGCACTTCTCGAAGTAAGGCCCGTTTTGATTTTGACTGGGGGCCGCCATTTTGTTTGAAGCAAATGCAAGTGATATGAGAGGTGGAATCAGATAGGTCAACAGGAGGGACATAGAAGGGACATAACTCGTAATAGACACTGGTGGCGCTTCGATCGAGCCCAGAAATTACAGCCTAGTTCGCCAAGTGTGGAAACTGGACTTTTACAGTCAGTTAGAACTCTTTTGCCTCCGGAAGATGGTAATAGAGTATTAGTACCCGCTCACGGTTTTGCGTGATGTAGGCGCAGTTGACCTTGGATGGGGGTTGTTACATCCTTTCGGAAAATTTCTTATGGAAACCTTTCCAACTGACTATGCAAGCTTCCAATTTGAAGTTTAACGTGACAGGGAATCGACCATTTTTTGTATATGAGAACTCGATTAACCGTGCGTTTTAACACACATAGAACAATTACACGCGCAGTTTCATAAGCAGCAATTTGGTTAGCATTACAAACTAAACTATGTTAGCAACAACTCACCTGGATCCCGTCTCACATGATATGCATTTTTTGCGTACATATCGCAAACGTGAAAAGAGTCAAGAACCAGTCTGGTGCAACGGTGTTATAACGGGAATTCTACTTGGTTATGGGAGAAGCGGGGGGTACCAGCAGCATAGGGAATTGAACATACTATATTCGCTAACAGAGATTCTATCTACAACTACTGAAGGGAGTGATTGTAAGGATGACGCTACTGTGTGTAATCATCTAAAACCATGACCGGAAGCTCTAACTGTGCCCTTGACATAGGGTCATCTCACGTGACCTTGGCAGTAGACACCCGTGTAGCTGCTAGGGCAATCACAGTAGACACTGTTGGTAGAGGACACGCGGCATCTCCCGCCATTTTGGCATGGGCTGTACTGACAGGCGTCTAGTTCTGTATACACACGGGGGTAGGTCATGCTCAACACGACATTTCATACCGTTATTCAAATAATAAATATATACATGATGTAACCATCCCAGGAAGAAGACACATGAAAACGAAAAATAAATACAAACGGAAAATAGCTAATTAAAATAATTATCGTCAAAAATGTTCCAAAGATAATTTCCTGCGTATGCAACATAAATGACATACAAGATTAAAGAAACATGCAGAATACCATGCTGGTTTAACATAAAACAAAGAATAAAACATGCCTTATACAGCGAAACCCTGTCAATCCGGACAAGACCATTTGTAGTGAACTGTCCGGATTCATAAAGTTAAGGACTATGGGTTTTTGTAGTCTGTTTGTCCACAAGAATATGTCTACAATACTAACAGGATGTCCTGATTCACGGGTTTCCGGAATCACAGGGTTTCACTGTAGTGTGTTTAGAGAGAAATTACATCTGTTATTGAAAGAATACATTATTGACCAAGGCGACGCTATGGAGGTGAAGTAGCGATGATTCGTGATAAGCAGATGCAAAGGGTGACTGGGTACAGTATCATGTATAAATGAAAATGATGTAAATTCACATCCCTGCAAATGTAAATAAAAAGTATGCATTACTGATAAATGTTGTCATTATTTTTATGTACAATTACATACAAGTCGTAAGCTGCTGGTCAGAGAAGTTTTACACTTGAAAATTTGATTTGACCATCAAATGACGAACGTCATCAGAAGGTTACTAGGTTGAACAAAAATAGCAGAAACACTGAACACTTTGACACAAAACACACATTTGATACCCGTATCAACTATAATCACCACCAAATAACCATTTCTTGTTTGTTTCACTTTTAGCCACCTTAAAAAGTGGTGTTTTCTTCCTTTTCCCGGCATATTTTTATCAAAAATGCTGAGTGCGGCGTTAAACAAACAACAAACAAAGTTTTCAAAAAAAAAAGAAAATAAAAATATAGAAATGATACCATATTAAAAATTGTATTTGATGGAGGTTCTGTCATGGCACTAATACTGTTCTTTCTTATTTGTACGCGAGAAACGTGTCTTTAAATATATAATCACTAAATCTTTTCTAACATATACATTTCAGTTTGACATGCACGTGTTCTTTCAAACGTGTGTGATACACATATTGTGTCATGCTCAATCTTGCAATGCTTGCGTCTATAGCATGCATTCTGTCATGCATATGGTTCTCGAACATGCATTGATTTGATCGATAAGACAATAAGGAAAATACATTTGGAAGATGAACACTCACTGAGAGCGCAGTCGTTGCCGCCGTAGGCGTCTCTACACAGGCAGGAGTAGCCCATCCGGTTACTTACGCACGTGCCGCCATTCTGACATGGATTGGGGTCACACACTGAACAGAAAGGAATATTAACTTTTGAAAACAGTTCAAATTGAATCAATATTAAAAGGAATGTACTTGTCAAATATAAGATAATTTGAATCAAGAATTAAGTATTTCAAGTGAGTGAGTGAGTTCAAATTTAAAGTCACATCGGCAATATTTCAGTCATTTCGTGACTTGAGCAAGTTATGTATTTATATTATATATTAAAAAAAGTGTCGTCGAAGGACAACACAACGACCAGCAATATGTCACAGATTATAATTTTAAAATTAGTTTTAGAACAGTAAAATTATCAGATTATGGCAGACAACACGTTATGAAAACAGGCAATCAATCACCAACAACTGAAGTTAGGTCACCATACCAGGGACCATGGGGACTTACAGTACCTTTGCTACCTACATGGTTCCCCGGCAGGATTTACACCATTCCTTTAGTCATTAGTGATTGTTGACAAGATGAGCCATAAAATAAGATGAAAAAATATTCTGCGGTTAAAACAGCGCTGGAGAAAATACTTTGAATGACGTAGTCTTACATACCCTCCCATGGGGACAAGTATTTCAAGTCACATAGGTGAGGTGAGGTGACATGGGGCTTAACGTCGCGTCCAAGATTATTGCACTTATATAGCGACGTGCATGCACGTGTGTGTGTTCTTGTACTAGTCCGGACTGATGCCGATCTTTAGTGCTAGCCCACTGAGATACCATGCCGCAGTTTAACATGAATACCCCACTCAGACACAGTATACTGACTCCGAGCTTATCAGTCCTTGTTTTAGTCCCTAAATGCCGAGCGCAAGACAGGGTAACAACAAGTACCACCTTTTAACGTCTTTTGGTATGACGCGGCCGGGGATCGAACTCCGGACCTTCCGATCTCCGGGTGGACGCTCTACCAATAGATCACGGAGGCGGCCCACACTCTACATAGAAACATCGCTTCCGTGATTTACTATATTCCGAGTGCAACATCACCACTAGTTCGAATTTCTCGCATAATCTCCAAACGTTGGTTTAATTAGGATTATGTTTACTCGAGTTCACGATCGACTCTGTACAAAACATGTTAATGTAAGTAGGTACATTTGATATAGCTTACATTAAGTTATCTCCCATTGTCATCCGTGATAATGCGAATTTTATATCAAATAATTATTGTGTTATCTCTAGATGTTCGACCATGATAATGTGTGCAAGTTAGATATATGTAAGAATGTATGTCACCTCTAGTTTTCTACTCTGTGAGATATTTCTAACCATCAGGATTGGTTTGTTTGTTTGTTTGTTGTTTTACGCTGCACTCAGCAATATTCAAGCTATATGACGGCGGTCTGTAAATAATTGAGTCTGGACCAGTGATTGACATCATGAGCATCGATCCACGCAATAAGGATCGATGCAATGCTTCAACCAAGTCAGCGAGCCTGACCACCCGATCCCGTTAGTCGCCTCTTACGACAAACATAGTCGCCTTTTACGGCAAGCATGGGTTCCTGAAGACCTATTCTACCCCGGATCTTCACGGGTCTCCACACTCAGGAAATAAATGATGGCAGTGACCATCTAAAAATAAAGAACAACGAAAACATAACAATATCAATATGAGACAGGGACGTGATTCCAGTTGTACTTACATCCTTCTGGGGGGTCGCACATGGGGGACTGGTCTGGCCAGTTGCAGACATTGTGGACCTCGTCAAAGAAGAGTCCGCGTGGACATCGCTTCTGGTACCAGCCTCCGTGGGCACACTGACAGAACTGGTTGCAGTTGTCCGGGTCTCGTCGGAACTTTCCGTTCCTGCATTCCTTGCCGAGGCTACTGCATAACCCGGACGTCCTCTCGACAAGAACCAAAACTGGAAACAAGGACATGGCATGATAGTGCGTTAAGTAATGTCTTGACCGGTAGAGCAAGACAATTTGTAAGCATTGTTTTACGGAGATATGTATATATACTGTGACGTCAAAACAGCGTAACGGTATAACTGTACTCTTGAAAATCACATGCGTGAAACCGGTTGAGTAAGTTACACAGCTCATCTTTAGACTTTTCTATTATGTGTGTGTGTGTGTGTGTGTGTGTGTGTGTGTGTGTGTGTGTGTGTGTGTGTGTGTTTATTAAAATAAAAAATGCAGCAAAGAGGGTTTGGGTGATCCTGGCACAGTCAGGCTGGTGAGGCTCATCATCAGCTCAGGGCCCTGCCCCCTCTACACGCAGCCCAGACAACGAATGGGACTTCTCCCAGGAAGCGCTGTCTAGTCAAACCCACCCAGAACTTTTTGGGAGAATGTGAAGACTCCCCAACACTGCAGCCTTCTGCATTACCCAGATTGTAAGAAGGGCTGTATTCCTGGTAGCAAACCCGGGTACTCTCCCAAAGTCAATCAACAGATTGGGAGGTACCAAACCTAAGGCACCAAGTACAATGGGGAGTCGGACATCTTGGTACTTTGGATGCAGGCGTGATATTTTGAAAGCGAGGTCTGCATATTTGCCATGTTTTTCCTGAATCTTGTCAATCACATTGGTGTCAAAAGGGACAGAAAATTCAATAATATAAATGATTTCATTGGATGTATCAAAATGGACAAGATCAGATTTGTTGGCCTGGATAGGTCTGAGGCTGCATACGGGCATATTCCCAACAACTTTGTATTGATCATTTTCCGTGACGCCCTCTACATATTCTGGGTCGTACCATGGATGGACCGCTGCGTCAAAACCTGCGTCAAGCATTGCGAAGACGGTAATAAAATGATCTAGCCACTCCATCATGTCGCTTAAGATACTGTATGTGTGCCAAAGCTAGGCATCCACTCACAATGTGTTGGACAGTCTAATTATATTCATTACATAATCTACATTTCATGTTTACATTTTGATGCAAAATCACACATTGACGGTTTCGAGTGGGAAGCGACTGGTCCTGTGCAGCAAACAGAAAGCCTTCTGTTTCACTTTTCAGGCGAGCCGACTTCATCCAAGCGAAGGACTCTGCAGGATTGCTGATCTTCTCAACACACTGAACATAAACTCGATGCAGTGTCGTTCGGACACTCATTGGTTGACACTCATTTCTGTACCATCCCGCAGTACAGAACCATCAACAAAATCAACACTGACATTGAGATAATATCCCACATCCTAAGCCCGTTCACGTAAACTGTGGAACAACCTTGTTTTCATCATGAGTCTTGAATCATCAGACAAATAAATGTGCGCAAAAGTGCACAAAACACTTCTATCATGAAGAGCCCCAACGCTAATCAAATCACGCCTTCCCATTATGATTGGTATATATAAGCGATTGAGGGAAGAGCGAGAGTGGTGGGATCTATTGTCTGCCATGATTCTTCGTGTGAGGGTGTCAATACCCTGAATGTCTTGTTTCGTCCACTCAACAACACCAACAGAATATGAAAAGACTGGTACAGCATAGGTATTTGTGGCTTTAACCTTATTGCGAGCGTTCAGCTCTGAACTCCAGATTTTCTTAAGCATACATTTGTACTCTGCCCGAAGTGAAGTGGGCTTTCTGGGCCTTGTCCCTAACCTGCATTCCCAAGTATGTATAGGCCTGACCTTCCACGAGATGGTCAATAATTCCTCCCCCAAGTAAACTGACTGATCCTCCATCTTCTACCTTGCCACGTTTCAGATGCAGAATGTTGCATTTGTCGAGTCCAAAGGACATGCCGATGTTATAAGATAAGGAGAATCTGTTTTCTTCGTGTGGATCCTCCATTGGCAATAAGTTCAAGGTCATCCATGTTAAGGAGTTGAGTAAGGGGTGATCTGGGTTCAGGAGGTCCAGGGTAATAACCTTCCTCTTTGCTAAGCAAAATCTTAAAAGGATTTAATGACAAACAGAAAAGCAAAGGACTAAAAGAATCAAAAAAACAAATTCCACTTCTAATAGAAATGGGTTCCGAAGTCACCACCTGCTCCTGCGAATACATTTCAAGTTGAGTTGACCAGAATTCATTAAAGACTTGAGTAAAACATGTATTCGCTCGGGGAGGTCAATACATTTCAGTGACTGCAAAATCCATTCGTGAGGTAGAGAATCATAAGCTTTTCTGTAGTCTATCCAACACATTGAGAGGTTACGGTGGTAACGGTGTTTTAGCCTCTTCAAGGATATTTTTTTGAACCAGCAAATGATCCATACAACCCTAGCATCCCTTTCTAGGTCCTCTCTGCTCCAAGTAAATACTGTCACTGGAAGCGCAGTATGATGACACAAGATCTGTAAGACACCCTGTAAATACTTTACACTGTGTATTCAGACAAGCAATAGGGCAGAAGTTTTGGGGATCAGTCAAATCGCCTTTCTTTCGGAGAAGTATTGTTCGACCTTTGCACAACCAAGGCGGAACATCCCCTGTATCAACAAGAGAATTTAAACAGTCACGTAATGGTGTTTGGACACATGGGAACAGTTTCCAATACCGGTTTTGAATACCACCAGGCCCAGTCTGTCAGGACCATACCCGTGCTCGTGGGTTTCACCGAAGTGGTAAACGTCTGAGACCTGCATCACTTCGGGCTTTCCTCCCACATTAACCTGACACGCCGCGATATAACTGGAATACTGTTAAAAGCGGCGTTAAACCCAACTCACTCACTCACTCACCGTATGAGATTTGGACTTTTGTCATTACTTTTTTTTCAGAAAATCAGGTGTAATGAAACAGAAAACGGTGACCATAATTTGTCTTGTACAATATCCTTATATTCCTCTACCCATGGTTCCTCGAGGTTACAGTTGCTGGGTATAGACTGTTTCCAAAACCTGTCACTGGAATCCATGGTGGATCTTTTCTCATTACTGCCATTGGTTGCATTTTTATGCCTGTAAAACTGTTTCTCATTTGATTTGAACAATTTATTTTGTTTTATGAAATTATTTTTTTTGTCCTACTTTCTTTTTCTTTATGTCTCTTATCATTATGAGTAGCATTCCAATACGACTGAAGCATCAGTCATTGGCTTATGTTGCTGATCACTTCCTACATTAAGCTGACACACCATGAATTAACTTATAAACCCCGCTCACTCACCCACCCACCCACCCACCCACCCACTCACTCACTCACCCACCCTCCCACCCACCCACCCACTCACTCACTCACTCACTCACTCACTCACTCACTCACTCATTCACTCACTCACCCACTCACTCACTCACTTGCAACACCACTTATATCTATTTTTATTACTACCAATTGTAAAGCCATTGGGTCGCTGGGCGATATAAATAACATAAAAATACACGTGTTTTCAAATTTAGAAGAAAATAGGTAAAATTATTTTGGTGAATGTCATGTCAAAGAGTAACATCCCTTGACCTACAGACCTGCTTTTTTTCATTTTGTCGTTTCAGAAATGAGTTAAGACACATGGCGGCAAGAAACACGGCAATTTCCACAACTTTGGGCCGGGAAATGTCATCATGTATGCCAATCTAATATGATTACACAGAGACACTACAGTCCGTTTGACTCCAAATGAGAACGATGAATTGCAAAATAACTCGAAATCCAGAAAAGTGTATGAAACATCAATACGGTACTTGACCATGAATACCCTGTACCCAACAAAATCTGAATTGTGTTTATTTTAAGACCCATGACGGATGAAGTTCTTTAAGAAACCAGCATGTAATTTTGTATAGAATTGTGTACATGACACGTAGGGGGGCAAACCGTGGAAGGAACAGCGCAAGCACGCATGCACAGCACGGTCTGTGGTAGGGAAAATGACAGAGCGTTAGAGGGGCCGTGTCATGATAATTTCAGTCGCAATCTGACACGCTCATGCCATAGATCTCGTCGTCGGAACTGCTGGTGCCAAAACCGACTGCCAATGTTATAGGTTGGACTGTTGCTGGCCGTAGTCCATCTCGTGACCAATAACGTGGCTCTATCTCGGTCAAGTACCGTATTGATGTTTCATACACTTTTCTGGATTTCGAGTTATTTTGCAATTCATCGTTCTCATGTGGAGTCAAACGGACTACGTCAGTTCCCCCCAATGCACTCATGACATCGTCAAGACCTCTTGACACAGTCCGTGTACCATCGTCTCTCTGAGATGCCCCAGCAAACGAGCATGCCTCGGCAGCGTCCTTGCACCTATTTGCATGTGGGTTATCAGTGTGTGTGACCCGCAACGTAGCTTGTGGTTTCAACGCTGCTGCAAATGGCGGTCTGTGCGGTGTTGTTGTGAGGGCTTCACTGCGCATTCAGAAAGGTCAAAGTAAGTGAGAAATTTCGCACGTCAGATTTGTCAGTAGAGGGACTCCCAGAGTAGGATGAGAGGTCGGGAGATTGACCAGAGTTCGCACCGCCATCCGCACACATAGTTGCGCTAATGCATTGTAGCGAATGATAAACGTCAAATCAGACTGACGTACATGCATGTCCACCTACGGAGTATTTAGTTTCAACTAAACCTGAAACATAATCGCACCAAATTGTATTACGATGTTAACAACCGTTTTCTGTATGTACCAATTTAAATCGTGTCCTGTTTAAATTTTCTTTACACGTTTATTTATATTTTCAAAGTGACGAACCCGTATTGAAATTCGGAAACCGCGAATTCGTTTATCTACTGGTAAACACCTGGTGTCGTCACTGATATATTTTCAGTGATCCATTCGTGTTGTTTTCATCGGTATTTTGCCTTTTACACCTAAAGGAATCTGTTGGTTATTTTCTGGCGTTGACGTTTTATATTCTAGCTTGTCAATACCATTAGTTATTTGACTGCCCTTAAACCGACTCCTGGCATCCTTCTTTGGGCACGACTTGTTAAAGCTATTAATACTTTAAAAGATGTATAAATTAT